CCATACATACGAACCACTGAGTGAATCTGGAACCATTAGGTGAATCTGGAACCACTTCTGAACCATTGAGTGAATCTGGAACCAAGCGATTTAGTGTCTCAGTGCTAAAGGGAAATGGTTGCGAGGTGTGCAAGATGTGTCATGGTGTCCGGATATTTGTTCGAAGCATCAAGATATCAGCCTCAGTGAACTCTCTCTCTCTCTCTCTCTCTCTCTCTCTCTCTCTCTCTCTCTCTCTCTCAAAATTGCTGACCGACTTCAATGAATATATTTTTTGCTCCTGTGAACATTATTTGTGTACGGTACTTCGTGTGTGTGTGTGTGTGTGTGTGTGTGTGTGTGTGTGTTGTTGATGTTGATGATTTGCTTCAATTTGTGTTTCATTGCTTCGTTTCGTTGCTTTGTTTCGTTGCTTCACCGACTATTTCATGTTCCTGTTTCAGGTAATCTCGGTGTTTCAGTGTTTCATTTGACTTTTTTTTTGGGGTGATTTGCTGACTCATTTTTCTCTGATTGGTTAAAAAAAAACGATTTATTGTGTTGTGTGTGTCATTCATTCTTAACAGATGGTAGTAATTCTTTCATCTTTTTCTTTCACCCTCTCCTCTCCCTTCTTCCTTCTCCTCCCTTCGCCTCCCCCCTCCCTTCTCCCCTCATCTTCCTTCTTCCCTCTCCTCTCTTCTTCCTTTCCTTCTCCTTCCCTCTCCCCTCTTCTTCTTTCCCATTCTCCTCCCCTCTTCTTCCCTCTCCCCTCTTCTTCTCTCCCCCTCGCCCACTATTACACCGCTGATTACCATTTCCCCTCCGTCATCCACGCCATTAATCTCCCATCTCCCTCTCCCCCCTTACTTCCCTCACTAACCTTCTCCCCTTCACCCCATACCACCCTACTCCCCCCCTCCCCTTTTTCTCCCCTCACCACCCATATCCCTCACTTCGATACCGCTCGTAAAACTCTCTGGTAATATTATTCACACATTGATACCGAACGAGAGAATACACGAAAGTTACCCCTCTAATATTGTTTCTAGATTGTTACGTTTTCTTTGATGTCTAGCACTAACTTGGGTATTTTCGGCCAATGTCCTGAACCTCATTTGTTTAACCTAACCTAACGCTAAACATTTATAAAGCGAATGGAGTAGTGGTGCTGTTATATATATATATTCAGAGCTCTGTTATTGTTAAAGTAGTCTAACCGACCGGAGGGAGAGAGAGATGAAGCTGAGGTCACGAGTGAGAAATTTAGCACCGAATTTTTTTTTTTTTTTTTAGAGAGAGATAAATGGCAGCCAGAAAGTGTTACCCTCTTCTCAATTATCGATTATATTCAGACACGCAGACGCTCTTAGCCCTCCCCCTCTTAATGTCTCCCAGCGGACACATGTTTGACATTCCACTACTTGTAATGGGTCGTAACATCTCGTCCTTATGATGCCAGGACCTGTTGTCGCTACGTATCACAGTAAAACGTACGTGTGTGTGTGTGTGTGTGTGTGTGTGTGTGTGTGTTTCTTCAGATAAACTCTTCTTTCTTTCCAATCCGATGGACGCTTAGTTCGGTAGGTTTAAATAAGCTTATTAAGGTTCGATTAGGTATGCTTTAGGTAAGGTTAGGTTAGGTTAGGCTAGGTTAGGTTAGGTTAGGTTAGGTTAGGTTAGGTTAGGTTAGGTCAGGGTAGATCACGTTAGGTTAGGTTAGGTTAGGTTAGGTTAGATTGGGTCAGGGTAGGTTAGGTTTGGGTAGGTTAGGTTAGGTTAGGTTAGGTTAGGTTAGATTGGGTCAGGGTAGATCACGTTAGGTTAGGCTAGGCTAGGGTAGATCAGGTTAGGTTAGGTTAGGTTACGTTACGTTATGTTACCAGAGCAAAGAGAGAAAAATACCAATTAAACTTGTACTGATCAGACTGCGTCGACGAGTTCAGTGTTGATAAGAGTGTTCACCTTCATACATTCATACAGACAGCCTCACTCATAGTAACCTGTTAAACTGTTCTTCAATAACACTCAAGAACATTTTTATAATATGTTCTGCAATAACACTCAAGAACAACATTTTTATAACATGATCTGCAATAACTCAAGAACATTTTATAACATATATAACTGGAGATATAAAAACCCGACGTCATAGCTCAATATAACTCACTAAGTAGGGAATGAAAGAACAGGAGAGGTGGAACAGGTGAGTGGTAGGTGTGTGAGAGGTGGAACAGGTTAGTGGGAGGTGTTGAGAGCTGGGACAGATGAGTGGGAGGTGTTGAGAGTTAGGACAGATGAGTGGGAGGTGTTGAGAGTTGGGACAGATGAGTGGGAGGTGTTGAGAGGTGGAACAGATAAGTGGGAGGTGTTGAGAGGTGGAACAGGTGGAGGTGGAGGTGTTGAGGAGGTGGGACAGATAGAAGTGGTGGGTGTGTGAGAGGTGGGACAGGTGAGTGGGGAGGTGTTGAGAGGTGGAACAGATAAGTGGGAGGTGTTGAGAGGTGGGACAGATAAGTGGGAGGTGTTGAGAGGTGGAACAGATAAGTGGGAGGTGTTGAGAGGTGGGACAGATAAGTGGGAGGTGTTGAGAGGTGGAACAGATAAGTGGTAGGTGTGTGAGAGGCGGAACAGGTGAGTGGTAGGTGTGTGAGAGGTGGGACAGGTGAGTGGTAGGTGTGTGAGAGGTGGAACAGGTGAATGGGAGGTGTGTGTGAGGTGGAACAGGTTAATGGGAGGTGTATGTGAGGTGGAACAGGTGGATGATAACCTTAAAGATACGACTGGATAAACTATGGGCAGAATACATCCCTCTCCCCCCCCATCCGTCTCCGCCCCCTCCCCCTCTCCTACCCACTCCCCCTCTCCTACCCCCTCCCCCTCCTACCCCTCCCCCTCTCACCCCCTTCCCCTCTCTACCCCTCCCCTCTCTCCCCTCCCCTCTCCCTACCCCTCCCCTCTCCACCCCTCCCCCTCTCCTACCCCCTCCCCCTCTCCCCCCCCATCCGTCTCCGCCCCCTCCCCCTCTCCTACCCACTCCCCCTCTCCTACCCCCTCCCCCTCATCCGTAACTGCTGTTTATTTCCTTACCTCTTCTGCTACCACTGTGATCGCTATCCTCGTTACGACGTATCTGTGAACTATTTAATCACGTTTTAATATATATAGTTAGTGGATAAGTTTAATGTATGAATCTTTAGTCAAACTTTGTGTCGTAACTTAAGTGGGTCAGTTAGATAGGTTCTCACACTGACAGGGAAAAAAAAAACTCCAACTACGAACTTTTGAGACTGGAAAACGTACAGAAAACGAGTATTAAATTAACGGGTGAAAACAGAACAAGTTACTTCAAGGGTCATTAACAAGACTAATTGCCTCAACTACAGCTTTTTCAACTCCCCCCCCCCCTCCGGTTCGCTCCTCAGTCACTGTGGTAAACACTCACTACACACCAGCACAAAGTCTTCACATAGTCGACGTTTTAAACATGAAAATACTGAAGGCAAGTTTTTTTCTTTTTTATAAGGTTACTGTGTTTTGAAAGTGAAATAATAATAATAATAATAATAATAATAATAATAATAATAATGATAATAATAATAATAATAATAATGATAATAATAATAATAATAATAATAATAATAATAATAATGATAATAATAATAATAATAATAATAATAATAATAATAATAATAATAATAATAACTTGGTTGATAATCACAATGTTATGATATTCACAGATAGCCCTTGCAAAATTATTAATAAAATGATAGAGGTGTTGAAGCATAAGTGAGGCATGGAGAGCATAGGAGAGGCACGGGGAGCATGGGAGAGGCACGGGGAGCGTGGGAGAGGCACGGGGAGCGTGGTAGAGGCACGGGGAGCGTGGGAGAGGCACGGGGAGCGTGGTGGTAGAGGCACGGGGAGCGTGGAGACACGGGGAGCGTGGAGAGGCAGTGAGCGTGGGAGGCAGCAAGGTGGGAGAGAATGGGAGCGTGGGAGAGGCACTGAAGCGTGGAGAGGCACGGGAGCAACGGGAGAGGCACGGGGAAGCGGAGAGGCACGGGAGAGGAGGCAATGGGAGCGTGGAGAGGCACCGGAGCGTGGGAAAGGCACGGTGAGCATGGAGAGGTGTGGAGGATCTGATGACTGACCTGAAGTACCTGATGGTGGCATGTCACCACCTCAGGCATGTGCGTCACCACCCTCAGGTATGTCGTCATCAATTCACAGGTGTGTACGCCGACCTCAGGCATGTACGTCACCACCTCAGGTATGCACAGTCACTCCACCCATAGGTGTGTACGTCACCACCCTCAAGTATGTACGTCACCACCCCTCAGGCATGTACGTCACCACCTCAGGTATGTGCGTCACCAATCCCTCAGCGCGTCACCACCAGGTATGTGCGTCACCCTCGTTACCACACCAAAGCAAACTCACGCAGAACATCCAATATCTAATTCAAACTCATATGTCTAATTAAGTCTTGGGCATCTAACTGAAACTCATATGTCTAATTAAGTCTTGGGCATCTAATTCAAACTCATATGTCTAATTAAGTCTTGGGCATCTAATTCAAACTCATATGTCTAATTAAGTCTTGGGCATCTAACTGAAACTCATATGTCTAATTAAGTCTTGGGCATCTAATTCAAACTCATATGTCTAATTAAGTCTTGGGCATCTAATTCAAACTCATATGTCTAATTAAGTCTTGGGCATCTAACTGAAACTCATATGTCTAATTAAGTCTTGGGCATCTAATTCAAACTAGGGCATCTAATTCAGACTTGGGCATCTAATTCAAACTCATATGTCTAATTAAGTCTTGGGCATCTAACTGAAACTCATATGTCTAATTAAGTCTTGGGCATCTAATACCATCTTGGGCATCAGACACAGAACTGAGATTGAACAGTGTTAAAGATAATCAATGTGTTATCTTATCCAGGCGGGTCCCTGCATGACTCTTATCAGTGATGAGAGCAACAACAGTGGCTAGTCGTGTTCAGGTGTGTCAAGCATCTACTCGTGTTCAGGTGTGTCAAGCAGCTACTCGTGTTCAGGTGTGTCAAGCATCAACTCGTGTTCAGGTGTGTCAAGCAGCTACTCGTGTTCAGGTGTGTCAAGCATCAACTCGTGTTCAGGTGTGTCAAACAATCAGTCGTGTTTAGGTGTGTCAAGTGGCCTGTCGTGTTCAGGTGTGTCAAGCATCTACTCGTGTTCAGGTGTGTCAAGCATCAACTCGTGTTCAGGTGTGTCAAACAATCAGTCGTGTTTAGGTGTGTCAAGTGGCCTGTCGTGTTCAGGTGTGTCAAGTGGCCTCTCGTGTTCAGGTGTGTCAAACAGCCAGTCGTGTTCAGGTGTGTCAAGCAGCCAGTCGTGTTCAGGTGTGTCAAACAGATAGTTGTGTTCAGATGTGTCAAGTGGCCTGTCGTGTTCAGCTGTGTCAAGTGACCAGTCGTGTTCAGGTGTCAAACAACCAGTCGTGTCCAGGTGTGTCAAGCATCAGGTGAAATAAAGTATAGTGGCGCTAATGTTCACGTGATCCCAATTAACTTACTGTATACCTGCACTGTCCTTATACCTGAACTCTATATACCTGCACACACACTATACCTGCACACTATATACCTGCGCACTCTATATACCTGCCAAACCAACATGAATTTTATTAACTATTTTTTACTTGATAAATACTGTATTCTGTTTATCTAGGTGTTGGTAACGTCATCAAGGAGCCTTAGTCATGCCTACCAGAGACGAGGAGGAGGAGGAGGATGCCGAAGCTCACCAGAAACTTTTACCCGGGATGGAAAATAATGGTGATGGTAAGTTGTTGTTGTTGTGGTGTGTCGTAACCATGGTAAGCTGGGTAAGTTGTTGTTGTTGTTGTGGTGTGTCGTAACCATGGTAAGCTGGGTAAGTTGTTGTTGTTGTTGTTGTGGTGTGTCGTAACCATGGTAAGCTGGGTAAGTTGTTATTGTTGTTGTTGTTGTTGTGGTGTGTCGTAACCATGGTGTTGCAAGTTGTTGTTGTTGTTGTTAAGTGGTGTGTCGTAACCATGGTGTTGCAAGTTGTTGTTGCTGTTGTGGTGTGTCAAAACCATGGTAAGCTGGGTAAGTTGCTGTTGTTGTTGTTGTGGTGTGTCAACCATGGTAAGCTGGGTAAGTTATTGTTGTTGTTGTTGTTGTGGCGTGTCGTAACCATGGTAAGCTGGGTAAGTTGTTGCTGTTGCTGTGGTGTCGTAACCATGGTAAGCTGGGTAAGTTGTTATTGTTGTTGTTGTTGTTGTGGTGTGTCGTAACCATGGTAAGCTGGTGTGTAAGTTGTTGTTGTTGTTGTTGTTGTGGTGTGTCGTAACCATGGTAAGCTGGGTAAGTTGTTGTTGTTGTTGTGGTGTGTCGTAACCATGGTAAGCTGGGTAAGTTGTTGTTGTTGTTGTGGTGTGTCGTAACCATGGTAAGCTGTAAAAAAAAGTCACATAAGAAAGTTCGTCGTAGGAAAAAAGTCACAAGGAAATAACATACAAAAAAGTCAGAGGGAAAAGGTTGCAGGAAAATAAGACATACAAAAAAGTTACGGGGAAAATAGTCATAATTTTGGCTATTTTAGGTTAGGTGACTTTTTAAATTATTTCTTTTAACTTTTTTCCTTTGTTTTGTCCCGTATCAAGAGACTTAATATGTTCTCAAGATATACTGCCAATGGTAATTTTAATTATTTGCTTATTTCACTTTACTTACCAACTTACTTAAATTTATCTAAAAGCTCAGGAAATATTTTACGACAGCGCCACACACGTTACAGTCAGTCATCTTTCATATTTTTCAAACATTTAATTCTTGTTTTTTTTTTATTCTCAGTTGTGTTGACGATGGAGGAATTGGCACAGGTAGCTACAGGTGTTGACTACAAGGAAGGAGGTGGAGGAGACGGCAGGTGTGTGTTACTCTGTACTCTCGTTAACTAATGTATTGTACCGTGGTTAGGTTATTGTTTGTATACCTGCACTTGGATGGCGATCTTACTGTATGAATATATATTAGTTATTAATCGTGATGAAACTTGGCGGGGAAACTGTGTGGTGGTGGGGGATACAGTCCATGGTCACGGCAATATGTGGTGGGGCAGTATCTATAACTCTTAGTCAGATTTTTCCCGTTAGAGGCTGGAATAACAACAAATTTGGTTACAGAATAAATAAGAATGTATTGAATGAAAAGTTGTACGTCATTTAACTACAAGTCCCAGGTTGCTGATCTGACTTTCTGCCTCATTTACACATAATTGCAGGGTCTCAATTGTCTCTCTTACTTTGACAACACACCATACATAATGTACTGTATCCTGTATATCGTTTCTCACTCTTGATTTATTTTTTTCGTTTTTGTATTTATATATGGTTATTATTATTATTATTTATTTTGTGTCATTAGAATAATAATAGTTATTTTTATTATTATTATTATTATTATTATTATTATTATTATTATTATTTATTATATTTTCACCCCCAGGCCCTGATGTGGGTCAGTGACCTGTGCCAGGGTGGGCTAATCCCCATAAAAAACAATAATAATAATAATAATAATCTTGTGTTGTTTCAGGGGCGGCCAACAGCTTAAGAAGGTGAAGAAGATCAGAGATAAGGTATGAAAATATTCTTCTCGTTCCATTTTCACAGTTTTCATCATAAGTTCTGCAATTGTGTCGATAAATAAAATAAATACTTGGTATCTTGTGTGTATTGTGTACAAAGATTCTAATTCTGTACCTCCAGATCTTCTCAGTGTAGGCAGAGCCTTAGATAGTGAGGGTTCGGCCAACCGGGCGCCATGTTGTTACTCAGCGGGTAGGAAGTCTTCTCGGACTGTCTCCCACGTAGTTTATAAACATGCTTATGCAATTCTAAACATGTATGACAATTTAACTGACTATCATCATCATCATCCTCTACAGTACGAGCACAAACTTCTTCATCAGCTCAGTAACAACATGTCGCCTAGTTGGTCGAAGTCTATATATGGCTCTTCCTATGGATGGATTATTAATCTGTCTTTCATCCATCTCTTTCATATAACTCATGTCTTCCTATAATGTCTCTCATATACTATAGGTCATGTCATATATCCTAGACCAGTATATCTCGGTGTCATTTATGTTTATACTTCCAAAAAATGAAGCAGTTTATCCCCATCCCCTGAACAGACTGAGACTCACCGAGCAGCAGAGGTTGGTGACACAGTCCGTTTACAACAGATGGTGAAAAGGCAACCCCAAGATGTATTTCAGCAGGACGAAGATGGCAACACACCACTCCATCTGGCTGCTAAAGGCATTTACCTTGATTGTTGCAAAGTTCTCCTTGGTGCCGACAATAAGGCGGTCAACCTGAAGAACAAGAATGGTAATTCTCCTCTCCTATTGTCTATAGCTACAGGGAAGAATTCCACTGAGATTACTGAACTGCTCATCAATAATGGCTCAAAGACTGACGCCACAAATAAAGGTAAATCGACGGCTCTACACATAGCATCTGAGAAGGGTAATATTGAGACAGTGAAGTTGCTCCTCAAATTTGACGCAAGCATCGTTCGAGCCAAGGATGCAGAGCTACAAGTGCCTCTCCACTTGGCTGCCAGATATGGCCACTGTATGGTGTGTGAAGAACTTGTGAAAGGAGGCACTGACCTGAATGCTAGAGATGAACGTGGCTACACACCACTTCACTGGGCTGCCAAGATGGGTTTCTCTAAGTGCTGTAGCCAGCTGCTGGAGCTAGAGGCTCAAGTGAATAGTGTGGACAAGAAGAGAAACACTCCTCTACATCTACTATGTGCATCTGGAAAGGAAAAACCAGACTGTGCCAAAGTATTATTTAAACATGGAGCAAACGCTAATGCCCAAAATGAAAAAGGGGAGACACCATTTCATCTCTCCCATCATGCATCTACAGAAGTGTCAAGGACGTTCCTGGGTCAAGAAGTAGATTTACTGGTTGTGGACAATGCCGGCAGAACTGCTTTACATTATGCTGCGGAAAGAAAGAAAAGTAACCACCTTGAATTTGTACTGTCAATGAAAGGCATTTCAAAAGAATTAATAAACAAACCAAATAAACAAGGAAAAATAGCCCTGCATATAGCCATAGAAAACAAGGTAATAGACAGTTGTAGGTTGTTAATCAAGGCTGGTGCCGATGGTAACATTTCTTGTGGCTCGCAGGGCACAGCACTCCACATGGCAGCAGACAAAGGCCTTGACGAAATTTGTGATTTCCTAATCACTAGGGGTGTCAAGGTTGACGTAAAGAACAGTAAAGCACTAACACCACTGCACATGGCAGCGAGAGCAGGCCATCATAAGTGCTGCCTGGCACTGTGTAAAAAAAATGCTTCTGCATCAATCACTGATGCGGACGGAATGTTAGCCCTCCATCATGCTGCCAAGGGAAAACACAGTTTTTGCTGTCATGTCCTCTTGGAGAAATATCCATCCTTAATTAATAAGGCTGATAAATGCGGGAAAACCCCACTCCACACAGCAGTGGAGGCCAAGTCAATAGAATGTTGCAAGGTCTTAACAACACAAAAGACAGATCTTTGGGCCAGGTCAAACCATGGAAGCTCAATCAAGCTGGCCTATGATCAAAAGTGTCACGACATTTTCAAATTCCTCCTTCATTTTGAAGGTGTTAACAACAAAAATAAGAGTGAAAGAGACATTGATTTTCGGGATCTTCTTGAAAACACATTGGAAAGTCAAGATAGGTATGGCCAGCAGCACTTTGTTTTCTTTAACAAAAGAAACTTGAAATGCTTAAGACTATAATAAATTTTACTGTTTGAAATACAGTTGTCCAACACTATGTATAACACCTTGTACTGTACAAAGAGACTGTATTATTTTGTAGTTTCACAGATAACTTGTTCCTCACACCTTCAATGAGAACTTAATCTTCACTTTTGACCTAATTTTCTGAACCTTGCTTGTGATGCCTCGGCCATTATAACTAAAACTGCCTGGCCTTTATAGGCTCACTGAAACATACACACACACACACACACACACCTATGGCAGGTCATGACCAATTAAGACTGAAAATTTCCCTTTATACCTTTAATGTCTTGATAAATCATACTAAGATCTTTAATTTAATGTGAGAATGCAAAGGTGTAAACTGTACTGTCATAATGATGTGGATACCAATTTATTTTATTGACAATTTTTTAAATTTATTGCAGGAAAATTAATACAAGAAAATTACCCCCAGGTAGAGCCCCTCTAAGGGTGTAGTCATGACAAGAGCTTTCAGGCTGCCTAATAACAACAAATATATTTAACCTCCTGTACCATCGTTTCCTCCTCCATGTTTTCTTCTTCACGTATTGTTCTAACTTTCCTGTCTGCGATGTTGGCCTCCCTCTTTACCAACACACCATTACACTTGGTTTTCCCATCCTGGTTTCTGGTGACCTTGTGTGCCCACACCATGTCAGAATACCTTTGTCTACACTCACTTTTCACCCTTCCAAACACCTCCTACACTGCGCTGTTTGTCACTCCCTTCATTGAGTTAACACCAACGTCAACCTTCAGGCAACTCATTTATGTAGCTTACAACACAATGCCAGTGATTACATAGTTGTGTAGCCAGTCTTGAAAATATTTTGAAAACCTGCACCTTACAATTATGAAGTTTTGGTAAATATAGTCTGTGTGCTTGAACTTTGCAAGTTCAAGTGCAGCATTTTACACACAATTCATAATTAGATTAATGAGTTTTACTCCTCTCTCTTGAATATTTCAAGGTGAGATACAACTTAGCTATCTCCTCTAGATCTGACATGACCATGTTCAAGTGTTACTTCAAGGGTATCACCATGTGGTTACCAATTCTGTACAAAGTATACTGTATAGTTTATCTCATCTTACCCAAAACAATTCTCCCTTCCCAAATATCACAATTATCAGCCAAGTTGATGTTCAACATACTTGAGGATATCAAGTCATATCCAGGTCAGGTGAAGGATTGACACTTTTAATTTTAGTAAAACACAAATGACCATTTCCTTATTACAATGGTAACTACTGTATCTCAAAGCTCAGAAATATATCATGCACAATGATTTTCTAAGTACTGTATAAGAACCCAACCATGAGAAGAAAAGGAAACATTTATGGCATTATAATATTGTACTTAACCAATGCAGTCTGACATGAGAACTACAAAATGCCAATCTTGCAGGATTTTGGTTGAGAGCATCATAGACAGCTGCTTCTGGGAAGAAGCACTGAAGCCTTACAATACTTCAGCAGATAAAACTTGTGTGGAGAAGCAGAAAAATGGAAACTTGAGGCTGCTGGTGAAGAACTACCCTGACCTGGCTGAGAAAGTCCTGGACAAGTGTACACCCAGCAAACCTGATGAGACTGAAGACGGGCCAGCAGAGAGGCACTACTTGGTGCACTTCTTGGATGAGGTGTACCCAACACCAGGTGTGTACAGTACACTGTTTTGTGCTTGAAAGACAACTTATCATCAAAAGCAACATACATTTTGAATTAGAAAAAAAAAGGAAGCCATTTTCCTGTTAACTGAATTATAAACATGCTCTTTTATAGTTCTCTTAATTCCTGCCCTCCTTCCTCTGGAAAATAAAGCATCTCACAAAAGCAAAAACGAGTTTGCAAACATCTTTTTCAAGATGATGTGTAATTTTTATCAAGGAACATGTACTCACATTTAAAAATAATGTGTCCAAACCTAAATATAATATTAGATTTTTACACGGCAAAAATTAAACTCACATTAGAGCAAGAAGACTCAAATTCTGGAGAAGTTTTTGACAACGAAACTGGGAGGTTGGTGAAGGGTATGAAGGTGGCCGCGGTCAACCAGGCATGGCGTCACGACCACCTACTACAGTGGGTCATCCGTCACAACCGCCTGTCCCTCCTGCATCACCCCCTCATCTCACACTGGCTCAGATACAAGTGGCACCACTACATCAAGTACCAACACTACGCTCGTCTAACTTTGGCTTGTGTCATGGCAGTCCTGCTGACAACATTCACAGCAATATCCTGGTACGGTACTATAATTACAAACTACTATACAGTACTTGTTAGCCTAATTTACGTAACCATATTAAGGAATATATATACAGGTGCAGTATACAATACAGTATAATTTTTTTTCACAATTTATCATTTCACTACTTATCAGTTACTTGATGCTCAGGCAGTCGGTCTGTCCTTTTTTGCTTTGTTCAGTGCTAGTACAGGAGGAAACCATTGTACCCTGAGAAAATCTGCAATTTTAGGTAGTGTCGCCCTGAATAGTACTGTTCTCATATATGACCCAAGCTGAGGATTGAACCAGGGATAGAATGGTGAAAGGCAAGCGTAATATGGTGTACTGTACCACCAAAGTTCTTATTTTTTTACTTCTTGATACTCAGTTATGAAACAATTGATATATTTTCTTTTATCCTAGAGATCTTATTAGTTATTGAGCTTAATCTCTTGCTTCTCTTCTACACAGTACAATATTTGAAAATTGTATAGAACTCACAGTATTTTTAGATACATTACAGACAGACAGACAAAACATGAGAAAGTAGCTGTTATGGTAAACACTAAACACTGTTTTTATAATATTTTCAGGATCTTTATTTGTATAACTTAATCTTATAAGACAAGAGAAATCACACTCGGAAGAAGCTCTGTCTCCAGTAACTCTCTTATCAACTTTCTAACCAATATTTTATCTTTTTATCTGGTTCTCACTTCACCAACTGTATTCCTTATGGATCTGAAGCACTAAAATGACATAAACATATTTACATTTCACATGGCCTCCAGACCCCTGTAGGAGATCCATGGCTTTGATGTGAAACAGACCTTGGCTCACACCCTCAACTCCATCACCCTTGTCCCCTCCTGTCTTACTTAAGAATAAACACCTTGATAGGAGTCATAATCAAGAATACATAAGTGGGGTACTGTCCTGTACTGTACTAATAATGTGGACTTGTCATGTAGGGACTGGCAGTACATGGGTCTCAGATACAACATAACACAAAGGATGGTGTGCTATCACGGGGCTCAAGACCTTGTAGGGCCTGAGGTAAATCAACTTTTGGAAGATGAAGGCGAGATTCCCAATTCCCTTGGCATTTCCATCTTGGTCATTGCTGGACTGTGGATGCTTCATATTGTTTATGAAATAGTGATGGTAAGGTTCTTTGAGTTTACTGGGTATTTATCATTTAAAAACCTCCTACTGGTATTTCATGTGTTTATAAATTAAATAATGTGCATTAAAATCAACTTAATGTTATTCTAATTATGTATGGTAATTTAAACCTTGAACTAAAACTCAAGATCATTTCCAAAAGTGTTTTAATGCAGTAAAATTGTAAAGATGCATTTCTCCCTTAATACTGATATTGCATTACTATACCCTTTCCATACTAACCTGGCCAGTAGGCCATGCCCCTCTTCTATACTCATATTTAGCTGATTGGTTCATAGAAAATTCAAACTAAATGTGTTAACAATTGGTTAGCAGACCTGTTATTATCTAAAATAATGTTAAATATATGGATTATCAAAATGCAAATAATTTCAAGGCCTTAGCACTTCAGAGAGGTTGCAAGAAAATTTTTAATATTTATTATAAAAGCTCAATATAAATATGCGCTTGTATATGCACAGTCCGGGAGGAGGTAAAATGTTCGGTGGAACCAATCAGCTCTTTGTAGCTATAGACGAGGGGCGGAGTTTACGGGCCAGCTTCGCATGGGAATACTATACAGTAAGTCCTCGCTTAACGTTGTGGTTACGTTCTTGAAAAACACAACGCTAACGGAATAGATCAAACCTCTAATTACGTTCCCCAGCTTCCTTTTGTCCCATAAATTACATTACATATACATAAATTCAAAGGAATTTTTAAAGAAAATATATGTTATACATCCAAAAAGATAAATAAACTAAACCATTTTGTATTGTACTCACTGATGGGGAGAGGTGGAGTGAGTGTGTGGTGGATAGTGGAGAGGAGGAGGGTGGCGAGTCACTGAGACCCAGAGGGGGTTTCCCTTCCTGCTCTGACTGGGGTTCTCCCTCGGCTGCTGTTTGCTCCTCCTCCCTTGCAGGCTGTTGTAAAGATGTTGCTTCTGCCTCCCGACGACGAAAAAAGGAATCCAGCGTTGACTGCTAGTGCTCCTCTTCTCTTTTTCCTTGAAGATCTCATTATAACACTGAAGAGTTTCCTCCATATTGCAGACAATCTTTGAGCTACGTTCTATGTTTGGGTTGTCATCAGTGAAGATTTGCATTGCTTGCTGGATCATGTCGAACGCTTCTGCCATCCTCTTGGTAGTTAGCGTTCGTTGTGGTTCTTCTTCGTCGTCGGCGTCTTCAGCGACACTTTGTTCTATCAGCAGCAGATTTTCATTTATTAGCTCTTCTGTATGGGTTGCCAGGGCTTGCTCAATATCCTCAGATTCCGACTCATGAAAGCTTGCCTGTCTAGCCAAGCTGAGGATATTCCTATTCAGAGATGGGATAAAGTCCGTGAATCCCGTAAAGCTGTTCACACACTCAGGCCATACGCGACACACCATTCAGGCAACTTTCTGAAACTCTTCCCATGCCTTGCCAATGTTGTCGATTGCATGAAGAATGTTGTAGCCCTGCTAATTTTCTTGGATCGTAGGCTTATTTTCTCCATCAGTAACCTTGAGAAGTTGGTCCATGGTACCCCGTAAGTAATAGGCCTTATATGCGGCGATAACGCCTTGGTCCATAGGCTGCATCAATGCTGTTGTGTTGGGAGGCAGAAATACAACTTGAACACTGTCATGTAAATCATCGAGATTGAGAGGATGTGCTGGAGCATTGTCAATGACAAGAAGGATTTTAAAGTCCAGGTTCTCCTTGGTACAATACCCCTTCAGTGCAGGGACAGCGTACACATTTAACCACTGGCTAAATATGGCGCTGGTTATCCATGCCTACTTATTTGCCTTGTAAATGACAGGAAGGTGATCCTTAGAGTGACCTTTCAGGGCACGTCAGTTGGCAGCGCAAGAAATTGGCATGGGCTTTAAGCCTGAAGTCGCCAGCAGCATTTGCGCCTAGCAGCAGCGTCAAGCAGTCTTTTGCCACTTTAAATCCTGGCGCTCTTTTTTTTCTTCCTTGGAGATATACTGTATGTTCTTTCAGGCATCCTCTTCCAAAACAGACCAGTCTCATCCACATCGAAGACTTGCTTCACTGAGTAGCCTCCTTCCTCAATAATGATCTTGAACTCAGGCGGGAATATCTCGGCAGCAACCGTATCTGAACTAGCAGCATCACCAATCATCTTAATATTGAGGAAATTATAACGATGCTTAAAACGTTGAAACCATCCTCGGCTGGCCATAAAGTTCTCATCCTTCAAACTCTATGACCTTTAAATCGTCATACAAAGATTTTGCTTTATGCTAGGTAACCATAAGGCTCACAGGGGCACTGCATTGTTTCTGTCCTCTATCTACATAGTCAGCATCTTCTCAATCACGGAACTTCGAGCACAACATGTCCTTGTTGCACTCATAGAAGTACCACTTCCAGCGCTAGCCTTAATCTTGTCTGTGCTGGACCGGATAGTACGCACTGTTGTGGGGGGTTAGGCCTTGCGCTACTCCAGTGTCCACAGCATGTTCACCTTTCTTAAAACGGTTTAAAACTTCCATTTTAGTAACAAGGCTAATGGTCTTGCATTGCTTCTTCACAACACTAGCATCACTAACACTTGATAGGTGCTTGGAAGCCATTTCGAATGTTTACAGTACCGTATTTATAGCAAATACACTAAAGCACGCACGTACGCTGTGGAAGCCTAACAAAGACTGGGGATGCTCCGCGAGAGAACGTAGCGTGCCAAGATGAAAGAGGGTGATGTGCCATACAAAGTAGTCCGTGTTGGGTGACGACGTTATAATGAATCGGTCGGGACGTTGTCGGAATCATGTGTATCTAAGAGTAGCGACGTTATAACGATACAATGTTGTCTGGGACAACATTAAACGAGGACTTACTGTAGTTATTACAGTGACTGAAAAATATCTCATTTTTGCTAATGACGTTTATAAACGTTTCAATGTTTCTTTACAGCTGAGAGAACGATATTTCAAGATTGAAAATTTCCTCATCCTTTTGTGTCTGGTGGCCAGCATCCTGTTTGTGGGTAACTTCACAACTTGCTCACGGAACACCTATGTGCGAGAGGTATGACACTACAGTAAAGGTGTTTACAGATTACATATTTTATACGTAAACTACAGTACACAGAACAAGACATATCATTTGTGCTGTGAGATAATAGAGTTCACTCAACATTAATCACATACTTTAACACTAACCATACAACTTAAAATTAAACAGACAACTTAACATTAATCATACACTTTAACACTAATCATAACTTAAAATTAATCACACAGGAACAGGAGTGAAAAGTTTTTGGAGAAGAGAAAGAACTAGTGTGTGGTAGACATGGATCAGGATAAAGACTTTGATAAACTGTAGTTGGTAGAGGAGAAGTGTGGAAGATTTTGGGATAAATGGGATGTTCTTGAGCGTTGTACAGATTTTCAGGAGGGGTTCTTAACCTGGGATCCATGGATGGGCTTCAGGGGGTCCGTGAAGGTCAGATAAAAACTTAACATTTATCTTCAATCCAAACAACAACAACCTTCTCATTGAAATGAACTTTTGAGCAGAATTAAAGTTTTGTTTAATTTGCACAAGATGATTGTATTTCATTTTTGTATGGAGTGGCCATTAATTTTTGCATAAAAAAGTGTGAAACATAATTCTTTGTTAAGATTGTTTACTTTATTCATACTTTATGTATGTCATACACTGTATGAGGCAATGAATTTTCAATAAAATAAAGTATATTCATTGCAAGCAAAGTTGTGTTTATGTGCTATGTGCATTTTTCTAGGGAGGGGGTCCATAGCTATCACCAGATTCCCAAAGGGGTCCGTGACTCAAAAAAGGTTAAGAACCACTGTATTAGAGGATGTCAGGGAGTGGGAAAGGAAATGAGATGTTTCAGATGGCTGGGAATGGATGCAATAATGTTGATAGGAATGGTTGGTAAGGGGAGGGGGGGGCAAAGGCCTAATTTTTTCAACAAATATAAAAGATCTACTTAGTAGGAGGAAGAGATATCTGTGATAATACACCTGCATCAATAGCGTTATACAAATGCAAAAAAATACACTTATATAACACTAAATGCAAGAAGATTATTCACAAGGGAAAACACACAATCCATTATGTGCAAAAACGAACTAGAAAGTAACATGGCTGGAACGACCTTATATTGAAAACAAGTTTGAATTAATTGAAACTCTTCTTTTTGTACATGTGAAACAGAAAAGTCACAAGAAGTGTTATACTAATTATGGAGGATATGGAGTAATAAACAAAATAACTTTAATTAGTATGAGTTGTCGAGTGCAGGTCATTAAGCACACCGCAGCTAATAACATATAATTTACTGGAGAGATACTGTTCACTGTTCTCTAAGTTCAGATATTTTTTTTAATGATTTACCATTATTGGAAAATTTTCCCTGTACAGTACTATATTTTCCTTCAGACAAGATTGTTGAAGTTCCCTTACAGATAGGTTTTTATCAACTTCATAATTAATTGAGATACAATACAGGCTAAATTTGACAGCTCTGTCTCGGTATCGGCATGCTCTCCCCACAAGCGAGCAGACCCGGGTTCGATCCCCGGGCAGGATGAGACAATGGGCAAGTTTCTTTATGCCATTTGCCTCTGTCTACCCAGCAGTAATTGGTAACCTGGATGTTCCGGGGTAATGATTTGCCAGTGCAGTTGGCGAGTTGTCCGGTCTTCTCAGACGATACTGGGTCATGCAACTCATTAATTTAGGGTGTGGTTGTTGTGTTGGCGACAGCTTCTATACCTTAAACAAATTCACACCTAGGTGGCCCTTGGGCTGGCCATCCTCGTTACACGAGGGGCAACCATTATAATTATATTATATTTGTCGTCCACAAGTTGGGTTTGACTCTTCAAGCAGCTCTATTAGATACTTCTTGTTTCAATATAACCTGTGCTGTACAATATTTGTAAGCATGAACATGCCCCAACTAAAAGGAAGTTACAGTATTTGATTATCTTCATTCATTCAAAGCTACAATGTGGTCAATATCTTAGAATAAACAATTAGTACCTTTACCCCTTCTTACTCTCAGTGAATGGTCTAAATTTATGTTCAGACAGATGACAGGCACCCTCAACCACCACATTTGGTAAGGGCACACCAACCTGGCAATTTTAATACCACTCTACCTCTCAGTGTTGATAAACGGAGTCATTACATGCAGTCGGCCTTTCACTCACGTGTCAACTTTTCTAACAAATTCCTTTCCAAGGCTTCACACTGTACTGTACTGTAATTCTGTTTGGTGTCCAAGATGCACCAAAATCCAGAGATGAAAAGTAACGAAATAAATTCACTTGAGTACTGTACTCATGTAACATTTTTTGGTATCTACTTTGTAACCCTTAAGCCCCGGGTTAGGGTGCTGGTGGCAGTGCCCCCCACCCGGGGTTGAATCGAGAAAATCAAATTTTCCAAAAATAATTTTTAACCTTTTAAAATGATAAAACAATAAAAAATAAGTAAGAAAAACTATATATTGACCCTTGAGAAACTTCTCTGGCCTTTGTGTCCGAAGTGGCCAATAATGTATGTATTTACTGATCTTAATATTTATTTGCTATAAATAATTAATTTAGAATATTTTATTTGCATAATTTTTCATAAAAAAGTGCTTGGCAACAATCAGCAGTCAGTCGCCAGTCTGCCTGGCTGTCTTTGTGTTTGGTAGAGCAAGTAATGCATAAAATAATAATACTTCCACAAATAAAAACATTTATAACATAATCATAGCATTTTTTTACAGTAATACTACCTTACAATACAACTACACTACTTTTATCAATATTACTTTGATACAACATGATAAAATCGATAAACAATGAAAATGAAACAAACAAAAGTAAATAATTATGCTCAGAAAGATTCCCTGTGGCCAAGCGTGTGGTGTGAGAGGCAAATAGTTACACTGGAACCTGATAACCCATGCTGGGCATTTAAACAGTGGCGGGAATAGGCGCGCATTCTGGAACGTCACCCGGGGCGCGCTGGTCAGGCGTTCTGGAACGTCACCTATGGGTTAATAAGCACTAAAATTTTCTTGTACTTTTACGTAAGTAAAAGTATGATTTTCTAATACTTTTACTCCAATACCATTGAAAAACAAAAATTGTGACTTGTTTCATGCCCCAAACAAACAAACAAAGAGTTTTAATGTCTGTGGCAAACCAATAATATACTGTATTGTACATCAGCAGTATACAGTAATAGTTACACCATGTAAGGTAGTATAACTGTTTACCCTTTATAATACTGAACAATTTCACATTACTGTATAAGAAAAAATAAAAATAAAAATAAATAAATAAATAAATAAATAAATAAATATATATATATATATATATATATATATATATATATATATATATATATATATATATATATATATATATATATCACAACAAAAATTTGTATTTCCACAAAACAGCAGGGAATCTAGGTGCTAAATTCTTAATTTGTGAGTTGTTGAAGTGTGTTTAATAATTCAACTTACAAGAAGTAATAATATGAAACCTGTTGGTAATTCAGCCCTCTGAGTACAGTACAGGTATATGAAACTTTGTAGCATTTACTCTTATCAGTACTGTAGTTTAAAGCCAATGAGATCGGAGTCCTAAACACTGAAGTAACTTAATAGATTATATAATAATGGGTTTACAATTCATTTAGATTATAATAATACAATAATGATTACACAGTACACATATCTTATACTGTATCTTACCCAGGATTGGCAGTGGCTGGCGAGTGTAGCGTCTGTTTTCACAGCGTGGCTCTGTGTCTTCCTGCTTATGAGTAATGAACGCTGGTGCAGCCCCATCATCTTCCACATCAATCGGCTTGTTCGTACCCTCTTCAAGATTCTCACGCCTCTCTTTGCCATTGCAGCAGTAATATTGGCTGCATATAAAATAGCCGCCAAAGGTAAAACTACCTATAATCAATTCTGGAATAATGTTGTGCAGATATTTTCTTATCACTGGATAAGTACATCATTCTATGTTGCTCTCATCATTGTTATTTGTTCAGTTATGTTTGACAAGTCTATATACACCCATAGTAAAAAGTACATGAACCTCCATATTGTTGCCACCGTTAAGATGACACTAGACTTTGACCTTTTGTATCCATTCTTAAGAAAGAAGTACTATGTAGCCTGGTTGCCATCACATACTGGAAAACGCTCTCAATGCCGCTCTGGCTTTTTATGTGGATGGTTATCAAGATTAAGGAAAAAGGACACTGAAGATACACTGGGTGAGATTGAAGACCAGTGGGATGCCGAGGATCCATTTCATATTGTAAGGCAGAAAATTGACAAACTTCAACAAGATGTAACTGAAGTACATGAACTTTTGAAAGACCTAAAAGGATCCATAGGGGCACTCGGGAAAAATTGAACGCTTTCAAACTTCTTTTACTCGACTTTTTTTTTAAATCCTGTTGTCTTGACAAACCTATCTTACTTTCATTACCACTAATACATCATTTCTACGCTTCCATTATTAACCCATAAACTGCAGCCAACGTCAATAGGCACAGCTATTTTCAGAGACATTTAAATACGTGTCCCCACACTTTGTTTTAGGCCTAAGAGTGGACTTATGAGCAGCATCCTCCTTAATAGGATTTTATCAGGCATAAGAGGGGGGACCTCTATGTCCCAAGGTTCAGGGGGTAATAAGAGGGAGGGAAGTGGTTCCTTGACTTATTGCATGTTAGTATAATGGAATTGCTCATGGAGAATAACATCCACCTGAAGAGTTGTAGGTAAATAAAGAATTTTTTTCCACAATGTTATTCTCAATACTTGTGTATAATTTCATAAGAAAATGCAATATTTTTAGGAATTGAAAAAAAAAAATTTGCACATACGTGGTACACACATCACCCAATTTTTTTTCCTACAGAATTTGTGGCATTCTTTATTTGTTTCTTTTTTGGGTATCCCTCGAGTCTCTTGCCCTTTGATTCCCACTCCAACTCTTGTCAAGGTTTATAGTCTAAATTTCATTTATTTTCTTCATGAGCTCAAACCATCTGAGTTGAGATTTTTCAATTCAGAACCAACTCAATGCCTAATTCCTCTCCAATACATATAGTATCATAACTAAGTGTAACAGGGAGATCCACACCACAAAGTTCAGAACCTATAATTATCCAGAAAATTTACTCAAGATTCTTGCTACGTCAGACATACAGAAAATCTTCAGAAATTCAGGAGGCGAAGTGTTTGAGGGAAGAGCACTGTAGTGGCTCAGAGTTCCCATGGTGTTTGTCCTTTAATGGCTTATGAACAAATATCTTCTGTTGGTAAGGCTGCTGAAAGGTACACCACAACTGATTTTGCTCAGTTAGTAAAGGATGATGCACTTTACCTCAAACAAATTTATATTGTATGTAGACAAGACTGATGATTTTTGGAGAGGTTTGTCTGGTAACAGTTACTGACACTGACTTGGACAGATACAAAACAGGTACTGGAAGATGGGGTGTGGTCATTGATGACATCTCTGCAAGTGATGGAGTGATCTAAAACTTTGACAGAGTGAATAATAGATGGAAAATGAGGTTATTAGTTGTCGAGAGGAAGAGTCTGACAATGAATTGATAAATTATTTAAATTAGAAAAATTATTATGGAGGTGGTTAAGGATTTCATGTATTTGAGGAGGGTGAATAGAGACCTGGCAAGTATCATCGAGGAAAGAGTATTAACAAGTTAAGGTTCTTCATCATGGCCACTCCCTCAGAAGCAACATAGATTATTACATAAATTATTCTATTTTGCAGGAATACTAGTTTTTGTCATCATATTCCAAATCCTGTTTAACTTAAATAAAACTGTTTCCCATTTCCAAACTCTCATGGTCACACTGCCACACTAAATATGTGTTGTCCTTTCAAATTCTGTGTTAATTCCCCTTTTCTATCTGGGTGGTTGATTATTGTTGCTCTTCCACTGTTAAGTGCTAGACAAGAGATTTTATACTATTAATTTTATGTATATTTATACAAGCTGGCTGATGATGGTAAATTTGAAATAAATAAATCTAACTCACATTTCAAGATGAGATATAGTACATGTACAATGTACTGTATACAGTATGTGAATTTTCTAAAATCACAATTGATGCTGAATATTGACCAGATGATTTGAAATAAAATACCTTAATCACCATTTTAAACAGCTTTTATTGATCTTGCTTCCAAAAATATTCCATACAAAAAAAAAATATGTAAGAATAATGCCTTCAAACCAAAATAAAAAGAAAATTAACCCCACTCTGTAAATTCACACTGTAACAAACTTTCAGAAGATGGAGGAATGAGAGAAGGTGGAAGGAAAGCTACATCCTTGAGACTTGGTGGTAATGTGTACTTGAGTTCCCAGTGTGCGAGATCTTCCACTGAATAATCTGAGGATGGTTGCATTTGAATTTCCCTCATAGATTGCCAGCCTTCAAGTGATGGCTCCTTGCCGTCCTTTACTAGTGTGGGAAGTTTACGTTTCCTTGCAGCATTGTCCTCTTCCTTTGCTGAAATAAGTGAAAAAGTCAGATACCGCATCACAACAGTGGACTTATGGTGGGGCCTTGAAACACCCATGCCTCATCTAATCATGTTTCTCTTGTTGAAAGTTCAATTTTCCCCCTCAATAACTTTACCTTAAAAACAATCAAACTTGGTCATACAGTATTGCAAATTTGAGCTTCATTTTATCCTCTGTCTAGCCAAGTCCTAGCTTACCTTCGGGCTACCAGCCTTATACAATACCCAAGGCTCTTGAACCCTGGTACTGTATTAAACAGTTTCACTCTGAAGCCTAAAATACAGAATGTATTATTGACCTATAAGGTCAAAGAAGTTACAATTTATAGTCACACCGGAGCAATCACTGGAACAACTCCTAATCTCTAAAATATTTATGTATACAGTATTATTTTTTCCATAAACAACTATTTCCTCACAGTTTAGAACAACTTTAAACAATATTTTGTTTTGTCTTGAGTAAATAAAATTGAGGAAGTACTCACCTTGATGTTTTAGACTGCATATATCTGCAACTGTGAGATGGGAATAAATGCAAGTGTCTCCAAATGAACATTCTTGACCCGAATGGAAGCGCCGGCACTTCTCCTTTGATAATTCATCTTGAAGGCGTTCTTTAGCAGCTAGAGTAGAACCCCAATAGTAAATGTAAAAAATAACCTATTTTACAAAGTATCAAATTCAAAATTTCCTTCAAATCTCATCAGCTGACCCAGCTTAGGTCAGTCAGCTGATGATGTACTGTACTCATGCTGCCTGCATTACTCTTTCGTCACTCGGAAAGCATTGTGAATTCTAACCAGGTGTACTGCCCTTTAAGTGTCTCGAAACTTTGTGACCAGTACTGTTTGGTGTAGGAACCACAATTTATGGCTTAAAGACAAAATGTGGCAAATCAGTTAAGGCCATGAGCAAAAAGATAAAAACCCAGAGAAGCCAAAGCAACCAGCATGGATAAACCAGTTTACAAGTATGGTCAGTCAAACAGCAGGAGTCATGAAGATCATTTTGGCTCTGAGCTGCTCATAGCTGCATCCTACCTGCTCATCTTTCAACATTTCAGCTCTTAAGTTCATTACCATTAACAAATTACAAGATAGAATAATACTGTTGCATTTGATTTTCTTATAAAACTAATGAATAAAATAAGTAAAAATTGGGCTTTCTGGGTGCTTGGTAAACTGGCTGTGTGTGTGTGTGTCAGGGCAGGTGACTGATACTGTTTACATTGGCTCCCACTTATTGGACAGATGTAATAGCAGCACTTGAGTATTTATAGAAGAAATACTATACTAAACAATGAACCTTTTATCCTGCAGCAACACAACAGAAGTGAGTTTAGTCAAGATGAAACTTTTGAACTAATGAATCCAAAGACAAATTATGAGGTTGAAAACAAGGTGCAGCTGGCAGTCCCAATGCTTACTAGAGCAGATGATGCAAGTGTCACATTATGCATCTGTCAATGCTCTGTCACCGTAAGTAAAATTCTATGCAATATTTTGTTAATGACTTTTTAAATATGTATTTCTCCATCTTATTGTAGCTAAATTTAGTCATTTGTAGGAGCGTTCATGTGTCCATCCCCATCACTGACCATATTGTTGAGGGAGGGGAACACTTGCTTAACACATCTCTTAAAGCAACTAGAAATGGGTGAATAACAGCAAATAAGGTCATCTAGATTACTCTTGATCCTCTACCCAACACTGAAGTACAGCAGTAAAGGGCTTCTAAGGGTATTAAAAATAATCTATAATCAGCAATAAATCCTTCATATTATCAAAGATTTTAGCACTAAAATTTAATAACACATGCTTACATTTAAACTGGTCATAGTGGAGTGTTTTCAACTTCTGGTGATAGTGTCCAAAGGCATGTTTCTTACGAGCCTCAACACTGTATGGATAAGTTCTGTCACAATAATCACAGTAATATCTCTTCCCCATCCTTCTCACACATCTGAAAATATTTATAACCTCCATCAGTAATCATCTTTAATTAATTGCAGTAATACAAATATAAACATAAGTACTGTACTGTATTGTAATTTAGCTCCCAATGCCTGTACAACATGCCTATTGGACACTCTGTACAGGTTGTGAATTTTAAGTCATGTGTGCCTATGAAATAAGTAGAGTTAACTAAACCTTCCAGTATAAGAAAAGTTTTGCAACACAGAACTGTGATATAAAGCAAGCAAATAATTCAGTGACTACATATATCATTATCATCACCACTTTACTGTCATTTTCCAGGCCTGTCAAGGTTAGCGATGATTATCTAATTTCATGGTGAATTTCAAGCAAATTTTACATCTGGGTGTCCTTCCTATCATACACCAAGAAAATTAAACAAAACAAGGGAGGAGCATGAGAGAGGAAGACAGGACAACAAATTCCAGTACTGCACAGACAAAAAACCTTTCAATGTAAACAAAAAAACACCGCATATTGTAACACCACAAATACAAAACTAAAGCATAAAAGGCAGATTCTCATAAATACATATCATAGGAATATGTATATTACTTACTATTTGATTACTTATGTATTGCAATCCATCTCATTTAGGTTTATCATTAGCAATTAAAAATGTCTATGAATCAATAGTCTTATGTAAATTATAAAAGAAAGATTTCTAAAGAATACTTTATCTTTATCAGCAATTATGGAAACCAACCATTAACTACATGAAGAATGTGTATCTGTACAAGCTAATTTTTTTACAAATTGAAACCAGCTTACCTTAACAAACACACCCACACAATCACTCGTACAAGCAAACAATTTCTTAGTGAGTTTTTGGATTGTTGGCCGAGATATAATGGTAGAGGACGACCATGAGGAAGAGCGAGACCCCGAGGATGTTTACGAACACTGCCAGCTGCACGTCAGAAATCATTCTAGCAAGAAAAATAAATTTATGAAAAAACAAAATGCAAAATGCATGTTCGTTTCTAAAATGAGACCCAACTCACCAAACCAAATTTGTCTATGTAGGTAAAGAAGACCATTTTAGAAATACTGTATATACCTCACAAGTTATCAAAAGCTAAGCAGTACAGTACAATAAATATTGCCTTAAAAGAAGTTCTACCAAAATATTGATCCGGGCAACTTTAATCTTACCATATATCAGGGGTGGGCAAAGTGCAGCCGGTACATTTGGCCCGCCAAATTATTTCTGTGGCCCGCCACTGCATTTGGCAATCAGAAAAAAAAAATTCTTATTAATTACAGAAAGGACAATTTTGGAAGTTGGGTGGACATAGCAGCAATACTGGCTCGTCGCTGTTAACCTGTGGCCCGCGAAGTGTGCCACCATTCATGAAGTGGCCCTCCATCAAAAATAATTGCCCACCCCTGCCATATATGGTACTGTACTTTCTTTAATTTTTTAAAGTAGGTGAGACCTTAAACTTTTATAATAATGCACACTGGTACAGTATAGTATTTCCCATTTGAAGACATTTAAACACTGTGTAAGAAGCACACACACATGGGAATAAACAGAAAAAAATTTACATGGGAATAAACAAAACAATTTAAATCAAAAATACTAATATCAAAATTCTCCCAGATAGAATTTGGCTGTACTGTGCCATATACAGTACTACAGTACATATTTTTCCTGGAACCATGCAGATTTAACAAGGCCATTGATCAGCAAAAAGCAAGGATTCAGACACTTGTATACAGGGAAATGAACACCGCACGAGTGTACTGTACTGCACGTCACTTCTGCATACAGTACAAGTGTCCTCCCATAATGCATGTGCATTGTTTGAAGAGCACTATACCGTACATGGTTTGTGCAGTGTTGTGGCTTTACAATGATCATTCATTTGGAGGAAAAATAAATAAAAAATCAATGACTGTATAAATGGTAATACAGGTACTACTTTATGAGAGTGGTCCAACCTTAGCAGCTGCATGACAAATTGTTCAAAATACAAGCTGCTAAGACTAGACCATTCTCATTACGTATTACTGTATCAATAAAAAACAATGGGGTGATAACCATAAACCATGCACAGCACCAATGACCCTGTTTCAATAACTATTTAACTACAGTACTGTACAAGGGATGAGTTTTTGAAAATATGGTTCTCACTTACATCTGAGGTCCAATTAATTATTTTATCATTGTTTTAATGGGATTTATTAATCCAATTCACAAACACATTTACAGAAACATATTAATTACTATTTGACTGTGACAGCTAATAACTTAATAACAGTTCAGTGTGGCAGTGCTTTAAGATTCCTTGGGGGGGGGAATAAATAATTAAACCAAAACATGTAAATTACAATTCCTGTGGCAAACAGCTAATTTTACACCAGATAAATACAAGATTCTCAATTTTGTCGGTAATAGTGGAGAAAACGGGGGTTAGGGAATTAGGTAACATTTGGTGTGGTTAGGTTAGGCAAGTTAGGTCAGATTTTGTGCACTGCCGGATCAATTTTCTTATTTAGTACCAGGCAAAAAATCTCAAGAAATTATGGGGTAAAATTGCAATTACAACAACCAAACCTAACCCAACATAGGTTGGATGGATATATGAGCATTAGGGGTTGGCTGTACAGGGGACTGCCCAGTATGGGCCAATCGGCCTGCTGCAGTTTCCTCCATTCTTATGTTCTTAAGTATAATACAAGAAAATGGTAATAAAAAAAAAAATTCTATCGATTGAGTGTAGTGAATTTCCGGAATTCTGTGGTTGCTGTTTACTGTAATATTACCAATTATGGTACCGAACAATTCTATAAGATCCTTCGGGTGACACCCGTTTCCTCCACCTTTACTATTTGTCTAAAAAATATATAGGGGAGTTAGTAGAGTGAGAACTGTCTGTAATTGTATTTGTCTCGTGAGTGTAGACAGATTTTATTAAATCCATATTACGTCATGTTGTATACCAAACAATCAACATTGTCATCATGCACGAAAGCAAAGTATTACCATGACAAAAACCCAGGCCACCTCCCTGCTGAGCCTGGCAAGTGGGTGTACCTCCAACTGGGCCTAGGCCAGACATGCCGAGTCCTTGATGTGGTCCTCTGTTTTGTTTCCACCCAATGATACTACTCAGAATTTGAAAGGTTTGAATGTACTATATATTTGTGCCGAGAAATTATGAACACGGGGAAATGATTATGGTTACATTCTTTCGTTAATACTCACGTTATCGTCTAGTATCGCTCTGCTACAACAACACAAGGGGAAGGCGGTGTTGGTACCGGGTCGTAAGCGACTCCGCTGTTGACACGTCCCAAGTCTGGTCAGAACAATAGTCACAGCGGTCACGGTATTTGGGTATAATCTAAATCGCTCTGAATTACCTGAAAGTTAAAAGAATACAGGAATGCACAAAATAAAATAATGTAATATATCTTGAAAACAGGCCAATTCCAGAATAAATTAAAATTCAGTATGTGAACACGAGAAAGAAAAACATGTTGAGATAAGGTTGTACTATTTGTACAACCATAAAGCGCGTCTCTCACCACTTTTTATGAAGCTGTCCTGCATGGCAATGAACAGTGATATTGTAGTGGATTCCTCCCCTACAAACGCTTGTGTATGAACCTCTGTCTTGCGTGGCAGTGAGAAGTGATACCACCCTCAGTGTCAAGACCTGACAGTTACTCAGAATAGGCAAACTGTACTCTTAGCTTTGTCAATAAATTTGTTAAACTAAAAAAAACTAACCACTTTCACCTATTACACATGGCAGTAAAATGCTAACAGACACTTGACCGATCGTCTAACGATCGGTCACATCTGTTACAGGCCGCAACAGACATGACTGGGCAGCGATGTAATGGCTCCAGAATGTATCTGAAACCGCACTGGTGTTGGTCAAGTCTTGTCTTAAAGGGATTCACACTCGGTTTCGCCATTACTCAGAACACTCTGATGTTCTTCCAAAAAGTTCACAGCTCGCTCTCCAAAAAACTATGCCCTGATAATTTTATAAAATTGTGGCTTCTTTAACCTGAGACTAGTTATAGATATGAACACTCGACTGAGTAATGTTCTCTGACAATTGCAGAAGATTTCACTAAAAGGAAAATAGATGGGTTTAAAGAATTCAAAGCCCCTGGAGTGGGCGTGAAGTGGATTCCTCCCCTACAAACGCTTGTCGCTGAGTAGCCGACCCTCGAATTCCCCAGTGTATGCCTCGTGGTCTAGGTCAACCAGGGCCGCCTTACATGACGGAGGTCAACTATTAAGCCACGCCTACCTCCGCTATATAAGACCTGACCTCGTGGATAGCCCACCTGCTGTTAACCTCCTCCTCTATTTCCCACTTCTTAACTTTACCTTGTACTGTACCCTTCTTGCACCCTCAGAGCAAATGCTCTCTTCTCTCCGTATCACCGACCGACCGACCTGTCCCTTCTTCTAGCTACAGCCACAGCCAGCAACACCTCCTCCACTCCTGCCTGGCGGACCTCGCTCCCGCCGGCGAGCATGTCGACCCACAAGCTGGTCCCCCTCTGAGCACCCTCACCAACCAGCTCTCACTACATCACGCTTGTAACCACGCTGCCACTTCCCAGCACCAAGCTGCATTGTACATCCAATACAACATGTATACAGAGAGCACATTGTAAGTTTCCTTTCTCCATCCCATCCTGAGTGTGAACCAAACAACCCGTACCCCACAGGCGGATCACAGACCAAAGTTATAAAAGATTTGACAAACGAGACCTGCACTCCACTAAAGACTCTTATTCGCGAAATCCTTGGATAGATGTAAAGTGCCTAGGGACTGGAAATCAGCCAACGTCACCCCAGTATACAGGAAGGGTAGGAAAGGTGCAGCAGAACACTACAGGTATGGCCGACCAGTGATGTAGAGGATAAAAGCAAAAGCAAAAACAAACGCTTAAACCACTACTCCCCTTACCCAATAATGGTGCAGGTAAAGTTACTGTACTTTGTGGAATCAGTGCATGCCCAGGATTAGCCAAAAGTGTGTAAAAGAGACGTGACTGACTGCTCAAGCAGTTAACAGGCCGTACAGTTGCGAAAAGGATACATTAAATATTTATCTCAACAAACCATGGCGATAAAGAAATATTTCATCATATCCCTGTTGACAGAGTTATAGCTCGTAAAATTACAGTTTGACACAAAGTTGAACCTCAATTATTTTATAAAAAATCATGTACGATAATTTTCTGAATTAATACACTACTCCATAATACATCTACCACCAACGGTACTATTATTTCTCGGTGAAGCAGTTCCTGAGGTACCAACAGTACGATAATGGTGCCTCACAGGTCACTCGGAACATTACACATTCCTCCGAGAAATGTCATTAGTGGATATTTAGAGTTTATATAAACTACCCTGTGATACAGAGGCATATACTCTATTGTTTTATTTTGCAGTCAGTAATATTCTGAAGTTACTCGTGAAACATAAAACTCGGCTCATGATGGTAGTAAATGTTTACCTTTATGTACTAGTTTTCGTTAACAGTTGAAGGATGTTTGTGTTTTTCTTCTTAATATAATAAATTGCATTTAAACGTCACACATTTTCTAGCAACATGTAAATAAATTCACAAATGAAATACGATAATTTAGTGATCCTGCAAGATATTCCTGATCCATTAGGGAGGCGCAGAAGCAACACGCCATCCGTCCCTAGTCACCACTCACCAGTTGACGTAGGGGGACTGTAGTGCAGGGTGTCTGGTACTTCACTAGAGGTAGTCTTTGTAGTTTTTACCTTCATAGGCGCAATGGTGGAAGAAGAGAAGGACAATTCGCTGGTTGAAACTAGTAAAGCCTCGCCAAAAATGTACACTTTGGCAGACGTATTGGAACATACAAAAAATGACTCTTGTTGGATTGTGATTCACGATAAAGTCTATGATGTAACCAAATTCTTAGACGAGGTAAGTAACGCCCTGTAATTGTTGGTGATTGAACACAGTAAGTTAATTCACCGTCGGAGAAAGGGGGAGATTTGTATGTGAGGACGCGTTACACGGCGGTGGATATTGTACTGTACAGAACTCTGCTCCTGCCACTGCCTAGCGATGATGTAATCCATTGAATATAAGTTTGGTAGGAAGGAAGAACGAATAAGTAGCTCATAGCCTCTGTGCCATTGACACATCAACTAATTGACAAGATTTATAAGTAAATTAGGTAAATTTATTATAGTAGCCAAGTTTCGATTTTTCAATAAAAAAAAATCCTTTGGTTCTTGTGATTTGAATGAATCTGAACCATTTCTGGTGTTAAAGGCCCTAACCTAACCGAAACTTGGCTACCATCCTAAATGGACGGTAAATTATGTCTAAATCTAGCAAAAACTGATGACTTAAGTACTGTCGGGGTTAATTGTATATCTTTAAGTGCCTCATTTTTGCTAAAATTAGATGTAACTTTGTGGTGGATTTGGCAATAGTCTAGGAGAGGGGCACTCCTTAACTACAGTACTACTGTACTGTAGAAAACTTAGTAATTACCTTGGCCACTGGCTACTGGAGCTCATCATGTGGCGAGGTACAGTAGTTAAAGAAACTGCAGGGTGGCCCAAAGGTTGTACCCTGTTGGGATTTTATTTAATGTTTGGAAAAAATCATGAAATGTGTCTAATATAATATTGTACTGTACGGTTACAGTCCATCTCGGCCCATTACCAACTCGGACCATCGTGGATAACTAACTCAGACCACTTTGGTTAATGAACTCGGGCTAAAAAGTAAGTGTAAAAGTTTACACATTTTTGCATGACTGATAAAAAGCAGCGTACAATCAAAGACAAAAGTCGTGTCACTGTTTTGTCCGATGATTAAATATAACTCGTGAAACATTATGAGAGCCCTAACACAAGGCAGGGAGCACCAAAAGCTTAGCCCTTCGGCATATGTTTTCACCAAATTTCACGACACGACTTTTGTCTTTCATTGTACATATGTGGAAGAGGTGATCTTTTTTATATATAATTTTATATTTAGTTCACAATTAAGATCACTTCACCTGGAGACCAGACAACGACACCTTCACAAAATGACGGTTGAGGATAACTTGATCACGAGATCTGAGTTGACATTTCACAACAATGTACCCACAGAAAGCGACCTCACTTTACCTGGAGACCTGACAACGACACCTACACAAAATATGAACGTTAAGGATAACGAGTTCCACAAAAATTTAAATAATAAGCTACTTAATGCATAAAGGCAGAACATACCATACAGAAAACTCGGATCAAATAACAATGACCCCAAGTGGATAAATAATTATTTAAAAAATATTGGCCAAAGGAAGGCTATAGGTTGGAGAATAAATCGTGAAGTTTACCTCCGAGATTATTATAAGGTATTATCCAGTAGGGTTAAGACTGAGATAAGAAAAGCAAAGAGGAATAATGAACTGAAGGTAGCAAGGGAGGCGAAGTTAAACCCCAAGGCATTTTTTCAAATGTATCAAACTAAAACACGAGGCAAGGTTGGACCAATACCGGCGAGCTGACTCAATGATGGAGAAATGAGCAATAATCTGAATAAGTATTTTTCTACACTTTTCACCATCGAAAATTTAAACATGATACCTGAGGCACCGACTATATACAGGTACTCCTCGACTTACGACCACCCGGACATACGACCGCTTCAGTCATACCAAAATAATTTCAAATTACAATACGTATTTTCGAGTCCCGACGTTAGTGATTGCTCTGTGTACTGACAACAGTTTTGTTTGTAATTCCCTTTAAAATGGCTGGCAAGCTTAAAACTGAGAGTTTTGTGGTGCTGAGAAGAAAAGTAGACACCCATTTTAGATTTTCTATATTATTTTCGCATTTTCGACTTACGACCTGGATTTGGGTCCCTAACCCCGTCGTAAGTTGGGGACTGCCTGTACAGAGATAGTGAAGAAAATAGATTGAGTGAGATAGTAGTAACTAGTAACGATGTTGGTAAGCAAATAGACAAGCTAAAGCCTAATAAGTCACCAGATCCCGATGAGATATTTGCCAGAGTACTAAAGGAATGTAAGGAAAAGCTTAGTATGCCCTTAGCAAATTTGTTTGTCGTTAAAAACGGGTGTAGTACCAGTATCCTTTAACTACTGTCCAATCAGTTTAACATCAATTGAAGGCAAATTGCTGGAAGCAATAATTTCAAACCCTATTTGAAGTTACCTGGAGAAGCACAAGTTATGATTGTGAATCATGGTTCATTGATCATGTTCTACTAACGTAAACTCATAAAATTCGTCCTTCTTACCGATTGAACCCTTGGTATTCACTCATTCACACTCTTCGTATTTCAGTGAACCAAAAGAGACATAAAACATATCTCGGACTCATTCTTGAACCTCTAGTCAGCTACTTGTTTAAAGTATGCAAGGTGGGCCGAGTTAGTAATGTGTGGGTCGAGTTGGTTATTTAAGATGGGCAGAGTTGGAGGTGCACCGTACTGTACAGGTATAGAAATATTTACAGTATTATGGTTTTCCTTGTACAGTGTTGTCTTGCATGTTAAATTATATTTGACATACTGTATATTGCAGTACACTAAGTGGTTGTGAATGTTATCTTCTTAATAATCACTTGGAACTTTGGTAAAATTGCAGTTTACAGCAACCAAAGATTCTGATAAAAAAAATTTTTGTTTCTGATGGTTTTTCATGCGATTGGTTCAAATCTAACATTCATTTTTATCGGAAATCACTCGTTTTGGATTTAGCCCCCCCGCCCCTCCTAACAATAACGGGGAAAAGCGTGGGAGTTCTGGGTGGGAGAGAGCCAAAATGAGTGATTTGTGGAGAAGCGAATTCCAAAATTGTCCGATTCGCAACAAGAAAACATCAGAACACATTGCGCAACAGAAATTCTGTTATTTACGAAAAAATAGTAGAAATACAGTGGTCCTTCGGTTAACGAGCACAATCCATTCCAGCAGGTTGCTCGTTAACCAAAACCATTGTTTCAATGGGTTTTTGGGTAATTGGTTCCAGCTCACCGAAAATTGCCTAAATTCAACAAAAAAGGTAGAAAAGTACACTTACTTTGAGGTGTGCATGTAGAAGGCTCCTGGATGATGATGATGGGAATTAGAATGGGGGTGGAGGAGAAGGAAGAAGAGAAGGCATTGGAGTGGAAGAGAAGTCACCCCATGGCACCATTTCACCCATAAAATTTTAGTTCTCTTGGTGTATTTCAAGATTATTTTCTTTAAATCAACACTGCACTGCATTATATATTGTCAATATGTAAAATATATTTCAAAATGACCAATAATTTGCTTGGAAACACAGAAAAAAAGCGTTTAGTTGAAGAGAGTCTCAAGCAAGATGTTACCTCCACTGAAAACAGAGAGAGACTAACGTCTGTCTGGTGTGTTAACAGGCTGGATGGCACGCCAGAAACTAGTTTCTTTACCTTCAATTATGTTCAATAATTGTTAAAAGACTAAAAAAGTTAATATTAAACTTTTAAAATTATTGAATAGTATAAACTTCTTGATATTTACTAAAATAGTAAGGAATTTAAGCCCTAAAACCGATTACTGTATTGGCGGACTAATACTACAGCTGGTGGACCGCCAAATGCAAGCGAAAACATGAAGTCGGCTCGTTAATCGAGGGATTGCTCATTAACCGAGGCGCTCGTTAACCGAGGGACCACTGTAATAGTTCTATCAATTGTGTGTTCTGAATTCCTGATACTCTATCCGTGTTAACTTATACAATACTATAACCAAACTAAACCTTGCTGGACCCCTGGTGGCCCTAGCCGGGGGGGGGGGGGTTGCCCCCAGAGCCCCAGACACTATGTAATAACCCTGAGTTGTGTGGTCAGTACGTAAGCGAACGTATGAACACACAATTTGAGCAATATCGTAAGGGCAACTGGTGCTCTGATTTAATTCTTGTTAAAATTAAATAACTTCCTTATTATCAATTTGCGACAGAATTGTAGTATAGTCTCTCCTCGACTTACGACAACCCGGACATACGATGGCCATGGTCGTATAAAGTATTTTTCAAATTACGTATTTTCGGGTCCCGACGTTTGGCCGTAATGTGACGCCATACGATAGCTTGGGCTAGGCCGCCTCGTGGTGTACAGCAACCACATCATAGCCCGCTCAGTTGGTGTTTGGCCGTCGTTGTTGTTAGTGATCGCGCTGTGTACTGACAAAATTTTCATTTGTAATTCCCTTTAAAATGGCTGGCAAGCGTAAAAGTGAGAGTTCTCGTGGTGCTGAGAAGAAAAAGAGTCAATTATTTTTTTGATGAATTTCTATGTATTATTTTCGCCTTTACGACCAAATCGACTTACGACCTGGTCGTCGGGACGGAACCCCGTCGTAAGTCGAGGAGAGACCGAAATGATCATAGAAAAAATTGTTTATCGATCGAGTGGAGTGAATTTCCGGAATTCTGTGGTTGTGATCCTTCAGTGTTGGTGCACCTGCTGGCCTCTATGACTTGGGCATATGATGGCAGTTTGTTCTATGGGTGAAAGGAATACAGTCCAACTCGGCCCATTGCCTACTCAGACCATCAAATACCAACTCGGACCACTTAGGTTAACGAACACATTTTACACATTTATTTTTGCATGAACGATAAAAGTACAAAAGTACACTACAATGATAAAAAGCAGCATAAAAGTACAAACATTACTGATAAACAGTCACATGATGAGAAACGGCTCGTAGCAAATTTTTAGCAGATCTTCGTCCACTACTGTTCATCCCCCAGTTTGAAGAGCTGTCCTTGGTGATGTACATACTTGACCCGTTGTTTTCGTAGCACTTTACCGTCGGACAAGAGCCGCACCTGTTGTGTCACTAGTTTTGCTTCATTATGGAATAGCTTGATTAACGGATAGAAGTTAAGTTGTCCTTTTCTTGCTTTCAAATTAAGGCGATTATACTACCCTTCACAGTCGTTATTTGTGCGGACACTCCTTTTAAATACACTCCAAGCAGATGGGGTCCAGATGTCATTCCTGAACTTCTACTCGGCTACTTGTTTGAAGTGTGCAAGGTGGGCCGAGTTAGTAATGTGTGGGCCCAGTTGGTTATTTAACATGGGCCGAGTTGGCTATTCAAGATTTGGAATTGGAGTTATACTGGTGAAAGTAACTCAAATTTATGATAATTTTTATGCAGTTTTATCCAGAAAAAATAGCTATAGACAGTAATTGTTAGTACAGTATAGGCAACAATGAAATTATACAGTCAGACATTTTGACATAATAAAGATACACTTTCAGAGACTGTACTGTATTACCAGATGTGATACAGTATACTGTATTATAATTGGTTTTGTTATTCTCCTCTACACTTACAGTTGTTTAAGTGGGAGGTAAGTGTAGTGGAGGGGTGGAACGAGGATATTATGGTTCTGTGCTTATCACATGTCCCTTCAACTTTCTCAACATCTTTATTCTGTTGGCCTAGTAAAGAGTAAGAGGTGGAGTAGGGAAGGACTTACCCTGTACAGTGGCTTTAATATTTTATTTGCACCTTACTCTTCTAGAGTGCTATTACCTGGCAGGTTGGTACAGTGGTGCAGAACCATTGCTGTATGGACGAAAGGATACACTGGTCATTAGCACAAGAGAGAATATTTGCTCGTCATGTTACTGTACTCACACCAATGCTGCTAACACACACACACACACTCTCCATTGGTGAGAACATACATGACAGCTGCCAATCTTGTTTTACGTGAGTCTGTCCATAGGTGCCGCATTGGAGCCCTTTGTATCTCGTGTACAAGAAGCTTAAACCTATGTTAATATTTACTTCCCTAACTTGTTGAAAAATCTGTATGATTGGGTTTGCTATGACATTGATCAGAGCAACGGGAGTGAATCCCTTTTAAAATGGGTCGAAATACTCTTTATTGGATTGTTATTACTCCTCTCGGATACAGTACACCTTTATGCCATTATTATTACCATCTCTGTTTTGTAACTTCAGTGAGCCAGTTAGATGCAGGAAATTAGTGGTAAGAACTTTTGAGGAATCCTGCCATGATCCCCATTTTCTAATCTTGCTCCATGCTCACCCTTTCCCTCTCCTCATCCCCTCCTTCCCCTCACCCTTTCCCCTTACTTCCCCCTACCCTCCTCCTTGCACTGCTCCCTCAGTTCTATCTCGTCTTCTTTTCCATTTCATATTCTTCCCTGTCATTCCTCTTCCATCTTCATTAGCTCTCGTCCTCTTCTCACTCACTCAACTCCCATCCCCTCCTTCCTCCCATCTCCTCCTTCCCTTCCTCCCCACTCTCATTGACCCCCGTCCTTTCCCCACTCACTCCTTCCTATTCCTGATCTCTGTTGTTCATCACTCAGTTGGTAAGCCTCGGGGTCCTGGGCTGAGGTTCCTTCCTCATCATGACTGGTTGCATTCTATTCTCTCTCGCCTTCCCCTCCCCTCTCACTCCTTTCCCCTCCCCTCTCACTCTTCCCTCCCCTCTCACTCCCCTCTCACTCCTTTCCCCTCCCCTCTCACTTTCCTCTCACTCTCACCTCCTCACTCTCTCCCTCTCCTCCTCCTCACCTCCCTCCTCCTCCCTCTCCTCTCACTCTTCCTCTCATTCTCCTCCCTCTCACTCCTCCCTCCCACCCCCTCCAACCTTGGACTCCAGTTGGTCGCCTCCTCATGGTGACTTGCATTTATTTTGATCTCACCTCAGGGTTATGGTGTGTGTGTGTGTGCGCGCGATAGTGAGTTGTTTGTGATAGTGGGACGATTTTGTGTGTAATTGTGAGATGGCTGTTATTGTAAGATTATTTTGGCATGATTGTGACATGGTTGTGTGTGTGATTGTGACATGGTTGTGTGTGTGATTGTGACATGGTTGTGTGTGTGATTGTGACATGGTTGTGTGTGTGATTGTGACATGGTTGTGTGTGTGAGTTAGTTTGGGTTGTGAGGTGGATGTGTTTGTAAGAGAGTTGTGGTTGATATTATGAGATGATTATGATTGTAAGATGGTTGTGGTTGAGATAATTTTTGTGTGCGTGTTTCTGATAAAGTTGTGTGGGTGTCTGTGTAAGGCAGTTGTGGTGTGAGTGGATGGTTGGTAAAACTGTCACATCACCAAAGTGTGGATGTCTGAATTATGATTTTTTTTAGATTTTGTGTTGCTGTGCCATGATGACTGCATGCTATCAAGTGTCATGGTGATAAGCAGTGAGTGAGTATAGGTAGGTGGGTATCTTGCTGACTCGAGAGTTTTAGAAAATATTACCACCACTTTATTGGGGGTTTTGCTTGACGATACACAGCTATTGACTTTACTTTTGCCCTCTTCGCCACTGATCGGTTCGTTAGTCCCTTGTGCAGTTAGACATGTCTCTGTTATGTATTGTTGGCAAGTACTGGATGGGTCATAAAGGGACATAGCTCAAGATCATGATGTCCAAAAAAAGATGAATTTCTTGGTCTCTTCAGGGTGTACTGTATTGCGTGTCAATTATGGTGCTCACTCTTCTTTTGTCACTACAGTAGGTGTAAGTGTCTAAAGATGGAATGAGTAATTTTGTCTAAGAGTGTTGTTCTTATGCTCAAGTCTTTTTACAGCATCCTGGAGGTGAGGAGGTGCTTCTGGAGCAGGCAGGTGGAGACTCAACAGAGGGTTTTGAAGATGTTGGCCACTCTACAGATGCTCGAGAAATGATGAAGGAGTACTTTATTGGTGAACTAGTTGAGGTAATTTCCCCCCATTAACCCTTCAAGTCCTCATTGTGTGGTGGATGTGTGTGTACTTATTATTCCTGATCCAGTTTGAAATTTGTTGAGACGCCAATTGTCTTAGACAGCTACATGATGATATCACCTTCAGAAATTATTTACCCTCAAAGTTTCTAGTCATTGCCAGGGTGAAAGGAGGTGTGTAGCTTTATAATAATTGCCCTAATTAATGTAGAGAAAACATAGCATGACTCTACAACAACAAATGGATATATATATATATATATATATATATATATATATATATATATATATATATATATATATATATATATATATATATATATATATATATATATATATATATATATACACAGTATATATATATATATAAAACTTTTGTTTTGTTACATTCACTCTCAAGGCCTTTGACTCCATTCCATCCTTCCATATCTTAAATTTCTTCACAGCCTCTTCAATACAGTACTATCTACTCTCAGACTAAGTTATCAGCTTACATCAACTTTAAGGAAAGACCAGTTCCAAAGTCCTGTGATATTGCTTCTAGTACCATCCCATGATAAACAGGAGGAGGCTCAAGACGAGCACTTGATGAACCTCTACTATCACTTGAAATTCTTTTTGATACAAGTGATGCTTTACCAGCATATGGTTGGGAAGATCAGAGATGAATATGATAGGAGTGAAATAGGAGTTGTTGAATCACCAAGTGAGAGAGAGAGAAGGGAGATCCTTTATCAATAAAAAGGATACATAAGAACATAAGAATGGAGGAAACTGCAGCGGCCCATATTGAGCAGTCCCGCTTACACCCAACCCCTATTGCTCATATAAGCATCCAACCTATGTTTGAAGCTATTCAGTGTATTCGAGTTAATGATGATATTTGGTAACTTGTTCCATTCATCCACTACTCTGTTTCCAAACCAGTGTTAAACACTCACCCACCCATCCTGCAGCTTCCCTTCCTGTCCTGCCTTCTGCCTTACTGACAATTGATTAGAAACTTTTGAGCATCCTTGGGTGAATTGGTCCAACCAGTTACGAGGCATGTGGGAGAATGTGTATGTGGCCATTTATACTGTAATTACAGTATAGCAGCCAAGTAAAATAATCTGCATTTTCCATTTTAATTGTCAGATTAATGACACCTGTTCGGTTTTATATATGTTTCAGGAAGATCGGAAGAACACCAAAGACACTGGACCTAAGCCATGGGCAACTGAATCCACCTCAACTGAGAAGTGAGTTATTAACAGATTTGGTGATTGCTATGTTCACACATTTAATGAGGGAATAATGCTTGGTACAGATGTGTTTGTTTCATTGTACAGGAAAACTGAACGAAGAAGTTTAAAAAAATTACATTACGTTAGATGAGGGTAAAAAATACTATTCAGCAAAATTTATTCCTTAGGAAATGGGTAGGGACCTAATTCACTCCATTCACTAAATTTTTATCTCAGAAAATATAGATGTGGCAACTCCGTTATAGTAATATTTCAGAAAGACATAATGTAGGCCTTTACGTACACTAATGACATATACGGTACATTACACACTAATATATACTAATGACATATACACTAATGAGGGAATAATGTATGAATTATTGTAATAGTTTCATTTTGCTTGTAATAAGAAAATATATACGATAGCACTGTAGTTCTACTCTTAGAAAAATGAATTACTATACCGGTACACAATATTATTTGAGGCAGTGATTTTAATTAACATATTATTGTGTGGAAAAGAATGGCATTGAAAGGTGTTGTGCTCATCTTATAGTGAAAATGTTGTGTATTAGTTAAATAGTTACAATATAAGGGTAAGAAATTAACAGAAGCTTATTGTTAGGTGTGCTTTGAGTATGAATGTAAGGTGGCGGCAAAGTGGTGTGTGTGTGTGAGAAGTTGGCAGTGAGTGGTTGTCTTGACTCTTAGGTACATTAGTTACTGTTTCATGTGTGGTGTTATCTGTGTACAGGAATAAGTATGTGTGTTAATCATAATGCAATACTGTATGTATAATGATAACAAAATATACAGCAGTAAGTGTATTTATTGAAATTTCAAGAAGTATGCATATGTGAGGTTGTGATAGGAGGTGTTTGTGGTCCAGGAAAAGGGAAAAATGCACTTATAAGCAAAAGAAAAAGAAACCCAATTACATTTACATTGGTGTATAGGTTAAAGCTAATTAGGAAATTACATTACACACTAACATTGTGTAAAAAAATTGCTTTATTTTATATTTTCAAAAGAATGATTCATTAACACTATGGTCAACATCCCTTACATGTGAACTAACCATGCTGGAGTTCTAATGCTAACACCAAGGAAAATAACCCCCAGAAGGAGAGAAGCCATGATAAGATGCTAGATTTATTGATAATCTTAGAATTCTATTGCAGTACAGTAATGTTTCAGTGGATGATTTTGTTGAGAAACATTTACCAATTAACCTTTAAAACACTTTCTGTTTTAGACTATCATGATTAAAATAATCCTTTTACCAGGTCTATAAAAGAACTTTGTATATTACTCGTGGTTTCATTGTTGCAGTAACTGGAAAATGTTGGTGATAACTGTTGGGCTGGCTGTTGCTGCATCACTTGCCTATAAAGTATTGAACAAGTGAAAGGCAAACCATTCGCAGAGATTTCAAGATGTATGAGGATCTGCTTATCTTACAGCTCTTGGAGGTCGTGGTTCGTGCCGGTGGGTCTGGCTTGCGTAGCATCGTTGATCTACAGGATGTATGCCCTACCTCAAGCAAGCTAATGCTGTTAGATGCCCAGTCCCTTAACCTTGTACCTTGTATCAGGCTCATGAACTTGAAACATCAGACTCATCCACTTCCTAATCATTGTCAACCCCCCCCCTATTGTTTCCTAGTTGATGGTTCCTTAGTGCATACCACATCATCACGGTAATATACTAAAAAAAATTATTCAGCATATTATCAAATCCTTGGGGGAGGGATATTTTCCTGTGAAGATTATTAAGATCTTGTGCTCAACAAAAGGAAAATAAAGCATCAAAAATACTACCGGTGTACCTCCCCTCTCTCCCTCCTTTGTATGCTGAGGTTAATTTTCACTTACACTTCATCTTTTGTTTTAGTATTTTGTCACCAGTTGAGTAAAGATTTAGTAGGTACTGTTTTTCCCCTCTGTTATATGAGCTGACATTATATAATGGTTTTTAATGTCATAACATTGAACATTAATTATTTTCCATATCATGTGTATAAAGAACAGCATTAGAATTAGGGTTTGTTGGGAGCCAGCAGTTCAAGAATCTTCCACCATTTCAGCACAAAACCTTTATAAAGATAATATTACTGCACTGTCAAGAATTCTCTCTCATGTCTCCAAGAATAGGTGAAAACTCTTGTGGAAAATTAATGAATTAATGTCATTATTCAGTCTTTATTATGTGCATGACTTTACATCCAATGTTGCCAGGCAGTTCTTTAAATCACTAGTCATAATTTTGTATCGATATGTCTTTTCCAATTGATTTTTTTACATGAATTGAAAATATAATTAACTTTATATATATACAGTATATTGTATTTTTTTTTTTTATGGTAATAGATAAAATGTTCACTTTCAGCCAAAGTTTGTAATACAAAAATACCATCAACTCAGTTGTCGTCGTGAAAAGCTCTTATAGGCTTCATTTCATTCCAGGGAAGTTGGGAACAACTGTATTTTTTTCAGTTAATCACAGAACCAGTATATACAGAGTACATTTAACACTGGAGGATAGTTTTAATGTCAATAATAATGCCAATGTAGGTACAGTTGGTGTGCTTGTCTTAATGTAGGGTTATCCTGGTGGATTCTCCATTAGATACAATATGTGAAATGTTTCTTGTATTATCAAGTTAATATGTTAATGATTTTCATGTTGGGGTATACAGTATTATAGAATCAGGTGGTGATGTGTCTGGATGTACTAGTCTGAGAATTATGAAGGTGCTTAGGAATGTAACATATCTTGTTCCATAACTCTTGCGAGTGGCTACTTCGTCTTCTTGTATTTACCCATAAGTGAGGTATTAAGCAATGTTGTTGATTAACTGTTAGGAAGCTATATAGGGTACTGTATATGTTTATAATACTGCACAATATTAAATACTGTACTGGCAGCTTCCATCACTAGGTTCATATGTCAGTTACACTGTTGAATCTGACCTAAAATACATTCACTGCTTTGCTGTGATTATGACACCTAGGTTTGTGCCTCTTTTAATTACATTTTATTTTTTAAATGGTGAATAATTTAGGACTTGAATGAATTTTATGAGAAGCTTTAAAATCACTTGATCCTACCCATGTAAATGGCAACAGCCTTCACAGTAATGGATATATAGGGATAGGGTTTTGTCTTCAGTTATAGTTTGCCATGTTACATAAGTAGACATAATATATTCACTGTTTTTATTATTTAATTGTTAATGTATCTGGCAGTTTCATGGAATGACTGTGATTGGAAGATTTTTTACATGCATAAAAACATATTTTTAAGCTTGTGTGATACTGTAGGTAAGTGTGTTAACAATGGCATAAAACAGTCATCACTACTATGGAGGTTTTTGAATATATAATCCACCTTTTAGGATGGGTTGTATCAAATTCATAGCAAGAATTTGTAACTATGTTAACCTAAAATTTAACACTTGAATAAATAATTATGTAATACCCAATATATTTCCTTCTTCCAGTTGTTCAGGTATTGAGTGAGTAATTCCTCTTTTCACAAATATATAAATCACAGTACGGTACAATTTATCAGATGTCTTGACACATCTCGGTGTGCTAAATGACCACTCTACTTCACAAGTGGGGGCTGGAAGTGTCAAGGAGATCAGTAGGGCTTCTTAAATAGCTGGAAACGAATCAGAAGATCTGTGAAGGACAAGGTTGCACCGGTATAAAAGTTTCAGATTACCCCCTGGTTCAAGTTACCTGTGCGGTCACATGAACGTAGGTTGAAATTAACCCTCAAGTTTCTAATCCAATTTCTCGCAGTTGATTTGACCATATAGATACTGTATGAAGATAAACCAAATTTTATTGATTGTTTGTTTGTGTGGTTATGCAGGTATGTATTTAAAACCTCAATTTTATAATGTTGATGACCAATTCTTGTCATCATAAGACATATGTAAAATTCGATTAAATCCATCAATACTCGTAATAAATCATAACAGTTCAGTCTTAGAAAGGTCGCCATATGTGTAATAGGTCGATAAGTATACTCATAACTGTCATTAATTTCCATGGCAGTAGGCATAAATAAAATTAGAAAAAATCATCCCAACATTCCTGAGCTCAGAGCTTTCCGGTATACATGTATAATGTGCATTTCCTTTGCTCTCATTTTCATTTATGAATATAATATTAACAAATATTTATAGTGTTTATAAGTATATGTCATATTGTACTAGACAAATTGTACAGTTTCCCAAATATACCAGATATGTTACAATATGCAAAGTATTTCTGAAAATTGCTAAAATAATGCATAGTCAGTTTTGGTGACAAGTGGTCGCAGCTTCAGTCTAACCTAACACCAGGTATACATGGTTCCTCTGTGATGTAGACATCATGACAGTCTTAACTGAGTCAGTCAGATGGCCCCAGGCACCAGTTATCACTCTTGCCAATGAAATCATAATTCTCTCACACACAGGAATTGTCAAAAGTACCAGCTTACCACAAGTCTCTGTTGTGGGAATCTTAAGGAACAAACAGTGCACTTAAAATCTTGTAATATCGGCCACATACAGTATTGTGAACAAGGAGTGCAGGAAAAAGAACATTATAACTTACCAGGGTGCACCTCCATGCAGACACTTATGCATGTGTGTAAAATTAATCATTACAGTTACAGTAGTCTAACATTCTACCTCCATTTAGTACTATTATTTTACCAACATAATTAAGATGTATACGTAAACTATATATGTTGACGAGCTAATAAAATGTGCATATGTGTCAGTCACAATTGCACAGCTATAGTATTCCTCTCCCCACTTATTCATATTATGATAACTGTTTTTCTCTATTGGCCACACTGATGTTTGTGTGCTTCATAAATGACACGCCATAAGCTATAAACTCCTTCGTAGAAAGGTTTGCGGACGATGCCAAAATATTTAGGAAAATTTAGAATTAAACACCGTGAAGAGCTGCAGAAAGATATCTCTGAGCTTCAAGAATGGTCGAAGAAATGGCTGCTAAGGTTCAACGTCACAAAGTGTAAGACGATGCACCTGGGACATACCAACGGTAAGGAGGCGTATCATATGTCCCAACGGGACGAAGAAACTGCATTAATTGAGACCAAATGTGAAGAGGACCTAGGTGTGTATGTTGACAATGAACTGAAGTTCAGGAGTGAACCAAGCAATTAAATTATTAGGTCGTATAAGAAGGTCATTCAGATATCTAGATGGCCTGTCCCTCGTAACAAAATTCAAGAGTGAAGTTCTTCCCCATTTGGAGTACTGTCACCCTGCCTGGTCCCCGAGATATGCTGAGGACTGTCAGTTGATTGAAAATGTCCAAACAAGGGCCGCCAGACTGGTGCCTGCATTTCGGCACCTCAGCTACCCAGTGAGATTATAGTGATTGCAATTGCCTAGCTTATACTACAGAAGGGCAAGGGGGGACCTAATTGAGGTGTATAAACATCTCAAAGGGCACTACTCAGTCGAGTGTTCTTACCTGGAGCTGGTGGACACTGGTCCCACAAGGTGTCACAGCTCAAGGTTAAACAAGCTGCAAGTCCAGAAAACTGTGAGGGCGAACTTTTTCAAAGTGAGAGTTGTGAACTCGTGGAACAACCTGCCAGAGAGTGTGTGATGGCAGTGAGTGTGAGCTGTTTCAAGACCAGACGACCAGCACTGGAGCAGGTTCAGATGCATTCAGGAACCAGTGCCTGCCCAGTACTTGCTAACAGTGCATAACAGAGACATGACCGATTGCCCAAGTGGCTAACGAGCCAATCGGTGGTAAAGAGGGAAAAATGAATCTTAATTAACCTAACCAAATGTAACTTAATTTATTACTTTAACTTACATTTTACTTTTATCCTCTTCACCACTGATCGGTTCATTAGCTGCTTGGACGATCGGTCACGTCTTATTCACATAACCTAACCTATCCTAACCTAATCTACCAAATCTAATCTTATAAGATTATTTCTTTAATATAAATCTGTCTTAAATTAACTGCATGATAATTATTCTATACATACTGTAATATTATTATTATTATAATTATTATTATTGTTATTATTATTATTAATGTTATTATTATTGTTGTTATTGTTGTCAATAGCCATTTAATTAAATTGATACTCGTTTGGTCTCTTTTAAAAGTACGTTAACTCCTAAGTTCATTCAGCCATTTAATTACCACATTTATGAAGCTGTTTGTTTACATCCGGGGTTTTTTTTTATTTTTTTATTTTTTTACAAAAAAATAAATATTTTTTTACATGGGCATACTACTTTACTTTTTTTATTATGGTATAGGATATACTGTACCAATAATTTTATTTTAGTATACATTATATTGTTTTTATCCTCTTCGCCACTGATCCGCATCTGTTGTCTCCTAGTAGTTTAGGCTAGGGTATTGTAGCAGAACAAGGCACAGTTTAATCAGGTACTGTACAGTAAAAAAAAATGATGATTGTACTGGAGAATGAATTTTTTAGCTAACATAATAAACTTGAGGGCTGTAGTGGATTCCTCCCCTACAAACGCTTGTCGCTGAGTAGCCGACCCCGCGAATTCCCCAGTGTATGCCTTGTGGTCTAGGTCAACCAGCGCCGCCTTACATGACGGAGGTCAACTATTAAGCCACGCCTACCTCCGCTATATAAGACATGACCTCGTGGTGACCTATCGCTCTCTTTCTACCTACACCAACCAACCAGCAAGCAACACCTCCTCCACCTCCTGCCTGGCGGCCCTCGCTCCCGCCGGCGAGCATGGCGACCCAAAAGCTGGTCCCCCTCTGAGCACCCTCACCAACCAGCTCTCTCTACATCACGCTTGTAACCACGCTGCCACTTCCCAGCACCAAGCTGCAAATTGTACATCCAATACAATATGTATACAGAGAGCACATTGTGAGTTTCCTTTCTCCATCCCATCCTGAGTGTGAACCAACAACTCGTACCCCACAAATGGTGACCCCGGAGATTGGCACTCAAACAGGATGGAGGAGAAACCGATCACTCTCTCAGTCTTCAAGCAACATGGAAGACTGGCTTATATACACAGAGGCAGCTCTCAACGGCTCTACAGCTACTGTATCTACACCGCAGGTTAGACACCCTAGAGCAGCTCTGCGACTCTAAGCAGACAGCCGCTCCTCTTCCTGCCCCAAGCACCATGTCCTACCGACCCCAACACACCCGTCCTGCCTCAGACGCCGCCCCCGGCCCAGCAGTACCCCCTGCTGCTCCTCCTGACACGGACCCACACACCCCTCTTTACTCCCCTAGGTACCCCCCTGCTACTGTCCTGCACCCTGCGGCTGTCGTGGACCCTGCTGCTGTCATGGACACTCTTCCTAACGCAGCCCCTGCTCCTGACCCAGGCCCACACACCCCAGCAGGCGCATCTGAGGACACTGTACTTGTCGCAAGGGAAGCACAACATTAATCGCCTCCACAACCCTCCTCGGCTCTCTCCTCCCACAGATGCTGTCATGTATCTCTTCCAAACGCAGCCCCTGCTCCTGACCCAGGCCCACACACCCCAGCAGGCGCATCTGAGGACACTGTACTTGTCGCAAGGGAAGCACAACATTAATCGCCTCCACAACCCTCCTCCCTCTCTCCTCCCACAGATCACATGTATCTAGACAAAGCTGTTTCCACCAGCGGCCGGCTCATCCACGCCCTCGCCGTTGTCTCACATGTGGCATGCACCGCCCATTCTGCCTCATATGTGCAATGCAACCCTGCAGACAACTAGTCTCGTAAACCGCCTGGAGGGAAGGGGGGAGTATTGTAGTGGATTCCTCCCCTACAAACGCTTGTCGCTGAGTAGCCGACCCCGCGAATTCCCCAGTGTATGCCTCGTGGTCTAGGTCAACCAGCGCAACTATTAAGCCATGCCTGCCTCCGCTATATAAGACCTGACCTCGTGGTGACCTATCGCTCTCTTTCTACCTACACCAACCAGCAAGCAACACCTCCTCCACCTCCTGCCTGGCGGCCTCTCTCCCGCCGGCAAGCATGTCGACCCACAAGCTGGTCCCCCTCTGAGCACCCTCACCAACCAGCTCTCTCTACATCACGCTTGTAACCACGCTGCCACTTCCCAGCAACAAGCTGCATTGTACACCCAATACAACATGTATACAGAGAGCACATTGTGAGGTTCCTTTCTCCATCCCATCCTGAGTGTGAACCATATATCTCATAACCCCACAGGACTGCTTTTATTATGGGCTTGTGTTGGCCATTGTGGGTTGGATGGCATGAGGTGTGGTGGGACTAATCAAGTTGGTGAAAATTGTGTTATGCGAAGATTTATTCCTCTCACTTTTTAATAGCAATATGGCATACTTGATGTGGTTACGAATGTGTTGAATGATGATAATAATAATACTTACACGAACGACATCAAACAATCCGACTTAGACCTCACGAACGGTTCCATCAGCCAATGAGCATCAAGTTTTGTTCATCCTTGTGATGGTCGTCAGCTATATGGCGAAGAGAATCATAAATTGTAAACAAACATTAAACCGAGGAGAAAACCCAGAAAAATGAGGAATATATAAAATAAGCGACTGGCATCCTCATATAAACGGTTTACTATAAAGGAAGAAGGAAAGGAAGTAAGAAATGAGGAAGGAGTGAGGAGGTAAGTTGGTGGTTGGGGAAGGGTTGTATGGGGAAGCTCGAGGGATTCGTTCGTATATTTATGTGCCAGATTGGAATGGGAGAATGTACTTAGTTACGGTAGAATATTCAAGTACTTCTGACTCCTATATAAGAATCTTTGAAGAGTGAGGGTCTGGACCCCATGTTGATCTGGTGCTGGATTTCAGAACAATGTACTGTAGGTTTTAATACTTATGATTTTATGGTAATGCTAAACGATTCTTCCACATTTTAAACATATTTTTTTTAAATTTATTATTGAATTGAAGATAACTTGTTCCTTACTCTGAGAAAACCTCAAGAAAACCATAAATCAATTGCAGGCTGGCAGACCCCAACAAGGGGTCACAGCTCAAGGTTGAAGAAGCTGCAAGACCAGAAAACTGTGAGGGCAAATTATTTCGGAATGAGAGTTATGAACCCATGGAACAATATGCCAGAAAGTGTTGTGACGGCACCGAGTGTGAACTCTTTTAAGACCAGACTTGACCAACACTGGAGCGGGTTCAGGTACATTCAGGAGCCAGTGTATGCCCAGTACTTGCCAACAGTGCGTGACAGAGACGTGACCGGTCGCCCAAGTGGCTAACGAGCTGATTAGTGGTGAAGAGGATAAAAGTTAAAGTAAAGAATCGTAATTTTCTTGTTTTTGTATTTTTTTCTATAAATAGGTTATGTCCATCCTCTGTCATTTTTGTATGCTCACTCTGTTTGTAGAATCGTGTTGGATGAAAAGTATAATTAAATAAACCTGAAGATTTACTAGATGATCACCATCTATTAATAAAAAACTTGAGATTAACAAGAGGTGAGAGCAACCATCGACTGATCCTAAAAGGCGCATGAAGTATGTCAGTAGAACTGAAAGGGCCAAGAAGGTAACTTCAGCCCTTCTCAAGTCTAACTACAATATCTCGACCCTTAATTTGGTGCCCGACCTTGATATCGATTTTGGTCCCCACTGAATGTGGATATAATTTAGCTACATCCCAAAGGAGTTCAATTTTCAGTACCGGTATTCTCCATCCTTAAATGGCAGCCTCTGTGTCTTTGTACAGTTACTTTTCTGATTTTTTCAACTTGATAACTCAAACAAATAGCAATACTTGTATGTCAATGAAACCTGCTTCATGGGAATAACTCAACAACATAGTGTACAAGTGTACAATGGAGGTATGATAATTTGTGGGCTAGGTACCATAAGATATTGTGAATTATCAAATAACAAATTATAATTAAATTGTTCCAAAACTGCTTTAATATACACTAAACGTCATACATAATATGTAAGAAAATACAGTAACATAAATATTGTACAAACGGTAGTTCTGTATGACATAAACAGCTCCTTCCCGTCTCATAATATCGTGTGGTTATGCCAATACACCATCGAGGCAGGCGCTGGGCTGGTTGTGACCACACTATGTCAACAATGAACCAGGAATTTTTTTACTTTATAATAATGTTTTATAAACTCGGTATCAATTGAACCTAAGTATAATATGGGGATGAGGATGAACTTGCATAATGTTGTAGTAAGGAACAGAGAGAGGGAGGGGATCCTCAGTCCACAAGCCAACTGCCATATCTCCCATGCTCAATTCACTCCTCAATTTTCATTTATCTTATTTTATATTTTTATATTTTCTATACAGATATTTCTAAGTCAAATTAAAGCATTGAAATGCTATTTCCACAATTTTAAGGTTTCTTATGTAAGTAAACACCGGCAGCTGGCACTCGGCTGTGAATTATGAATATGTGACCGCAAAATTTAAACAAAGAGGTAATAATAGAGGTACCCGCTGATTTAAGAACCTGAATTTGTATTTTGAAAATTGTCATGACTTCACTGTATTTAGTGTTTTTCCTTCTTAATTTAGGTGTTTTGGCCTATTTGCAAGAGGGTGTTTGAAATCAGGTCATAATCCAACTGTTAGGTTAGACACTTTGGCTACCACACATTTAGTTGTATGATTTATATTTTGTGGTCTTTAAAATGTATTTGGCTCACTTGTTGTCAGTGGTGTCTGCTATGGTAGTCATGGTCTTTCATTATGTTGGATCCTCTTATATAGAGGAATTGCTACCACCTTTATTAGGAATTGGCTTACAAAACCTTGTGCTTACACCTATGAAGAAGGTTTATTTGATCTTAAAATCTGACTAATCACTTGTTTTGTAATGAATTTAGCTACTGTATGAAGACAAAGTTCATGGTCAACAAAATAGATTAATGTATAGGTCTTTATAATTTGCAATGTTGTTTGATGGAAAATTTTCGTTGCAGATTTAATATACAGGAGAGTGAACTGAGTGACCTTCCTTAATGGACTGTCAAGTCAGTACCATGAGACGCAGCAAAATAAGTAATGGTTCTGGTAGGACCAATACAACATCAACTGTTACTAAAGGCAATGGGACTGATGAAGTACCTTACATTAAAACAGAACCAGCCATTATCTTAGAGGAACTGACACATATGGATGAATCTGCTTTTGTGTTCTGTGAGAATGACGGCAACCAGAGTGATGACCTGACAGACGGGGACCAGGTTATTACTGTGTCACAAGAAGACGATGATTGCCTGGGCACCATTTGCCAAGTTTGTAATAAAACGTACAAAAACAAGAGAAGCTTGTCTACTCACCTACGAGTCAAACACAATCTCTCTGCCCAGAGTAGGGCTAAAATGCCATGTTTAGAGTCAGGATGTGAGTTCCGTGGAAATCGCATAGCAAGACTCATTTCTCACCTGATTCGAACTCACAAAATGAAATTCCAATGCGAGAAAGTAACATTTCAGCAGAAAGAAGGTAAGAAATGTTCACAAATGTTATATGGGTGTGGTTCTCTGAGGGCTCATTTAAACTATTTACTTACTTCTTTATACTGTACCGGTGTTGGTTACTTCTTATCCTCCCTCCTAATATTTTAAAGACTCAATAAGATACATCAATGAAGCTGTCCACCTGTCTTGTAACCAAATTTCATACACAGTTGGTGAACCATCTCACTTTTGGTCTCCATAAGGGATTTCAGCCATTCTACTTGTTTTCTTACATTTTCTTTGTGATCGAGATATATAAAACACAATGGTTTCTAGAGTAGCCTGTTTGTGTTTGAGAACAGGTTATATAGAGATAGGCAATACACGAGTGGCATGAACATTATAGTTCAGCAAGATTTTGTGGAGAGCACTGTTCTTTGCATGTATGGTATGGTAAGATGAATAGAGTATAAATATCTTGAATTTTATAAGGAGCACTTATTAGTGTGATATTCAATTTTACAGAATAGTTATTATTGCAGATTTCTGGAAGTGGAAGAAGGAGGCTGAGGAGAGGTGTCGGGCATCTTACTCTGCACAGACTTCTGCAAAGACGATGGTGTCCGGAGACGTAAAGTTTTTCCTGCGTTGCCGACGTAGTGGTTTCATAAAGTCCACTGATGCTAAATCATTGATGCCACGATCTCGCTTTATGAAGAAAGGCAGCATGAAAATTAATGCTGTTTGCACCTCATTTATGGAAGTGATGTTCATGAAAGAAGGTGGTGCCACAGTTCACTTCTGCAGGACTCACTATGGTCATGATGAGGATGGCTCTCATCTCCGGATGAACAATGAGGAAAGAGACATGATCAAAGATCTTATTCTTGAAGGTTTTTCTGCCTCAAAGATCATTGCCATCATGAAAACACGTATGCCTGTTCACCGCCATCAACTCCTGAAGTATGCCAATATCCGCAATATATCTGTCAGACAAAATCTTTTTATGACCCGTGGCAAAGGACTCGTTGGTAGCAGTCGACGGGTGTTCTTAAGGAAGATTCCAAAGTGCCTTTTAGTAAGACCAGGAGAAGATTCTTCCATGAGCTTACAAGTAGAAAATGAAATAGAGGTGGAAGCAGAAATGGCAGAAGCAGATAGTTCATACCCAACCTTGATTGTCCAAACATATTCTCAGGGGAATGTGTTTAGGGAAAACATAGAAAAATTGAAAGAATTAAGAAACGAAATTCAAACTAAAATTGAAAGAATATCAAGATTAGCATCAGGTTTGGTTTCAGATACAGCACTAAGACGTTTAAGTGAAAGTTTAGATAATGTAGCAAAAAATATAGAGAATGAGAAGCACATAGAAGTTATTCCAGAAAGTCCTGATACCACAAGTGTAAAGCAACAGAATATAGTCTTACATAAAGATACTGATGGGAACTCTGTGCTTCTCTTGTGCTCGAACAAAAATATTGAGGATCTTGTAGACAGCAAAAATGTGAATATAGATTGGAAACAAAATTTAAATGTAACTATAAAAAAAGAAGTACAGTAATTTGAAATGTAATGACTGTTACAATTCTTAAATGTTCCATCATCTTCATATGGCTTCAATAAGCCAATTGGGAAAGCAACAGAAATATAAGCATTAGACATCCTTGCTTGGAGGACAATGGCTTCTGTGTTGCGACAAGTTATGATACTGGTAATGCAGGCAAGTGATATCTGACATGGTTATTCACACTAAACACATTTGGGAGATATTTTTAGCTTTTGTCATTCTGTCAAATATGATGAAGAGGAGCTTAATATGTTTTATAAGTATATCTTGACAAACAGGATTTTGTTAAGATATGCCTATGAATGTTGCCACAGCTTTTAATTGATTATTAATATGTAATGTGCAACCAAACTTTTCATTTATACTTAGTACTGTATGTACTGTACTATTTTATTTTATTTTTTTAATATCTTATAGCTTATATATTGGGGCAAATTTATACATCAATAATTTCCACCACACCATTACCTAATTTAACAATGTTAATAATAATTCTACAGATTGAATTTTGTTTTATTTTAACCATAGGTTACTGCCACAGACTTATTGCATAGTGAAATAAGATCTGATTGTTGGGCTACTTCATGGAGTCTCAAGTGTTCATTCTGTGGCAATTTCCAGACATGACAGGATTAGATTTAGTGGCATGGTTCTGCCTAAGACTGATGAATCATTAAAGGAGAAGGGAAGTCCCATGACAACAGCACAAATTTACTGTACAGTGTTAGGCATGTAGGCTTGAGGTCATACACCCTGTCATTTGTGAACCAGTGATTTATGGTATATTTAGCAGAATTGCCTAAATTCACCATTCTGTATTACTGATGGAGTTGATTATTCTGTTTGTAAAATTAATCATTACTATTACAGTAGGCAAACATTCTACCTCTATTTATTACTGTTATTTTACAAATATAATTCAGGAATATACATAAAATATATACCATATGTTTAGCTATTAAAATGTAACATGTGCATGATAACAGTGTTTCTCTGTCTTAAATTGGATACAATGGAATAGAAACATGACTTGTGAAATAGGAATAGAACTTAACACAACCTAACCAAATCTTAACTTATTTTAACCTAATCTATATTAACCTAACCTAACCAAATGTAACTTAATTTATTGTGACCAAACATAACTTATCCTAACCTAACCTTGCCTAATCTAAACAAATCTAACCTTACCTACCATATCCTAATTTAACCTAACCAAACCAATGTACTGTACAATGGTTCATAATAATCCTCAAATAAATTTATTCTTATAAATATTTTATTTACAATAAATTTGGCAAAAAGTGACTAAAGTTCTATTATGTAAACTTTTTATAAAGATTTTGATTGCTAAAGTTAATTTCTTTAATATAACTCTGTCCTGAATTAAATGCTTAATAATTATTCCATACATAGTTATTAATAATAATAATAATAATAATAATAATAATAATAATAATAATAATAATAATAGATTATTGCCGCCAACCTAATCTCGAGAATTTTATCTTTGCAATCGACAATTCAGACCTAATTGTAAAGCATTCTTCTATGGCGTTTCCTTTGTAAATGACCTATATTATTAATATTTGTATTGTTATTGGTTAATATATAGGACTAACCCGCCGGGCTGCTTAGCGCTGATGCAGCCATATCATCTGACGTCCAGAAATGCCTCAAATTTCACCATATCATAGTAAGTTCTTTCTGTTTAATATACCGGGGAAGTTGGGTAAGGTTAGGAAGGTTTGGTTGGTTGGTTAGGTTGTTCTTTATGACCACAAATGTTATGTAGCATTTATTTTAAAAATATCCGTTTTTTAACATTTCCACAAACTACAACAGTGGGTTAGTCCTACAGTATATAATTACCTCATTATTATTAGCCTTTATTTTAAGTGATACTCTGTTGGGCTCGTTAATATTACGGTAACTCCTTTTAACTCATTCGAAGTCATTTAGTTTCCACATTTAAACTTATTCACGAAGCTGTTTATTTACGTTCTTTTTTTTTCTGTTGCAATAAAAGAAAATGGAACTTTTATATGGGAGGACTTTTTACTTTTTATTAATGTAGGATACTGCAAAGAAAATGATGGCAAGTCAAACAGCAAACATTTGCCTTCACCAAGAACATTGAAAAGAAATTAAAGATCAGAACAGAGTAACAAATATTTCAGGTCATACAAACATTAACTTAAAAAGGCACTGACACATTGTAGACAAAGTCGATTACACAGGAAATGGGGGAGAAGATGGTTAGCCTGGAATTTCTAAGCACAGGCACAAACTCCCTCCTCAAACAGGTTTGCCTTAGCAAAGGCAAGATTATGAATACTAAGAAGATTCTCTGAATACCCTTCGATCTAGTTTCACAAGTACTATATAGAACTTCATTCCATATAATTCTAATTGTATAAATCTACCCTGAGATGAGCAACTATCCAAAAATACAGTATTCTTTCACTCAAATCATACAATTGAATCTATTCACAAAAGCATGAGGTTAGAAGTTAGGAACATCAAATTTTATTGCCAAGCCAAAAATGTCTGGGAAAACTCTATGGAGAACCGTGTGGTGAGTTAGTCCCCCGGGCGAGTCTTCCCGTGTTCTGTGGTCAACAGCTGACGGTGACAACAGCGAGTGACAACACAGCACGGAGCCGCTGTTTAAAAGGGCTGTGATTTAATTAACAAGAATTACTACAAAAATGGTAGGTAGTTGGCAGAATTTAGCGGACGAGTGGGAATGAATGTGTATGAACTTTACAGGTGTTTAAGTATATGTGAATAGCATTTATCAAACTGGATTGGTCTATTTTCTGGCAATTATTAAAAAGAGTGGTACCACGTTATCTCAGAGTTTCTCCTTTTCTTACAGAAATAAAGTTGTTGCAATCGTCCAGATTTAATAAAAAAAAAGGGTTAAGGTGGAGGAGACGGTTATTACCAGAAGAACTTGTGGAATTGCACCAAAATTTCTCGAGGTGTTATTTGCAGGATTCTAAACAAGAAAATGGGGGCAAAATTATCGTTTCGGTCATCCACCTATTTTAGAGGACCCCCAGTGGAAATAAGGGGTTTTAGGTGGGGGAAAATCACAAAAAGTAGTACAGTAATTTGTGATAGAAATGAAGGTCAGAATCGTTCAAAACTCGTCAAAACCCACCAGAAAAACATACTTTCAACCTCACCTAACTTAAAATTTGCTAGATGACCTAAACGATAATAACACCACCTTACCTAACTTCCAAACCAGGGGGCTGGGGCAGAGTCCCATGGACCCCAGTATATCAAGCAGAAACAACTTACTTTGATGTCTGGGACCAATTAAAACAATTTTCTTGAAGTGGCATGGTGTAATTTCACATCTTCTGTGGACGTAAGAGTGCGAGTATTTGTTACATTGAAACAAATAATTCTTGTTCACTGTATGCTCTCTACTGCATTTTGAACACTTGTAAGTCCTTCCAACTAATCCATGTTGACAGATGACAGATAAACACTATAACATAAGGTGGTGTTTTACTTGTGTGTGGACGCTGTAGTTAATTAAATGTGGTTCACTTAGTTCTTTGCTTATACTCATCCATCTTAGTAGGGACTCAATATTGTTATTATATTAGTTAGGGGAAATGAAAATACATATCTTGCTTATTAAATTTATTCAACAAGGACGTGATCTGAAGTTAGATGTGCTACCCCTATTTCTAACTACTGTAGTTATACCATGGGGGAGGGAATTCTTTATACACCCGTACGACTACAGAGAAAACGTTCATTAACCTTACCGTCCAGTACGAGCGTCACCAGCTCGTGCAGATGCCACCCACACTACACCACACCCAACACTAAACTGACTATACATTTAACATTATCTATTAGCTGTAGGGAGCATACTCTGAGTGTCCAATCAGTTTGTTTTCAAAGATTCTTTAGGCATTTTTTCCACTGATTGACTAGTTCACAATATGGGTGCAGTCACATCAGTTCTTCATGACACTTGGTATAGGCAGGGATCTGGTTACCCACAAGGGGATAATGAATGGCGACGAATTGGGGTAATTGTTGCTTGACTGGCACTGTAAACACACAGGGCCCCATAGGTAAATATTCAAGTTCCCCTTGTAATGGTTGGCTGATTGGCTCTTCTGGGCATAGGCATGTGTAGACGTCTCTTTTATGACAACATGATGCCATAACTACGCCATTGAAAAATAAGATCATTAGCTTCCTTCTTGCCCTTAGGGAAGAACCATAAGATTAGGAACATACACTTCATATAGAATCCAATGATATTTGAAAGAAATTGGAAATGTATCCAAACCTGTACAGTCTCTCCTCGACTTACTCACAGATACTCACAGATGATCTTCTGGAAGAGGCTCACGCCTGTGACTCCAGCTCAATAGCCTCTTCTCTACTCAGATGGTGGCTGTGTGTGGCGGATATTTGTGCCCTATAATTATATACTACTTGTTGTTGATTTTTCCAGTATTTATCTAATTTTGCTTCAAACTTTTCCACTGTCTCCACATTCACTACCCACTCAGGTAACCCATTCCAGTTGTTGACAACCCTACCATAAAAATAAGTCAGGCTGGACCTAGTGACCGCCAGTACACCAGATCTCGACCCTTCTGTCGGGCCAACCATCTTCCTAAAAAAAAAAATAAAGAGTCAATGTTGTAAAGTTAGGGACCCATTCACAGCTGGGTGAATTGTCAGTGTCCTGGGCTTGAACTATCGACCCTTAAGCCAGGAAACGAATGCTATATCTACTCGGCCACCGCATTATGCTATAATTTATCTAAATAAAAAAATAAAAAATTTATATGATATTATATTAAAAGACAACCCCGGGCCACTGACAGCCGGGTAAGGGAGACAGCAGGGCAGGAGGGGCCAAAGCCGTGCTAGGAGCAGCTCAAGCCGAGATTTTACGAGGTAGTGAGTGTACCCGGCGGGCCATCAAGATTATTGAGTAGTGCCAGCGTGGGCCAACCCCCCCCCCCTTGAACTGGCCCGCTACCTCCCTCACTACCTGACTCCTCTCCTACCTTCCTGCTCTTGACTTTTTCCTGCCTGTTTCACCATCTGTCTCGCACGTTGCTGCTGCAGTTTACTCTTCCCTGTCTACAGCCTGTCAACCTCCCTAATTACTGCCTGTCAATATACTTCTCTGTGCCTGTTTATTTCTTGCTTACCTCCCTGTCGCTCATGTCTATCTGCCTGTCTCTCCCTGCCACTACCTGTCCATCTGCTTCGCTGTTACTGTCTAACTTTCCTGTCTGCCTCCCAACTTCTGCCTTTGCCCATACTGAAATGTCTCCTAGCGGACCGACGACCAGGTCGTAAGTTGAAAAGGCAAAAATAATACATAGAAAATCTAAAATCGGTGTCTCTTTTTCTTCTCAGCACCACGAGAACTCTCACTTTTACGCTTGCCAGCCATTTTAAAGGGAATTACAAACGAAAATTTTGTCGGTACACAGCGCGATCACTGATGTTGGGACTCGAAAATACGGGTGGTCGTAAGTCGAGGAGTACCTTATGGGATTTAAATCCAGTTACACTATATGAATCTCTTCCTTTTTACATAGAAGTTAAAAAGCACAAAAAACCATATATGAAAAAAAAAGATATGTGCAAGCCATAAAAAAGGGAAAGTGAAGCTTATCAAATTAAAAAAACGCAAGCCAATATTTTGTGTAATAAAACAGTCTGTGTGAGGACCCATCATTATTTTTATATATTTACAAAGACCAGATTCACAAATTTATACTTTAATAGTGGACGAGAACGATCAGCGCCATGGGAGATATGGCGGCAGGATATTTATTTCTTTGTCTACAAAGCACATAGAGACATGAAATTACTGCCATATGACCAGTGTTTCATCATATTTTACCCTGTAATTTCCCTCTTCTTTCATACCCTGCCCACTACAGGTGATTTATGATATATAAGATAGAGAAAATGAAGAAAAAATAACAATTAATGGTTAAAGTTGGTGTATAGTTTTTATTACAGTACTTACCATCATCCAAACAACACCCGTCGTAACCGTCTCCTCCAATATTACCAACCTAGCCTAACCAACCTAACCTTATTTTACTTCTAAACCAGAAGCTCTGCCATCGGTTAAATTAAGTAAGATTTTTTTTTATTGGATTAAGACTTTCGTAGGTTAGGAAAGGTTAGGCCGAGGTCTCAAAGGTTTGTTTGGTGTTTTATTAATACGTTTTAACCCCATATTTTCCCTCGTCATCAAAGCCCAGCCCAATTTGGAAGAAATCATTGTCGTTGCTAGTGTTAAAGGAATCATATCTCCATAAATATGTACAGTATATCCCCTGGAAATATAGGTAATTTTCATTCATAACACCATAAAAAAACATAAGAAAAACCTTATTTTTAGTAATAAAATTCTTGCTATGGCATAAAATGAATCATTACTGGGTCTGGCCCAACATGAGGGTCACATCACAGTCATCACCGTTCTATGGCCATTTTCCACTGGTGAATGGGTCAGCTGTGTTTGCTTGATGTGCCGGTGTCCCGGTTACCATCAAGCAAATTTGAAGTAGGTTTGACTGCTGGAAGTCTTTCTTATCAACAACCTACATGAGTAAATAATGTGTATGGAAAATCTGCATTAGGCAGACTTCATATCTTTTGGGACATACAGTTTCAGGGAAATTAAAAAAAAGTCTTAACATGATTTCACCACAAGAGTGAATATTATACAGTATGCATTGTACTGTATTGCCATTTCTGTACCGTATATAAATATGAATTAAATGATAAATTAGTGATGTGAACATGTGTGTAGATACTGACATAATTACAGTATATAATACTGTACAGAAAGTTACACTCACCAATGAAATATGAACTTTCAAACTGTATCATATATGCCATTTGCCATGATCTGACTGACTGATGACACTTGTAGAACTGAACACTGTGGGCTAAACTGGTACAAGCTAGAGTACTGTAAGATACTGTACAGGGAAGACAATTACTGTACTGTATCCTTATTGTAACCTAGAATATGTAAGACTAGCATATGTATCCCTTGCTTTTGTATATATAACTGTATAACTGTTATAAGAACATATTGCAGGACTTGACGGCTTTTTCTCAAGAGAACTTTAATCCAAAAGACTGGATCAACAATGTGTTTCGTAGTCAGGAGGCGCAGCAGAACAGAGATGTAAGTGACCAGACTTTTGTTGTCTCATAGTTATGGAATGATTGCATTACTGTGGGTTAGGCCTCTTTCACACAAATGTCACACGGCCAAGAAATCAATGGAGTTCAATGGGACCTTTCACATGGACATCCATTAAACTCCATTGATTTCTAAGTCGTTTGACACGTGCAACAACAACAAAAAACACTTATGTGAAAGAAGCCTGAGAGTGAAAGTCTTCTGGGAATGAAGAAGTTGATGCCTGAGAACCATTTGTTGTTGACTTGTTAGAATGGTGAGGTGTGTATTGGTTATTGAGGTGTCATGTGCTAATCACACCACAAGTCTGGGTCTGGCTCACCCATAAAACAAGATTTCAGGGTTAATCCTCCATTTTCAGTTGTCAATATAGTGCAGAGAGTTTATTGTTGTGATTTATCTGATGCCAATATATGCTGAGCTTTGTTTGTTAAAATAAATGTAAAAGAAGAAAATGGTAAAGTACAATATAGTACTGTAGTTCCTTTACATCTGTATGAACTGTATAAAATGATGATACACAAGTACTGTAGAGAGTTTCATAGAGAGCTTCAGTACAAGACAAGGCTCCTTTGGGTAACTTCCATTTTGGGTTCTCAAGTCTGTATGGTATTTTATATATAGTACAGTATTGTTACTCCTCTCCTACTTTTGTATGAATATATCAAGGATACAGAAACTACATAAAAGGAAAGCAGAGTGGTACAAGACAAGGAAGATTAGGCACCCTAGCTTAGTTCACTTAAAGGATATCATCCTAATGTTAACCTAACTTAACCTAACCTACCCTAATTGAACCTACTGGGTATTTAAACTTAACCTAATCTAACCCTCCAGGTAGTTTTATGGTTGTGAATATTCAAATGAAAAGTAGAAACTGATCTTTTTTAAACAATATCCAAAGTTATTGTAGATCTATCCATGTCTGCTTCAGGGCCCATATCCTATTTTGTAGTCACATCACACTTAATAATTAATGATTACTCATTTCCTAAATTGATGGTAATATTTTGTATAATATTTCAGCAATATGCTTCGTCACTGGTAATGAGGCTGCAGTTAGCCATACAGGAGGTGAACCATGCCCTGGAGGAGACAAGTCAACAGGTGAGGTTTTATTGCTCAAACTTTGAAGCCTTATAAATTTTTAATGAATAATGCAAACAGAGGAATATTCTCATAGCTCATAGTCAGTACTGTATGCTTGAGATTCATTTGATGTATGGGTACATTAGGGTACTGTACATTTATGTAGCCATTCAACATGTGCACCATTTGTAACATGGACTAAGTCACAACAGTACTTAATTTCCCTCTGCACTTTTTTAACATCTCGGGGGTTATAAAGGTTACCGCTGCTGTGATGTACTCTTTAAGGTGGACAATATCCTGTGCCTTTGTGGAGTACACTGTGGACTGTGGTCATCACCCCTCAGATATGAGGACGGATATATGCGGGATAAGGGTTAGGTGTAAAAGGGACTGCCCAGTATGGGCCAATAGGCCCACTGCAGTTTCCTACATTCTTATGTTCTTATGATTGATCATGTATAACACCAGTCATAATATGTACAGTATATGTGATTATTTTCATGGATTTTTTCACACATTTCCTGTCATGTGATCAACATCAAAGTACTGTACTGTATGTCTTAATGAACTATTATTTTTCAGGTGGTGGGAAGCTTACCGAGGGTGCTCAGAGATATTGAATCTTTGGGACATGAAGTTGCCGTCCTCAAGAACCAGATGAACAGTGTGAGGCAAGACATAGAAAAGGTACACATTACAGATGCTCTAGTTAGGATTTATCAACAGTAGAAATACTGAAATATATTTTTAATTATATTTATAAATCATTACTCACATATGGAGGCTAAAATAAGGAAATTGGTGGGTGTGGAGTCCCTTATCCTCAGAATGAATTTGTTTAAATCAATGGTTAAAACTATTTTATAACAATGTGTTTTCTCTGACCTAAACTTCTAAAATGAAGAATACTACTGTATATATCAGCACAGTGAACGAAATTCACAAATTCATCAATACAGTACAGTACTATACTTGTCAAAGCTTTGGGCAACTCTAAAGGAAATTCAATGATTCAATAATAATAATATAAATTCCTGAAACTAATTTTACAGACAGTATTATGCTGTATTAAGACAGTCATACTGTACTGTAAATTGTAAAATTTCAAGTCTAAGCAGAAAACCAGGATCTTAGTTAGGCACATACAGAGTAGAGAAATACATTGTTATGAAATACTGTATAAACTTAAAAAACAGCAATATTAAAAAAATGTGGTTTAAACTAATCCACCCTGGCTCCAGTGTTTACATATAGGGTGGATGTAGTTTCTTAAACAGAAAAAAGCATAACAAAATTAGATGAAGAAACACATATTCCTTTCCATTTTTTTTGGGGGCTATTCATGAGGTAAGGATATATAATATGTATTCTATAAAAGATATATATCTTCTATCAAAAAGTTTCCCCATTTTGTTGTTTAAGGTACATAACAGTCATTGAGTATTACCTCTTATTCTGTGGGTTGTTGGGTTGATTGAAGGCAACATGGCTGTGATGTACAGGGTACTGTGTTATTTTTTTTTTTTTTGTGCAATTCCCTTTGTTTTTTATAGTTATCCTTATTTTTCCATGGTGTACAGAATACTGTACCGTACATTTCTTGGTTGTGTTTAGTAAGTAGATATTCCTTTTATTTATTTACCGTATTTACCTAATGGCCACCCACAAGAGGTGCTCATGTCAAGGGAAGGAGGCCAGTGCCCTGTATAATATCCCTCCACTATTCTTGATAATGTTGTCAAGGGCCATTTTGAAGCCCAATACTGCAAGTGATCCCACAGCTTGGGCTGTTAAACCATTCCATAGGTGTGAAGAAATATTTCCTTATGTTTGTTCTGCATGATACTGGGTAATTTGGTGAGCATTTAGTTGTGTCCTATTTCAGGATTTTATAAGTTTCAATGTGCCTAAAGGCCCTCAGTCTACTTAATGAACCATCTTAGATGCTCTGTATTGCACCTTTTCCCTTTTCTAGGGATGTTAGGTCTTTCTGGAGGAAGAGTTTCCATGCATGTACAGTATACGGTAATCCAAACTAGGATGCGATATTTATACAGTTGAAAGAGCTTTTTCTTATCTTTATTTTTGAAGTTATGCTTTACAATTCCCAAATCTCACAATGCCAAGATCTCTCTCCTTATCAATAGTATCCAAGAAAGTGTTATTAACAGAATAGGTATGATTAGGGTTATTGTATCCTTCATGTAGAGTCTTGCATTTTGTAATGTTAAAGAACATTTGCTGGTCATCTTACCATTTAAACAGTTCATGCTGGTCTTTATGTATTGTTGAGACAGACTTGACTTGCCACCTTCCCAAATATCTTCATGTTGTTTGCAAACTTGAGAATGTGGCTCAATACGTTTTCATCTGTCATTTATGTAGATCACAAACTGGGTGGGTCCAAGGATATAGTTTTATGGTACTCCACTGAGAACCTTTATCCATTCAGAATGTACTCCATTACCACTCTTTGTGGCCTGTCTTTGAGCCAGTTGTTAATGCACTTCAAAATCTTGCCTGTGATGTCATGTGTCTGGATCTTAGAGGCTAGCCATACAATTTTTTTTTGTTTAATGGGGAATAGCCCACCCGGGCACAGGTCATCGACCCACAACGGGGCCTAGGGGATGAAAAAATAAGAGTCAAAAGAAATTAAAAATAGAAAAGAAAAAGATTACATAAATCTACACAATGAAGATGCCGGAAAACCAGGTTTTTGGTACTTTGTCACACGCACCTATGAAAATTCCATGTACTGTACAACACATCAACTGGTAAGCCTTGGTTCATGTAATCTGTTAATATTTTAAGGAAAGTGAGGAAGTAATTTGTCAGGTATGATTTTCTTTCCCTAAATCCATGTTGTGATGCGTTGATGAGACGGTGCTCGGTCAGTTGTTGGATGCTGGTGGCCCTCAGAATTTTCTCAAAGAGTTTGAATGTGTAAGATGTTATGCAGATTGGCCTGTGGTTTTGTGCTGCTCTTTCTCTATCCTTCTTGTATACTGGCATGACTTTGGCTGATATCCAGTCCTTAGGTACTTTACCTTGATCCAAGGATTTCCTGAATAAATTTTAGTGGAGTGAAAATCTCGTTTGCCACTTCCTTTATCACCTTGGTCTGTGCGTCGTGCACTCCAAGGGCTTTGAAATTTGTCCAGCTTCCTACTTTCCTCTTAATGATATCTTCTGTAATTGTTATCTCTCTAAATTCATTTTCCACCCCTGAGATATACATTCTCTTAGGTACTGCATGTTATCCATCGTCTCTTGTGTGGATACTGATGCAGAGTATTCATTTAAGGTATCAGCTGTTTGTCTGTTATTCTCCAGGGCTACATTGTTTGGTGAATTTTTTGGGCATCTGTGCTTTATTAAATACATGTGTTTTTTGTCATAGTTTTTATTTCGTGAATGTTCATGGTCCTTATTTTGCTTCTGTACTTTGGACTTCAAAATTTTGAACTTCATCATATGGACTTGTTTTGGATTAGAAGATAATATCAACTAACTACTGTATTACACTCATTTGTTTTGCATGCTAGTACATTTGACCACCATGAGGAAAATTTGCACTTACTGTATTTTCAAAGTCTGTCAATAAACTCACTTTACACTGACAGATCTATAGAGTATATTAGGATGTGAATTGAAGTTCCTACATACTGTACATTGATCATCAGCTGAAGTTCATCATTTAGTATTGTAATTGGTCACTGGTTATATCATGATACAGTATGTCACTCATGGTACTGTACCTTCACACTCCCATATCATAAAAGACTTACATTATCAGTAACACAGGTGGAACACAACACAGCAGCCAGCATGCAGACGTTGGTGAAGCTCGACTCTCTAAAGGGACGTTTGGTGGCATCTTCTCAGGCACTCAGAGAAGCAGACAACTGGACAACTCTTTCTACAGATATTGAGGAGGTGAAGACATAGTTGAGCTCTTATCCCCTAAACAATTTTCTCATGTTAATTATCAGCATAATTTATATACTGTATGTGGTGATTAATGTTTCATTTGATCATATTTAAACTGTGGATGTTAATCAAACTATTGATTTATTTGCATAAATATTCCTCTTTTTTTTGAGCTGTCTTATATTTCTCAAAAGAAAATTAAAATGTCTGGTAATTGATTTTTCTTTGTCTACTGAAAAGGTAATGGATAGTGGAGATCTTGATGCCATCGCAAGCAAATTAGTTGCACTACAGAACTGCCTTGGTATCCTAACACATGTGCCTGACTATGAGGAGCGTGTAGCACATCTGGAAGGTCTTAAAGTCAGGCTCGAAGCTCTGGCCAGTCCTCACATAGTTGCTGCATTCACGCAACACAATCTGGGTGAGTGTGTGATGCAACATGTCCAAGATGTTACCTAACTTGATCTGTCCTGTACATCTTATTCAACATCCACCCATCTCTTTCCTTTTTGATTTATGAACTTGCAAGTTTAATAGAATGTGTGTGCGTGCCTGCCTGCCTGCCTCTGTGTGTGTGTAGGAGGGGGGATAAGTGAATAGGGAATGCTCAAATGTGGGAAAAGTACACAATAAATCCTACAAGAAAATACAGTGCTGTGTACTCCTGACTACTACTGTACCAAGGTTATTACTGCTTCTCGTCATAAACCAGAAATGTCAAAATAAAATTTATCCCAAAACGTTACCTTAGACTCCAAACCTCACTAGAAAACATCTTAGAAACCTTAAGGTGACTCCTGGCATGTCAGGAGATGCCCCTTAAAAATGACAGATTGAACAACAGAGCAGTTAACTACAACACTTTAAGAGGTAGTTCCCCTATAGGCCTAGACTATCTTATTGTTTCATGTACCCTGTACAAACATTTACTAAACAATGCAAGGGGGGGAAAACATCCATTGATAATATTTTTATGACTTTTCAAATTAAAAAATGTTTTATTATCATGAAAATGGCAGACACATTGCTTGAAAATAATATACAGTATTTACATGAAATTATTACTAAATATTACACTAACCATGTATTTTATGACACTAAGGACTACATACAGTACACACCATCTAGTATATGTGTCCTCATCTCATGCTCACTATTAACATAAGGCATTCATGGAGATGTGAGAAAAATATCTAAGTACTGGTATATAAGTAGCCTAAGGGACTTGAATGTATCATGATATGAAAAACTACCTTAACTTAACAAACATCTTATCAATCTTCTTTTATATGTAATGAATGAACATTAATGTTCTTTCCTCACATACAGTTCCAAATTTTATGCCTTTATATCTAAAAGTTTTATACATCATAGTTGTCCTGCATCTATGTGTTTGTAATTGATTTATGTCTTGTAGAACATGAATGGATTTCCTCTTTTATTTTATAAATATACTTAAAGTTTGTTGGTAAAGTACAATACCCTCGATAAATTCAAACATTATTTTTGCAATACAGGAAAAGACACGTTTTAATTAATGAAATATTGGAGCAGTGTGGTCCCTGTATACTGTACTGTACTTGGCTGATGCAATTATTAGTATTCTTTTTTGTAATTTTATAACAGAGTAAATATGACAGTCACCAAATTCTATACCATAGATAATTTATGGTATCGTAGGTGACCTGTGATCTCTGATCTCTCATTTTGAGTGAGAGTTATCACTGGGAAGTTAGTCAAGTTTGGATTATCATCATTTGTACATGTGCATGTACTGTACATATTTATGGATTGCTTCTCACTGGTTTTGTTACAGAGTTACAGTAATTAAAAAAACTTTCATTTTTATAGTCTTTACTACAAGATTTGAATTTGTCCTGAATAAAAAAAAAAAGTTTTAATGTAAATGGTTTTGATTCATATGGGACTTCTTTTGCTTGGGTTAAGACATCTTTTCTCCATTTGTGGCTTAATTTCACTACTTTTTGTGTCTCCATTAATTCAGATGAATCAGTCAAGTATGCACGGCTCCTGAGATCCTTAGGGCGTGTCAGCCAGTTAGAGAGTTATTATCACAAGTGTGAAATTGGTCAGTTGGGGACAGCCTGGCGTGGGGGAGTGGAAGGTTCACATCTGGGTGGTCCTCCTATGTGGCTCACATCCTTCTATGACAAGATTGCTCTACTGACATCACAGCAGGTACAGTACACTACCAGTAAGGTGAAGCTTTATACCCACTGTATAACTACCATACTGTATATTGATCAGCCTGTCAATTAATTTAATCTTGTCTGTAACTTACATTATCTATCAGTTACAGTATTATAATATATATTATTTATGCATTCTTATATCTTATTATCTTTCTGTAGTGCAGTGTACTGTACCTGGACCACATTGCTAATATATGCATGAATTAACCGTCCTGATAATGATTATGATCAATAACTTTGCCAGAAAATAACTGGAAATAACTGAAGGTGAGTAACCTTTGATTACCTCAAGGAGTGGTGACCCTGCCTTGCCAACTAAGAGGGCACTTGAAAGTCTCATATATATTGCCCAGTTCCAACTCTGCAAAAGTTGGTGGGTGATAGGAAGGGCATCCAGCTGTAAATATTGCTTCATATGTGCCTAATGGCAACCTGGACACTAGGCCATTAGGTAATCATTGCTGACTCACACAAGTGTGGAAAATGGTCATAAACAGTGAAGATATAATTTAGAGATGAGACATATGGCTTAAAGGATAACACAAGGTCATTGCAAAAAAATAATAATTGTGAAATATATTTGGTTCACTAGAAAGGAAACTAATGAATGTATAAATATACAGTATAATCCATGGAATAAGGTCAAACTGTAACAGGGTATAACAGCATCAGCATCTGCCAGTCTACCACCAAAACCTGACAATGTTTAGATAACCAGCTGCACCTATGATTCTCCATGACATCCTCTATTGGTGTTACTATTTTCTTATTTGACCTTTCTATGAAGGTGAGCAGTGATGCCCTTGGTACTTTCCACAACATTACAGTAATGTTTTTGATCAGAGGTGAGGCACTGACAAGAACTTATCGAAAATGACATTTGCACTTGAATCACTTCCAGCATTTTTAAAATGATGGAAACATAGGCCAGCATAATTGAATTCTACAGGTACCCCCTGTACACTCACTTGGCGGCATTACACAGGACTGTACTGAATACAGTCAACCCTCGCTTTACGCGGTCCCACTTTACGCGTTCCACGTTTACGCGGTACCCTGCCGAACACGGAATGCTCACTTTCCGCGGTGTGTGTACCCTTTTACGCGGAGAGCGGCGCGAGCAGGGTGCGCACAAGGTCGCCCAGTCATCAAAACATTACCGAGTTCTTCACCCGCCACCCATCACAGCCAGCCCAAGTCAGTGATAGTGATAATGATAGTGGGGATATGGACTTATATGGACTTTGAGGGGTTTGACAAAGAGGCCCTGCAAGCCTCTGTGGTGGATAGTGATACAATTGATACAAGTGATACAGGTGAGGGCCAATAATCTGCCCTCTGCCTCGGAACCAACCCCCATCCCCGTGTGCCCAGCCATCTTTTCTACTAATGTAAGTGTTAAAAAACCTAATATTATTGATATTTCTCTTAATTATTAATTGTGTGTGCATACCATCATAAAATTAAGAAGTTATTTTTACTACAACGTAGGTATTGTGTCTGAAAAAGTGGAGTTTGGGGGTCAGCTGGTCTCTATTTCAATTAATCCCATATGTTATGTTGTTCACTTTACGCGGGCCGCCGTGGGTTCAATTGACCGTGTAAAGTGAGGGTTCACTGTATGTTGAAAGCCCGCTACTCTATACCAGGCTGCTTACTTATAAGCGCAACACTAAACCTCTGGTCGAGACTCAGGAGATGTGGCATTAGTGGCCAGGAATAATCTTTTGACAAGTCTGTCTTCCCTTACAGCATAAGACACTGTAAATAAAACAAATAAAAGACATTATATGTTTATTTGTATTCTGCATTTACTTGATTGATATATTGGCCTCAAGCAGTGTAGGTAAAAATTCAATATAATACAATAGAAATGATATTTATTTCCTTATTTCAAAATCTATATGCACCATCTAAGGAGACAAAAAAGAAGAAGAAATATTTAAGGGTTATGTTGAGGCAAAGGAAAATAAGAACTTCCCCACAATAATGATACTATAATTCTCAGGGTATGGAGAATATTATCTGTATAATGATAATGTGTTGTTAATTCTGTTACAGGGTATCTGATATCTAGAGGAAACCCCACTGAAGGGCTTAAAGTTTTCTTCTTTAAAACAGGTTAAGATAAACAGAAAATTTACAGAATATTGCCATGTTAATGCTAGTGTGTGTTGACAGGTGCGTTGGTGTGGCCAGGTGTTTGAAGGATCAGATGCCAACCTTTTACTCTCACAGTTAGTGGCCTCAACCCTCACCTCCCTTGATCCAACTGTCAGTCGAGTAATTTCTGCTGCCGCCAAACAGCAAGAAGAGCCACTTGCTTTTCTTATATCTGTGAAAACTGCAAGTGATCAGTTTTTGAGAGATATTGAGTCAACTCTTGGGACAGCAAAGCCAGGTTGGTGTAAAATATTTTTATTTGAGAAATAAATTTGATGGAAGTTATTATTGCTCATACCTCTGCACTTCCTAAAAAATAATCATGCTTAGTAATGTGGTTTGTGATGTAATAAAAGAAATTTGATTGTTGATCATGTATTTTAATGCTAGAGGCATGTACAGTCTCGTTCAAGATTCTTCGAACACTGCTGGAGACAGCTGGCAACTCAGGGCCGTTTGTTTACTACAGTATAGTACGTAGTATAATACTGTATAGTACGAAATCAAAGCCCAACCATTAATTAAGCAACAGGGAACTAAGTAACCAATCACCGATCACTTTTACATTTATTCATATTTTTTACTACGTACTATAGTAAACAAACGGCCTTGAGTTGCCAGCTGTCCCCAGCAGTGTTCGGAGAATCTTGAACGAGACTGTACATTGGATGATGAATATTTTGCTTGGAAATTTCCCCACTTGGCCTGGTCATGTGATGGTAATAGTATAATTTCTTTTTAATGTACAGTACTACATACAGTACTATACAATACTGTATTGCTGCTTCTGTAAAAATTACATATGATGAGGTTTAAAGGCAAACAATACGAACAATGACTTATGCTTTCCACTTGTATATAATTATTTCCATGATGTTCAGGTTTCTAATATTCATTTTTTTTAATTCAAACAGTGCCGGGTCCTAAGTACTAATATTAATTATATTCATTAATTTTGCTCACCCAGGACAGGAAACATATTTCCAGTCCCAGAGGATAGTGGTACAAGCTGTGTACAGTCCCCTGCAGGACCAAGTGATGAAGTATCAGGAGTATGAAGAAGCTCTAATGCTCTCTCACCTTATATCTGCAGGTAAGTGCTGAATTATGGAAAATTTTCTTTGGCATAGTAAACTGTTCAAAATTTGGCACCCTTGGGACCAAGCAGTTGCTAGATTTCAAAATTTGCTGGTTTTTAGAACTTAAAGTTAAGGGGAACCAGAATGATATTGACACTGTAACAGCTTATTTAGCCAGAAAAATGCACATAAAAAGTGAACAATAACAACAATATTGACATTGCTGCCACCCTAAGTGGCACCTGACAAAGGCATTAATTAGTTATTGCTTGTAGGGTTGTAAATGTACAAATAATATCCCTGTTAGCTGGAATATTTGATCCCTGGAATTTTCCTTTACCAGGAAAAAATTAGCATTCTGAGAAATTCAAGAAAAATCTCTCCATTCTGGGTATTCAAATGAATTTCCGAGAGATTGCATCATGCACCGCGTGGGTGGGCTAGCTGCATGGGGAACTTAAGGCTGTAGGCTCGTGCACTGCAGTTGGCTGTTAGTGTCATGTGACTGCATGGGATACAATACCTGTGATTGGCTGATGCATTTCTCAGCTTATCTCCTCAAACCTAGCATCATGATGCACTTAGTTAATAGACTGCTGCCATTGTACAAGCTTGTACACTCTCTTTCTGCTGTTTTAGCATACTGTACATGTACAGTCTGTGTTATGTGTTATGCAATACTATACATTACTGTAGTACTGTACCAGGATACAATCAGCTAAGGATACCGCTAAAGCAGTGTTAAGACGTAAAAACTGATTACGGTAACATATGCTGTACTGTACATTCAGTGGAAGTACCATATGTACAGTACAGGTATCCCTCATTTAGTGATCATTCACTTTGCGATATTTCGGTTAGCAATTTAAAATTTTTAACACCCTTTGTTTAATGATTATCAATTTTCAGTTTAGCGATCTTCGACTCACTGGGAAAAATTCGGGAGGGAAGTCGGAAAAACTGGGGATTATGTGCTCCAAGTGCGCATCATTAAAATAAAGAAAATACAGTACAGTACAGTATTTAAAAGTAATAATAAAGTATATAGTTCAGTAATAAATTAATGTAACACTTACATTGTGAGGTGAGCTGATAATATGTAGATGATATTCCAAAAGTGTAATGGTCACACTGGTAAATGAAGTAAAAACCCACATTGAAGAAATAAAAGACAAAATCTTGGAGCTGGCATACTAGGACACTCATCAGTTATCTTACAGAATAAAGCAAGGGAGAAAGACATAGAACAAAGGCATCATGTCACATAACCTGTCTCCTTAGTTGAGGTAGGGTGGGGATTAGGGATAATTTTCTTGATGACAGTATTCAGGATCAGGTCTGGGATTTACTGATCTCTATCTTTTTTTTTTCCACTGGACAAGGGGAGGGATTCATGAAGATGTGTTCTGACAATGAAACCTATATTCAAGGTAGGCTTGCTTGTTATATTTACCATAATTAGATATTCATGAAAGTAATATTGTTTAATTATTTCCAGATATTGTGAAGGCTGACATGGCAGAAACATTGCGAAGATTGCGTGAATACTGTAGCAAATTATCCAATCAAGCTGATGTTGCTGCAGAGAGATGCTTACAGGTAAGAAACCTTAACCTACCATAGATGCTGTCAGGCCTCGGCAAATATTTATGATTTTTTTTTTGCATTGCTCATGAGTTAATCTTTTGAGCAAGTAATACATTGCACATATACATTTTAGAATGTCATTATCTCAGGTAAAGTCGGTCTTCATAGTGTGTGGATTATATATCTAGACATTTCTGTGTATAAACAAAATATATCGGAAACAATTGGTCCTGATTTTGATGGCTGTGGACAAACAATTTCACATTTTGGAAAAGTAAGCTGAAGGTTAAGGTCACAGATCAAGTTTTAAAGCTCTGTGTAAGGCAACTTAACTGGCACAAGTGTCTGATGTCATTAACAAAGAAACTCAGATAAAGAATTTTAGGTTTACAAGTGTAGGAAAGTTAGTGAAAGGGATATTGTTGCTTAAAGTGATATGTAGTGTAACAAATAAGTATAGAATAATTGAGAGACTGCAATGACTTTTGATTTGGGTGTTGTGTAAGTTAAATAACCTGATTGAAAAATGAGAATTTTAGGAGTGAAAGTGAAAATTATCAGGTTGTGTGGTTGTATGTGGAGGAGGGATACAGAATACATTACAGGGAAAATATAAAATACGGGGTATGTGAATATAGTTTTAACAAGAGGGGAAAGAGGGAGATAAATCTACAATGTATAGATAAAATGATAGAGAATGTGATGAGAACTTTTTACTCTGGTTGACTCTTAGGATTGACTTAAAATAACATAATTCCATAACATCAATCTTATAGGAGATTCTTAGTCATTAGCACAAAGATTTTACACTTATATTATAAGGATGTAATATTAAACAACTCTGGGTTTTGGGGGGATATATGTAAGGTCAGTTTCCCTTCTTACTTCTGATTATCTTCCCAGTAGCAGCTAGAGTTAGTGTACCATCCCCCTCCTAAAGTGGCTGGATTTGAATAATGTGGGCCATTCATGATGATATTTAAGGCTCTAATTAAGGGATTGATAATGAGATTCCATTTATATCTGGGACTGGACTGAGTTGCACAGTTGATAATCACCTCTCCTAAGGGTAATTAGTGAAGGTGGCTGAGACTTAGCTTGGTTTGTTGCAAAGTCACACAAGTGGAGGGAGGGGTGCTGGAAACCTGAGAGACAAGCTCGTTGATGCAGCCCATGAGTTACCAGATCCTTGCTTTGTTATAAAATGGTAAATTAGGATAAGAATTCCTCATTTTTACTCACTACAGCTAACGAGTGGTTGGACATTCCCTGCACTTACAGCTGCTCTTACCACATACATAGAGCAGTTTACTAGCCGTCTGACCCAGGCTGCTCGACATGTTGAAAAGCAGAAAGCTTCCATAACTGATGACTGGACTGTATTTACAACCTGCCTCAACCTTATGCAGGCTGCAGGTGAGGAAGAGAGAACACAAAATGAAAAGAAGTGACCTTTCCTAAATCTTTACTTTTACCCTCTACTGAACTAATATTTTCTGTAAACTTTTTGACTCTAAAAGAGGAAATTGCAAAATATAATGAGGATAAATACAGGGGGGAAGTTAAAGGAAGATTTTTTTTTTTAAATATTAAGTGCTTGTCATAGACATTAACGATAATGCAGATGGTGAAAGGGAATCATAGTAAGAGCAAATAATTTGAATGACAAGGTAACTCGACAAGTTCAAAGTTGCTCACAGAAGAACTGAATATTATGTTAACAATTCTCCCACTTTCGTAGGATAGATCAAGGAAATAATAGGTTAAAGAAAGGGTGGAAGTGACAAAGGAGAACTGATACAAAACAATCTATAAAATTTAACTGGAAAAAATTAAACAAAAAGTTGAAACACTTAGCACAAAGGAAATTTAACTCTAGTAATTAATCATAACTCACAACCAGAAAAACTAATTGGGGTAATTAATAAGTCCTTCGTTGTATTGCTGTGTCCATTATACTTACTTCTTATGTAAAAAAAAATTAGGTTGGTTATTTGTTTGTATTTGAGTTTAATTATTGTTTATTTTGGCAGTTGGTTAATTTCTTTATATTTGTTGTTTACCAGGAGAGTTGGTTATGGCAGTTGACAGCATGGAACATTCATTGGCCACTATGTTCACAAATGCTGCAGCTAAGTTTACATGGGAACCTACCACACCATTTATTGCTACCCCAGATCTCCTCTTGTCCACACAGGCAGTGACTCAGTTGAAGAAATTGGTTGTAAAGGTCATTGGTAAGTATCCTGTTTGAGGCTGAAATGGAATTACTGTACTGTATATAAATGCCTATTATGGAGGATAATTAGGGCGCTGACTGGAATTCTCCTCTTGGGATTTTGACCTGCCCATAATATTCTCTCCTAAAAGACCTAATGGAAAGACATTAACTTCAATTTGAAAAAAAGGCTGCTGAAAGGCTTTATATGGCAAGGACTGTTGTGTGGGTCAGATGCATGGACACTTTCAGCAGGCACCAGAAAGAGGTTGGAGGTCTTTGATATGTGGTGTTATAGATGAATGCAAAGAATAAGCTACACTGAGAGGAAAACATATAAAGAGGTACTAAGATTAATAAAAACTACCAGAGAAATACTTGAAATATACAGAAAAAGAAAAATGAGAGACTTTGGTCACATAATTAGGGATGAGGGAATAATAACAGGAATATTAATGGTCAAAGTTGAGGAAAGGGGGGCCAGGAGAAGGCAGAGATTGGGATTGATGAATGAAATTAAAAATGGGTCCCTAGAGATATATAAAACCTTGGAGGGTTGGTAAAACAGTCTGAGAACATAAAAGTGGAGGAATGTGGCTGCCAACCCTCAGATATGAGGACGGTGCTGTGATTAGTTGATGATGAAAATGTTAAGTGTCCTACCAGTGTTGGTCTGTTTATGACTTGTTATAGAAAGTGCTTTTACAATTAAATGCAGGAATGTGGCCACTGATACTTCCCATTTGTGGGGCCAGTGAGACTACTGATATATACTAATCAATCTGCGTACCTCTTGAAACTTCTGGAGAGAGGCTAAAGGTGGCTGGTGTATCACAGCACCAGTGATATTCATATATGTTAGGAAGGCAGTGGTTGGTTGCCTTACACATTCCTGGAGAGTTTTCAAGGGGTAAGGTCAAGTGCTGGTTCAGTGTTGATGGCAAACTGTAACTGCCCCAAGAGTTGAGATCACTGCCGTTTCCAGTTCCATGCTAAGTAATGTGAGTTAGTAGAAAGGAGTTAGAAATTGTATAAGGCAGCAAGGATCTGTATATTGATGTATGAAAAATAGTTTGTTGACTCAAGGATAGAAAGAATTGAATGTTCGAATGTTTCTGTTTTGTATACAGGTACTCCTCGACTTATGACCACCCGGACATACAACCGCCGCAGTCATGTAAAATATTTTTCAAATTATGTATTTTTGAGTCCCGGCGTTAGTGGATCGCGCTGTGTACTGACAAAATTTTCGTTTGTAATTCCCCTTAAAATGACTGGCAAGCGTTAAAGTGAGAGTTCTCGTGGTGCTGAGAAGAAAAAGAGACACCCATTTTAGATTTTCTATGTATTATTTTCGCCTTTTCAATTTACAACCAATTCAATTTATGACCTGGTCGTCGGTCCGGAACCCCGTCGTAAGTCGAGTGGAGACTGTATACAGTATGACAAGATTGGGAAGCTGAAGAGGCAGCCGATAAAACATTTTTTTGATGGGATGTAAAACTTGTATATATGGTTTATGGAGAATCATTTAGGGTAAGTTAGGAGTTTTGTGGTTGCACTGTATATGATTATTTTGAGAATTATGATTTTAATTGTTGATTACTCATTAGATTTGTCATTAAAGTATTTACTTACATTATAAAAGACCTCTGTTGGTCTTGAAGTATCTGCTTGTTATTAAGAGATGAAGGTTTTGATGTAGCCTATCAGTTTTATTCTGCAGGTTTATCTTATCAACTTTCTGGACAAGTCTTAAGGTATCATCTCCGATGAGCTTTTTAAAGATTCATACCTGTATATTGATAAAAAAGTTGAGGGGATTTTGCTGCTTTGTAATGCTTGTTTCTTTATGAATAGAGGTATGAACAACATTTAGTAATACTTATACTTTTCTGAAATGTGTTTTGAGTTAGTGAGTTACAAATATTATAGAAGCATAGGGTAAACAGTTATTATTTGAGCAAAGTATTTGTATTTTTGTCACAGACTCTTATAATTTTTTCCTAGATGAAGATGGCAGACTTCTAGAGAACAGCATGACAGAATCTCAAGCTCAGTGTCAGAATACAGTGGAGGCTGCTCTTCACACCATCATGAACCCCATATCATCTCTGTTGATTGTCCTCCCTGATTTACCTGCTTGGAACTCTCGTCAGGGAACCTCCTCCCATCTCTCCTTCTCTTTCTCTCCTCAAGAATATATCACACAGGTATGGTAATTAAAACTGTTTCATGAATTTTTTTTTATGGTGGATATGGCAAAAGGCCCTCTAGGTGGACACATAATACCTGCTGTATAGTACTGTTTTGCTCCTTGTTGAGTGCCTTTGGGGTTGGGCATGAAAGGGAATTCGGTTGATTTTCTCCTTAATGTTCTATCCCATCAACTGTTACTTGTGTAAGAATCAAGCAAGATCTTTTTAGGGACCTGGTGACATAGGTAAGGGGTTTCACCATACTTAGCTACATTTACCTACAGTGCTTAAATATTAATAGGAGATCATTTCATTGCAATGAGCATGGATCAGGCAAAACACACCCTTTACTCCTCTCTAAGGATGTGGTGGAACTGGGTACCGAAGTCTATTGAATCTGAGTCTTGTTTTATAGATTACTTGTGTCACTTACTAATCAGTGTTATACTTAATTTATACGAGTTGTAGCTGAGTAAGGAGAGCCATTTATTTGTAGTGTTTTAGGGTTGTTTGTAAGTTAGTTGACACAGCATGTGAATTGCCCATCTATGGTTGTTATTACCAGTAGATAGGATTTTTGGTTCATTCCCCCATATGTCATTGGTATGGACAGATTTGACAACTAAAATTACATCACAAGTTCAGCAAGTCAAATTATACAAAACAGGAGAAGTGACTAAAATTATGTCACACATGTATGGCAACTGAAATAATACAACACAGTTATGGGATATAGCATTATATCACACATGTATGGTAATTGTATTATTGGTGTGGCAAATAGATTTGAATCACATGTATGGCAACCGAAATTATAATATTGTACTCTGATTCAGTAACTAAAATCATATCACACGATTATGGCAAAGAATGTAGAAGTTGCATGATGGTACAGCACTTTAATTTATATATAATCATATACTCAAACACTGGCATTATATAGAGCCAGGTTTCTAAGATATATGGGGTCAGTTTGTGTAAGTGATATAATTGGTGAACATAGAATTGATTGATTTTTAGCTGTCAGTGTAATGAGTTATAATTTTCCTCAGATAGGACAGTATCTGATGACCTTACCCCAGCATCTTGAGCCGCTCCTTGTCAACCATAGTCCGGCTCTTAACCGAGCCCTCCAGGAAGCCAACACTTCTTGTAGTGCTGGGTGGGTACACGGTTTAGTTTTTGAATGCCCATATGTGTTTGGGAAACTGACTTCAAGGAATCAGCTTTAATTATACAGTGTTTACATGTGGTGGGTTCAATGGGTTGTTATGATAAAATAGTGGATGTAAGTTCTGGTAGAGTAGAGGGACAGCTGAGTCATCCGTACCCAGTCACTTCTTTTCTTTTTACAGTATTTTTCAAGCGTTAGAAACGGTGTTTGGGTTCAGGTTAATTATGTAAAACCATGACAGGAAGTTTTCTATGAAAGCTAAAATAAAATAAAGAATTCTGTAATTGTTTATATTTTCAATTAATACTTCAGAGGATTTATACACCTTTTTCAATCTGAATCAATGTTCTCTTTCAATAAAAATTGCCAAGTCGATAATTAATTTGTTCCAAACTTATCATTTGATTTCAACATTTCTCCTGTTGAAGCAAAATTTACTAAAATAAAGAAGTGTCATTTGGGATGGAGAAATATCCACTTCAGTGGACAAGTGTCTATTCATGGTCATAACTATCAAATTTGTTTGGTCTTTTGTCACTTTTAACTGGTGACTTGCCAATTCAAATGCTGTATGTCAAAAGCTTCCTTTAAGTCAAAATAAAACAATTATATGTCGTTTCAGATGGTAAATCTGGCCTCAACATGAGAAATGTCAAAATCAAATTAAAATTTTTGAACAATTCACTGACCTTTGAAGACTTATTTATATTGTATTTCTATTATTTTCTGAACTCCAGCGGCCGTGTGGTGAGTGAAAGTGAGATCAGTGCAGCAGACTTCCTCATCAATAGTGTTGGTCAGAACACTTGTAAACTATACACTGATGCCATCCTCAAGATCCCTGACATAAGCACGTCAATGATTACACAGCTTACTACAGACATTGGTGAGTGGTGCTGTTTGGTTATTCCATCTTAGTCATAGTAGCAATTATTGTGCCATGTAGAAATCTTGTGGGGTTAATGTACTCGTATTTAAATAAGAATAAACATGGCAGTTTCCTCATACAGGGGATGAGGTAGTGCAAGACTAGGTTATGTGCACCTTTACTCCTGGTTAACCACTACTATTGCCTTCCATCATAGTTTTCTTACTTTGAGGAACCATCATTTTTGTACAGTACAGGCATCCCCCACATTACAGAAAGAATGTGTTTTCAAAAAGTTATTCATACTGCAAAAATCTGCAACACGAGACCAATTTCCCCATTGAAACCTATTATGTAATTGTAGATATTTTTCTCCAGACAATTTATCAGCCAAAACACACAATGAGAAATAATTACAAATGAAAATAAACCTTTTTAAACACATATTTCATGAAAACTGAAATTTTTATGATGGATTTGATATTTGAGGTGGTTTTATCTGAAGAAGAAGAAGAAATGCTAAACTTATCTACAGTACGTAACATTTTATTTTTTCCAGTGACATGATATCAAACTCTGGGATAGTAAACACATCAGCATTCCCAGTGGAAATAACTTGAGTCACAGTCTTGTCACTGCTTCATGTAGTGATCTTGTGACCCATGATAACTGAAACACTACTGATACTTTATTTTTTACCTAATTAGCCAGTCTTAATACAGTACAGGGGGTCCCTGACTTAATTTTTACAGTACTTTCTTTTATTGTATTTTGTCATTCTGTTTCTTCTTTTCTCTTAAATGAAGTGATTTTATATGTTTATAAGGACTGAGGTTTTTAGGCTATGATATAGAGGGATTTTAAGCATTGTTCAGTAAGTACGGTATGCACATAGCATGTGTTTTGACTTGTGTACATTTTCGACTTAAGAACATCCTCAGGAACGGTACCTGTTTGTAACCCCCTGTACTGTAATGTACAGTATGTTGTTTTAATTTTAGAATGCGAATTTGTATTTCACAAATTATTGGGATTCCAGTGTACAGTGCTGTACAAGGTGTTCAATAGTGGAAATAGTTCGTGAAGGTAGTTATAACTTCCATAAAGGGCCTACAAGAGGCTGCTTGAGGAACATATCACTGTACTGTAATCTACTGCATTGTATTTATCTATTAATGTACCAAATTATATAGACATCTCCCCACTTAATATACTGTACTGTAATATGAGGAATGAAACAGTCATTGTATCATCACAAAATAGACTTGGATATCAAGGGAGAGGAACTTAATACAGTACATTGTATGTTATAGGATCCTCTAATTTTCTTACAGATTATATTTGTAACATCCTGGAGGACCTCGGAGTGAGCACGTGTGAGCCCCTAGATAAATTGAACACCTTACTGAAGGCTCCAGCTGACAAGTATTGGAAGGTTGCCCCAGGGAACAACCCAAGATTAATTGCTGCTGTCAGACAAATGCGCAACATCCCCGTCCAGTCATGAATGTACATTGTATCTGTATTGAATTCTGCATGCTCAGGAGTACATATTGTTTAATGTTGGTATTTGAGTGTTGTTTTAGTGGCATATATCAATTTTATTTATTGTATTTCCTTGTGTATAAATTGACTTCAAGCTCAAAAAATATACCCAAAACTAAGAGTTTCTTCTCTGCCAAATACAAAGTAAGGACCTTAAATGCTGGCAAATTTCAACGAGAAAGACATCAAAGTTGGGGAAGACAAATGATTTCTGGTGAAAGTGGTTGCAATTTTGAATCTACTGTTTCGGTGTTCACATTTTATTTATACCATGTTTGGGGACCAACTTATAGGCCAAGTACTGTATAGTTCTAAGCATGATTTTTTTAGTTGAAAAGTTGAGGTCGACTTATCCACTGGCAAATTGGCAATTGAAAAAATGAATTGTAAAGTAAATCACTACCTGTCAGAAGTTGAATAGAAATGGAAATTATATATATATATATATAAGCCATGCGCCGGTTAACGTCCTAGATACGTTCTTGGAAACGTGATGTTAACCGAAATGGACGTTGTCCGAAATTACATAAACCTATCGAATTTATTCTAATGGGTTCCAGGCACCCAACTCCAAGTTTCCCATTTTACGACCATTTAGACCCACTAAATATATATATAATATTATGGTAAATATCATTAACACACATAGGCATGGCTAGGTTTATTACAAAGTGATGAAAAGGATACGATCAATACTGTAAAGTGGGTAGTCCACAAAACATGTAGCCATGTCTCTTTATTTGAGTGCCCCATCATAGGAGTCCGTTTTCTCTCACTTCAGGACGCCTGAGTCGTCCATTTTCTCTTAATCTTAGAGTGCAGTGCACCAGAGACTTCGTTATTCCTTAGTAATGACACAGAATTTGAAATTGCAACCCCAATTGCAACTGGGGTTGCAATTGTTGAGGCAACTAGATATGTCTGATTACAGAGAATCTGTTAATGTCAATTTGTAGGTGAAAGATTTTATCCTCAATAGATGTAGGTTAACATTACACCTGGAGGCAAATGCCTAAGGAAGGAAGGATATTCCTTTAACACATAATATCTGGCCAGTATGGGGAGGATCATCGTGTCTCCGTCAAGGTGTCGTGGAGTGGTGGTCCAGCAGGCGTCACGGAAGTGTTTTTTTTTTAGGGGGGGGCACGGACCTATATGCAATCGGATGTTGTTCGGTTGGACGTTAACCGGCGCATGGCTGTATATATATATATATATATATATATATATATATATATATATATATATATATATATATATATATATATATATATATATTAAAATGTACTGTACAGTATTAAGAATATGTGCTCCATGTTTTAACTTATATGATTTGTGTAAGTTTGTAAATATATAACTTGTTAAAAATAAATGAATTTTCCATTGTGTCTTACTATTAGCCAAATACCTGTAATAAACACAGTATCCAGGGCCAGGGACAGTATCTGTCTGATGGGTGACTGAGAGCTTGCAAAAGGAGCATCGTGTCGAACCGTCTGTCCTCAAACACAGGAAGGTTAATCGCATCCTCTCTTGTGAACACCGAGGAAAAGAAGCTGTTCAATGCCTCGGCTTTATCCTGGTCAGAATCTGCGTAACTACCATCTTCAAGCGTCAAGTCCCATATTTCTACTCGCGTTTTTAATTTTGACTTTGCTTAGCGGTAAAATGCCTTTGGGTTTTGACAACCTCACTTGCAACCAGCCTCTGGAACTCCCTTTCAGCCCTTCTACACACTGACTTTACTTGGTTCCTGGCTCTTGCATACATCCTCCTGTCCTGTTCATCGTTTGATCCAACCCACACTTTGAACTTTTGGGTTTTCTTCTTAACTTTGTCGACCGCCGCATGGTTCATGTGTAGGGAGGGGTCCCTTTGTATTCCTTGAGGCACTGGGTTTGATATAAGGTAGTATATATTTATTGATCAAATGATTCATTTTACTAGCTATGATATTCAGCATGGTGTCTGTGTGCTTGTGCCTAAGTGAGTCAGGCCAGTGGATATCCCTCATCCCGTCGTAAATTCCCTCGTAATATTTGCACCTTGGCCTGGCTTTATCATGAACTAGGTAACAGTTAAATCTGAATGACAACACTATATGGTAACTGGGGCTAGATGTTCCAGTTTGGCCACCATACCGTCTTTGTTATGAGGTCTAGTGGCTTGGGTGTTTACTCCCCTCTATAATGTGTCGGGTCTTTAACATGTTGGAACAGAAAATTATCTCTCAGAGATTTTACAAAAAGAGTAGCAGGGTTATTCAAGTCATTTGGCATGAACTCGTGTCTCCAGTTGATGTCACCATAGTTAAAGTACCCCATGATAAGGTGGTGGCCAGGGTTGAGCATCGCTGCGTTGTCTATTACGGCTCTAAGTGTCTTTGATTTAGTAGGCTACAGTTTGGGGATCTGTAGATACACCCGACAATAAGTAAGTCCCCTTGGTCAAGAAATACACCCAAATAACCCAAACTTACTGCTCATTTTAGGTAATCCTCAAAGACATTTACTCACCTCTCCTGAGCAAAACCTGACATGTGTAATAAGAACGGTGGGTGCTACTATAATATGCAGTCTACCCAGCTGGTGCTACTATAGTATGAGGTCTACCTGGATATTTGCTCTGTTGCGTCCATTAACCTAACCTAACCAAGGTACGTATGTATGTTCTTATGTAATTGTGTCTTACTAATGTATGACAGTAGTGGATGTAAAGTTGCTCCGTCTTGGTTAAGGCCAACCGCATTACATGGATAAAAGGAATAATATATGTTGCAATAAAACTCAACAGTCAAAGATATCAAGGAATAAACAATTGAACTTGAAGTCAAAGATGATCATATATGCAACACGTATCTTTCTTGTAATGTTCGTCGTATATTTTAACATTATATATACTCTGTCTGTGAGTTACATAATATGTATTTTTATTATTTTTCTCTGCGTTTAATATATTTTTATATTTATAATATGATTTTAAATATTTTTAGTAATATGAATTGTAAATATTCTCAATCCTTGATACATTGATTTTCGTTTATTTTACAATATATAGCAGATGTACTTTACATAACACTAACTGACTTGTCTGATTGTAAGGGTGAGAATACGGTTTTGTCTTCAGTAATACATAACTTTTGTAGGAAAAGGTTTTATTTTTTATTAAAATAATTTTATTTTAATCAAAATAAGTATTTTATAGCTACACATTATTTTTCATATCATTGATTAGCACATAATTGTGAAAAGAAGGGCAATATAATTTACCATTAATTGCGAACAAATGCCTTGTCAAACTTGGTGGCTAACACGAAACTTGCTGCAGGTACCCAAGGGGACATTCTATTCTATTTCTGGTATGGCTCGCAAACGTGGGGCAGAAGAACCTACAAGTGACTTACGTGGATCGAAAACAAAGAAAAAGAATGGAAAGGAGAAAGCCTCTAGCAGTAAAATGGTGAGTGAGGAAGGAAAGCCTCCTAAAGTCGAGCAGCAGAAATCTCAGAAGTTGTCAGAGGAAGTAATAGTGGAGACAGACTGTGGTGGACCCTTCACACTCACGGCCTCTGAGCCAACACGCAACACGAGAGGGGAGTTAGTGTTTGATGATGAACCAGAATTCCTGCCTAACTTGACCCCCAAGGAGGTGCTGCAAGCTGGCAGTTTTGGTGGAACATACTTCCGGCCCATTAAGTCCAGCATAACTGGTAAGTGTAGATGGCGAATGGATTAATTTTGTGATCTTCAGATATTACATGCTTCTCTGATTGTCACAGGTGTGAATATGGGTAATACTTGACGGCATAATATTGTTTAACAAGGAACTCGAAATATTTCTGTAGAAGATAAAACTTTTGGTCAATTTGTAGTTTTGACATTATTCTTCTATGACATTTCCCTCGCAAATGACTTAAATATACCAGGGGATCCAGGGGGCAGGTCCCCCCCCCCCCCATTAGGAGGTTAGGTTAGGTAATTTTAGGTTATTTGTGAGGGAAGTGTCAAAGAAGAAAAGTGCCTTAAAATTGTCTAAACCATTGTAAAAACACATTGCTCAACTCGAGACCCGTGATTGGTCGAAGCTACAAATTGACCAAACTTTCCAACATCATGATCGTCCCTGACAATCTTGTTAATGAGCATAAAACTGCTAATGTACAGTATTTTTTTTATAGAAGATGACAACTATTTTGATATGGTAAGTTACATTGGTTAATTTATCAATGAATATTCCCAATCTTGGTGATTGGTTTCACCAGAAACTCCTTACAGCAGCTAACATTCAGGAAGTGCCATACATTATATAATATATGTTCATAAAATATTCCAAACTAACCTACCTAACCTAACCTAAAATAATAGTTATCTTCTACAGTATTATAATTTAAAAACAAATAGAATTTATCTCTGAAAGGAACCCACAAATCTATTCTCAAACAAAAAGTTATCCACATGGTTTTTATGTCCATTAAATACCAAATTCTGTAAAATGACGAGAATGAGCAATGAGCACTACTGTATATTGTTTGTGTGAATTTTTGGTCCTAAATACTAATATAGTGTACGTCAGTGCAATCAAGATCAAGTACTCCTTCATTACATCTCAAAGATTATATTTTGTAGCAGCAAATTATATTGGATGAAAATTATCATTCGTCTGTTTTCCCAAGCACTACTGTACTGTATAATAACACTTTATTTTGCAGGGGAATCATACTCAGGGGTGTGGAAGGAGCTGCCCAAAGATTGGTTAGAAGGTCTTAATATCAACAAGCAGGTAAGACATTTAATTATACTAAAGTTTGATCTTGTTTTTCTGAATCTTTTGAGCAGGAGTTGGATTGTACAGTACAGTAAAGGTATTGTCAAATTGTGTACAACATAGAGCATGAAAGAAAGTACTGTACTCATATATTGACGTTTATACTGTAAAACAATTACTGCTCATAGAACCTTAACCTCTTCACTCCTAGAGGGCAATATGGCCCTAAATCCTCTATCGGAGGCATCATATTTTACTCGGCTTACTACCGTATGTTTAATTTCTGTTATATTACTTATTGTTTGTTTTTTCCTTTTTTTATTTCTCAATGAATATTTACAATATATGGTATGGTATACAATATTTACAATGCTTTTGAGTATAATGGGATAAAATGCTGATATCTATACAGTATATGAGTATTTTTTTTTGATTTATCTGATTCCTTTTCTAAAGTAACTGTTTGTGTAATGAATTTAGAGAAAATGTTATGAGTCAACAAGTTTTCCATTTTCGTGAAAAATTTCCCTCCTATGCTTGGTGCATGACTGTTCAGTCCTTTACACACTTACAAAGCATATTATTATTCACATTTCAGTACTGCATTATCATTATATTGTTGCAACTGTCATTCTCACACACCACCATAATTACCCCTACATCACTTTAGTAGCAAAGGAAACACTGATGCTTGGGGCCCTGGAGGTTCCAGAATAACACCTGAAGAGGGGGAGGAGAGTAAGGAAGTCTCTAACCTTCTGATATTTTGATACCAATAGGTCAACTCTCCGAGATGGTGCATCTCTAGCCAATCCTTGGAACTTCAGTAGCATCATCTCCCTTTTTCATATGTGGCTCTTGATTATGGAGTAAGGGTGTATGCTGGAAATGAGGTGTTGATCCTGTAGCCAGGCAAATTGAATGCCCACCCTCCTCCCTTATCTCTGTGATTAGTCGGCTGGAACTGAATTCAGAACTGCACAATGACCTGGAATCAAGTTGGCTGATTGGGTAGAAATAATTCACCAGCTTTCAGAGAGCAGCTGTTGCAATAAATCTCTCGCATTTATGGCCAGTAGTGTGATGAGTGAATCATAATCAGTTCTGTACATCTAAAATTGATCACAAATCAACCTTGGCTGATGTAATAAAGAGTTGTTTGAGGACATGAAACCCCGAGTACGCTGCCCATAGTATGAGAACTGTCTGGTTAGAATTCCCTTATTATGAAATAAAAAAATTTGGTCAGTTCTCCATTTTTACTGTCCATTGACCTATCATTTTAGAGGCTTATACCTTCATGTGTATAGAAGGACAAAAACAATACCTCCATGCAGGCTTCTTGTATACTACACTCATGTTCTTCCTATTGACCAATCTTGTAGAATTTCATCGACTCTTTCTTTATTGTCAACAGATTGCATCTAAAATTTATGATGGAAAAGTGAACAAATATGGTGCCAAATGTGGAGGGTCTCTGGAGATGTGGGAACAAAGTGGCTGGATGCACAAGCAAGACCCATATGGCTGGTTCATGTGGTACTGCAGGTGGGTTAATATTTGTGTGTCAACAGTGTAGACAAATCTGGAAATACATTGATACAGTACTGACAGATTGCAGATCACTATAACACATAGTGACAATGGGGAGTGGGTCATTTAGCAAAAGTTTTAAGGGCTGGAAAGGGGCTGGTCTTGTATTTCCATTATCCTCAGGTGAGATCCATGTATGAAGATGTCTTGGGTAATGTTGAAGTCTTGAAGGTGTAATTATCATCTAGTTTTGTTTACAAATGCCAAATAAGAGCTCTCTCTTATTTTTCTTTACCAATCCTTGAGGTCCTATTTCTGGTGCTTCTCTCCCTGCCCTGCCTTTGCATTAAAATCACCCCCTTAGTCCACTCTGGTAAACATGGTACAGTACTTCATAGATACACTTCTCCACAGAAGAAAGCTTTCTATTGATCATGGAGTCATTGCTGAAGCTAGAACTTTTTATTTTGAATCAATATTTCAAATCCCAGACACCAATGACCATGATATTGTATTGGTACCTTTCTTTTATAAATTTAAGGATGACTAAGTCAAAGGTTAAAGTAATTTTCTGTCTAGCTGGCTGCACTAAGAGTATGATACAGTGTTACAAAGGTATCTTGCCCCTGGGGAGAGAAGGTTCTTTCTTGATGATTTTAGGGTTAAATGAGTCAGAGGTTATGGGATCCTTTGCTCATTTATACCATAGTAATTAATGCCTTTATTCACTTATTTGACTCACAACCACTTACAGTACATTCTTCACCCACATATGCTCCTTATTACTGTACAGTATATGACAACATATAAGTTACGTGTATGACAGTTTCATGTTCTTCGTATATATTCATCTAAGAGTAGATCTTGATTTTGAAATAATAAGGAGTGCCATGTCTTTCTTTGCCCTTGAAGGTTCTATCGTGGTCGTCGTTCAGAAGATGATGAAAGGCAAATAGGCCGATGGCAGAGATGTGCTGGGAATAAAGGAAGATGGCGTCAGAATCTTGTCACTAAGGTGGGCTGATAATAAAACTGATATTGTTTGTTCATTGTTCTCCCACTGATGATTTTTTTTATTCCAAACAACAGCTTTTATTTTAACTGATGCCAGCTGGTCTACCCAATATCCACATAGTGACCTTTTGTCTTCATGAAAACCTGTAGAAAACTAAATTATCCTGTGGTTGGAAAGAGACAACAACATACAGAAAAGAACCCAACTGCTCTCTTGCTTGCTCTTCAGTATTATCTAGGTGTACAGTATTGAATCAGTACAGTATACAGGTGTTGAATTTAAAACAGATGGACCAGCCATTGTATTCTGATTCTGGAGATGATTATCTTCAGAACAGAACTGTAACTTGAAGGAGCCTGATGATCTGTAATTATGTTATCTTGTGTTTAAGTATTAATTGAAAGGATCTGTACATTACACAGCTATAAGGAGACTGAAATCAAAATTTACTCTGCTAAGTGAGGTGATAGAGTTTAGAGAAAGTCTTCAATTAATAATTTCATGGCAAGGGATTGAAGGAATGAGGACTTGATACTGAAAGTGCTTTCCTTATTTTATTGATCCTTCCACATTCACTGGTCAACTCTGAAGTGCTTCACTCACTAGTGCTGTCATTCACCCTCTATTGCATATGACGGGCCCTTACCTTTCCTGTTGATAGTCCATGTTGCAGAACATCTACCTATCAAGATTTACTTATTTCCCCAAATTGCAAATTGTGGAGCTCTTTGCCACAGAGTACTTATACTGTGTCATTCAGCTTCCATCACTACAAAGCATCCTACTTCAGATATCTTTAGTTTTTGGCAAAGGAACATGTTTGTTCTCTTCTTGAGCCTTTTATTTGTTGTTAAAATAGAATCAGAGAGGAGTGACCCATAAATTTACTTGCTAAAGGTTGCAGGGATTTCCCAGTTAACCCCATGGCAGTGCATTAGTGGAGGCAGTTCTAAAGACCTTACTCTTCCATAACAACCATCACTCATCACTCAGAAAAGAGAGGGTAGAGGTAACTATTTGTCCCCCTAAGATATGAGGCATGATTTTTCACAGCTTGTCTTCTCCATTACACAACCTATTCCCTTTTAGACAGTACAAGGGCAACTGATGAGGAAGTTCCTTCTACAAACCTGGTTCACAATATTGTTAAGCAGGGAGTGGTTGTATGAGTGGAGAAACTGAGTTATGCAGAAACATAACTCATTACTTCCCATGTCTTACTTTTTCTTTTCTTTTTAAAGCAGTTTTTAATGCTGGGAAAACCCTGCAAGCTTTATTGTATACATTCTTGGGTCTGTCCAAACTAGTGCCAAGTTATAAAAAGTGTTTGTGTTTATTATTAACTCTAACAAAAAAACAGATTATCATGTGTAGATGTGTACAGTGGGAGGCCAGACAACTGATTTATTGAAACTTCATGCATAAAGATTTTGCTGTATTGTTCTGTACAGGATTTTAATCATTGGTACTTTAATTGAAAGTATCCTGTATGCACAATCAAAAAGTATATTTACAATTTTGTGTTAAATAATATGGCACAACATATGAAGGATTTTTACAACCCTACTAAGACAACAGAAGTTGCGATGATCCATTTAGAAATTAATTTTACTGTACCCATCTGTAAAGGTATGTATTTATCAGAGCTTTCTTATAACAACAGGAAATATTTTCAAATACGGTACTGTACATTTTTAACCAGATTTTTCCTCATGCAAATATATGTCTCCAGTTCCCTTTGGAATATGCAATGGTTGGTAGGACAATTGTCTAACACAGTACAGTACAGTGCAATCCAATCACTCCTTGTGAACTCTCAGCTTGAATAACTTGATAGTCCAGATATACTGTACCCTGTATGGCAGGCAAAGGAGTTACTAATCAGGTGATTATGGAGAACTTTCTCTGGAAAGTGCCACTATAAAGCTTTTTTCAGTGTTTAATTTTAGGTAAATCACAGGAAAATGAAATTTGTGATTAAAATTTGAGTAAAGTAAAATGTAAAACTGCAGTCATGTGCCTAATGTATTCACTTCAGTTGCTCATAATAAGAGATAAACCTCTAAGTTTTCATAGAGTTAATGAATAATGGAAGAAATATATGAAAATGTTTTAAAAAGCTGTGTAAATACTGTATTGTTCAATTTCATTTTTCTCTGCTCTTTCAGATTGTGCGATCAGGTTGTGCTTTTGACAATCCTGCGGTTTCACCGGTGGTGCGTCAGACTCTCTTACACTGGGGTTATGACCTTTCAGAAGATGACTACAAGAAGGGAGTTAAGAGAGTCAAGATTTGATAAGTGATACTAGTCACATTTATATGTACAGGTACCTGTGCTGTAATCAACTTTAACACACCTCATAAAATATGGTTATACAGTACACAAGTTTGACATGTTACTCAGGTTATATGCAGTACCTGTACTGTATTAGGAGTTAGCTTGTATACTGAACAAGAAAGCCTGTTTAGTTAACAAGGCCCCAGTTTGTTAATGGAGGAGTTTTATTGCCATTGATGTTAATATTTAGTGATACACTATTCATTTCCTGTTTATTAAGTACAATATTATACACCCTTGGCACACTATAGGCTGGGATTTTAGACATGACTGGTTGAGAATTAATCTGTTGTATTTAAAGCTAAGAAACTCTGGTTAGATCTAAGCCCAATAAAGCACAGCTCAGTATAATATATTTAAGCTTTAATTAAGGTTTTTAATGTATGTTCCATCACACTTTCATTTTTAATTAAATTTATATATATGGTATACAGTATATATATGGAGGATTTTATGTTTTATTATGAATTTCCAAAATAGGTTTCCTTTCCAATGAATATTACAGAAGGCAGGACATAGGCATTATCACTTATACAGCACAATGGTGATGACTGTCGCAGCTTCAATTTTACGTTTGTTTTTGGACATCACTGTTTTATGGGTGTCGTTACATATATTTATATAAAGCAGGGGTAAACTTAAAACACATTTTTATTGTTGTGATTATTAATTTTGCCTTATCCCTTATCAAATAATACAAAATATTCTACATAATGAGCATCAACAGCAGTATTACTGTATATACTATTCTGTCAACTAGTATCACTACAACGGACAACTGTACAAACAAAACAACAAGTATACAACTTTTAATGCCTCATCAAACAAAGACATTCGAATATGCACATCAGAAACTTCACCATAAAGAATATCACCTGGAAATAGTTTGGCACTACAGTACATGTAACAATAAAAAAGGAGTGAACTCTATACATTATATATAACACAACCACCTGAAAACCTTAAGGATTCATATTACGCTCAAACGTCCACAAAACCTTCCGAGTCCCCCAGTGGAAACGTCCCCCGTTTTCTCTGTTTCCCCGTCTTTGTTTAGTGGGAACTTTGAATATAATCCACGGATTTAGTAGCAGACGCTGTATGCTGGGACCTGTTGCCATCCAACCCTTTGTAATCAATTTAATTTTGCTTTTGATAGCTGAGTCAGAGCATTGTTAGTGAAGATAATAGTAGGGAATGAAAATGAGTTCATAGTCTCAGTTTCAACGTCAGAGTGTACAGTAAATTAATTCATCGGAATAGAAGTAGGTGGACTCCCTGGTCTGGTTTGAGTGAGGGCGCCGCGGGCATTTCTACCGTTAGTGAGTGCCCGTCCCTTCATCCATACAGGTATGCCATTCCACTCTGTGTTGTAATTCGCCCTTCTTTAAGTGATTTGACCCAATTAATAGTTGATTGTGCAAGTGTTACAGCAACGTAGTTGATATGCTCTGAGTGAAGTCATATTTACGTCTTTAACGTCCCCTGAAACGTGATGTTGTCACAGTTAGTGAGTGCCCGTCCCTTCATCCATACAGGTCCCTAACGCAGCCTAAGCCGTGTCTGTAGCGTGGATGTTGTATCCATTATGTCTGGGGAGATGTCCGAGGTCCAGTAGGATCAGTTACCTTCGTGAGACCTGGCCGTCAGACACTTCAGACTACCTATAGCCCCCATAGCTGGCTCGTCTGGCCCTAACGCTCGGTCTGCGAGGTGACCCCGGATCACCCCGCCACACACCACTACCAGCCCCCATCATTGTTGGATGAGTGTCTAACTCAGTAGGGCTATTTGTGTGGTGGAATTAATCCACTGGGATCTTCAGAGTTCGTCGGAAAGTACTCCATGGTGGCTGGACCCCATGGCTGTTGCTTGAGTATCACCCCTGACGACTGAGTATTGTAGTGGCAGTTGCCCTGGTCTTTATGGTGCTTAGTGACTATAATAGTTGTGTTATTGAGTATGTCCACCCAGTAAGGTTGGAAGTGTTATTGAGTATGTCCACCCAGTAGTGGTGTGAGTATGTTGAGCCTGAGGGCCTAGTACTAGATTTCGTCTGTTGGTACAAATAAATTCTTTCTCCTAATTTCATATTCATGTTTAAATAAACTTTGTATTTGTATAATTGTGTCTATTATTTACCTACAGTATTTACCGTTATTTCTTCCCTATCGCTTGATACTATCATTACATCTACCCACGAGCCTCCTATTGTCACGCTACCAATGGTAATAAGTATGAGTGTAAAAGGAATTGTTACTGGCACAGTAGTGGCCCTCATAAATGGTGGAAGCTCAGGCCCTCATACTGTAGTGTTTGAAGAGGTTGACCATGTCTTTTTTTATAAGTTTTTTTGTACCTATAGTTCACTAGACAGTGCTTACAGAAGATGCTAGTTTAGTAGTTAGATTAGCTGCCTTTGAAAAACAGGGAGTGAACAGTTTTGTCCGGTGTTTTATGCAGGCGTGGAGAGCCAGGAGGAGGTTGCTGGCGGGCATTGGTGTGAGAGCCAGGGGAAGGTTGCTGGCGGGCATTGGTGTGAGAGCCAGGGGGAGGTTGCTGGCGGGCATTGGTGTGAGAGCCAGGGGGAGGTTGCTGGTGGGCATTGGTGTGAGAGCCAGGGGTAGGTTGCTGGCGGGCATTGGTGTGAGAGCCAGATGGAGGTTGCTGGCTTGAGGTGGTGTGATAAGCCAGGGGGAGGTTGCTGGAGGGCATTGGTGTGAGAGCCAGATGGAGGTTGCTGGCTTGAGGTGGTGTGATAAGCCAGGGGGAGGTTGCTGGCAGGAGGTGGTGTGATAGCCAGGGGTAGGTTGCTGGCAGGAGGTGGTGTGATAGCCAGGGGGAGGTTGCTGGCAGGTGGTGGTATGAGGCAGGGGGAAGGTTGCTGGCTGGTAGTGGTGTGAGAGCCAGGGTGAGATATCATGGTAGTTGTTGACAGTCTTAAGTGGTTCTTCTTACAGGTTACCTCGTGCTGCCTGGTCCAATTCAATGGCTTCAAAGAGAGCCTTGAAATTTCCAGCACCAAATCCCTGTAAGTAAAAATATACATAAATATATTAATTCAGGTGTTAAACATCTAAGTGAGTGGAGGTAGCCAGTGGCTGGAGTGTTTGGTAGAGGTTTTACTTGTGGTTAAAAAGATAGATTACTGACCCTTAGGCCCTGGATGACGTTCCATCACGTCCACCTATTTTCCTGCCCTTTTTTTTTTCTCGATTTATCCAACGTGTGTCGGGGGGGTTTACTGCCAGCGGCACCCTAACCTGGAGCTTAAGGGTTAAGGTAGACAAAAAGATAGATTAAGGTAGACTGGTAAAAGATAGACATAGACTGATAGACACAGACTGATAAACATTAAAGTGGACTGATAAAAGTAATGTCTTTCCTCTATCACATTTCCACATAAAAGAGACAAAAAAAAACCCAGTCGATCAAACATTAACTTCTTTATTTCACTTCCAATGTCCCAACTTGTGTTCATGGACGGATCTGCCTGTGGCGTGGCTGAAACAAAACCCACATAGGGTGTCAGTGAGCAGTAGTAGAAGATGGTGGTGGTAATGGTGGTAGTTTGGGAGTTCAATCTTGAGGAAAGACCCAAAGACTGAAAATGATTGAGAGGAGATGGTGGTGTGTGGTGGGTGTTGTGTGATCATGGTAGGTGTGTGGTGGGTGTTGTGTGATCATGGTAGTGTGTGGTGGGTGTTGTGTGATCATGGGAGGTGTGTGGTGGGTGTTGTGTGATCATGGTAGGTGTGTGGTGGGTGTTGTGTGATCATGGGAGGTGTGTGGTGGGTGTTGTGTGATCATGGTAGGTGTGTGATCATGGGAGGTGTGTGGTGGGTGTTGTGTGATGTGTGGTGGGTGTTGTGTGATCATGGGAGGTGTGTGGTGGGATGTGTGTGTGATCATGGGAGTGTGTGGTGGATGTTGTGTGATCATGGGAGGTGTGTGATCATGGGAGTGTGTGTGGTGGGTGTTGTGTGATCATGGTAGGTGTGTGATCATGGGATGTGTGTGGGTGTTGTGTGATCATGGTAGTGTGTGGTGGGTGTTGGTGATCATGGTAGTGTGTGGTGGGTGTTGTGTGATCATGGGAGGTGTGGTAGGTGTTGAGTGATCATGGTAGTGTGTGGTGGGTGTTGAGTGATCATGGTAGTGTGTGGTGGGTGTTGTGTGATCATGGTAGGTGTGTGATCATGGGAGGTGTGTGGTGGGTGTTGTGTGATCATGGTAGTGTGTGGTGGGTGTTGTGTGATCATGGTAGTGTGTGGTGGGTGTTGTGTGATCATGGTAGTGTGTGGTGGGTGTTGTGTGATCATGGTAGTGTGTGGTGGGTGTTGTAAGATCATGAGAGTGTGTGTGTGTATTGCACACTGGGTGCTGTAATGTGTCTAGTGTGGCAGCACTATGTTAGTGTTAGGGTGCAAGCACTGGTTACTCCCTCTCGCTTTCAGCAACTGCCGCTGGCTAGCCTCATGGTGAACAGGGAAGAAACTTGCATAAGTCTTCCCCTACCAGTATACAGCCTCTTCACCGCCAAGACTCCTGCTGTGCCTCTTCATGGCAACACACAGTAACTGGGTGCCTCATGGGCCCAGGCTAGATCAGCAGGGGATCTTGGAGTAGCAGTGGGCCCCAGAGGGACGACGCATAGGCCCACTGGCATGTGGACACGTTCTGGCGCCTACCAGCCATTGCCCCGCTGCCTTGCGGATTAACCTTGGTAGTTATAAGGCTACTGGAGTAAACCCCGAATGAAAAATCTGCAGTGGTACCCCGCATCAGGCAGACATGGTTACAGAGCTCCAACAAAACCCCAACGGCGGTATAGGCAGAAGAGGTGACCACCGTGGAAACCCAACAATTACACCGGCGGACGAAGGCAATGCCTGATGGACATGCTACTAAGGCGAAACCCAACAAACGGCTATTGGCAGTCCATTGTGACTCTCCCTCTCCCCAGTCGTTGCAACACTTGCACCACTGGATCAGGAAAAGGGAGAGCCAAGATGTGTGATTGCAGCCTGCTCTCCTGCCTCACCACATAAATCAACTCGTGCACAGCCATCATCCAGTTCATCATACCTCTCATCATCATCAAAACCCCTATACCCCCCAAAGTCCTATGTCGACAGCTTCCATTACTGAACTTCAGTATGCAGACAACCTCACCCGTGTTGCTCACACTGAACACAACCTACAGCAGATCCTAAACACCTACGCAGATGCGTATGCGCACTTCGGCCTTGAGGTGAATGTACATAAGACTCAGATTCTCTTTCAACCTGCCCCAGGTTCAGACACACCTCCACCATCCATCCAGCTTAACGGTACTACCCTCTCTATGTTGCCCACTTTCGGTATCTCAGCTCCCACCTGTCCACCACCGCAGATATCAATTAAGAGTTTCAGCACCGGATCAGATGTGCATCTCAAGCCTCTGGGGGACTCCGAAACCGTGGCTTCAGCTGTAGGGAGCTGAAATTATCTACAAAGCTGCATGTATATCGAGCAGTGGTCTTCCCCACCCTGCTATGTGGCAGTGAGACATGGGTCACATACAGGAAGCACCTCAAGGCTCTTGAAAACTTTTACCAATGTAGTCTACGTTCCATCCTCCGAGTTTGCTAGTAAGACGAGAGAACAAATGCCATTATTCTTGCTGACACCAACTGTAGGAGCATCGAGGCTACCATTATCAATGAATAGCTACGCTGTACTGGCCATGTTACCCGCATGGACGACAGTAGACTGCCAAAGCAGCTACTTTACAGTCACCTAACGAATAGTAAACGTAACGCCGGAGGGCAACTGAAAAGGTATAAGGATAGTCTTAAGACAAACCTGAAAAAGTGCCAAACCGACCCCCTAACCTGGGAGTCGATTAGTCCACATCCTAATGCTTGGAGGAGCACCACACGAGAAGGTGTCAATACTTTTGAGTTAGCCCGACTGCAAACGAAGGCAGACAAGCGTCAACGTCGGAAAGACACTGGCACCGCCCCTCCTGCACTAGATGTAGCTCCCCACATGTGCACGAATGTGGATGACCTTGCGGGTCCCGTATCGGCCTCTTTAGTCGCCTCAAAACTAGCCAAAACTAGCTGGACGATCATCATACTCGATTCCAAGTGACGGCAAAGTAGTAGTAAGATCATGGGGGTGCGTGGTGGGTGTTGTAAGATCATGCAGGTTGTGTGTGGTGGATGTCGACTTACACTATGCCCGACTTACACTATGCCCGACTTGCACTATGGCTGACTGACTTAGAATATGGCAGACTTACAGAAAAGTTGCGTCTCTGGATGACCTCAAGGAAGACAGTGGGTCGATCCTGCATGTTCTTGGTAAAGATCTGCAGGAGGTAACCATTATCATCGTAGTCTACCAAGATCTTCTCTTTCTGCAGTACGTCCATGTCCTCTGCTATCCTCACCTTTGAGGACTTGAGTTTCTCCCTCAGCTGGTCGTAATATGTATCGGGCACCACCAAGAACTCTACCCCCCGTTCTCGTAGTTTCTGAACCTGTTGAGAGGGGATTAGAGGATATAGTTTGTTTAACTCTTTTTTGTATTCTTGTTTCCAAATTACTTGTAATGGTGGGTGGAACTACAGAAAGATATTTTAATTGTTAGTGATATATATATTTTTTTTTTTAGTTTTGATTATGGATTTGCTTATTTATCTGTATTTTGTATTGATTTTTTCTTTTATGGGAGTCAGACTGAATTTAATACAAGAGAGAGTTTCAGTGTTCCTATAAATTACCCGGTATCCTTTTTTTTTTAATTACACATTTGCAGTCCTAAGAAATCACACATTATCACCCATGCTTGTTTATCCTTTATCTTGTTGTTATATTTATCACGGATCATCCATATCTTCTCTGGGCCTATCATCTCTTGTGTTCCAGGCAATACTTACAGACACAGGATTATATATATTGTTTTATAATGGACAAAAATTAAGAGTAGGTTCAGGAAATAATCATATGTTGGCTCTGTTGGTTTGTCCTTGGTGGAACCTACTTAGTATTTACCATTGTTTGTATATCAACACTGTCATTGTACATTATTTGCATAGCTACCTGTATTGTCTTTTGTATATTGTGTATGCACCTGATCTGTCTATCTAGAATCTGACTGTCTATCTACCTATCTATCAGGAATTTTACAATATACAGAGTTAGTGTCTATTGATGGCTGCAAGTCGAAAGTCCTACTGGGCCCCATCCTAACCACTCCATTAAGCTATGGGGCCATTGGAATCAGGACTGAGCCCCAATCCCAATAATTAGATCAGGTTTGGTTAGGTTTGATGAAGTTAAGTTAGGTTAGGCCCATTTGACTGCTTGTATGACATCATTACCCCACTAAGACCCTCCCCTCTGCCACTCACTGCTTATATGATGTCATTACCCCCCTCTAAGAACCCCCCCCATCCCCTCGCCACTCACCTCCTGGATGATGTCTTGGGTGTTGAGAGCTATGTGCTGGACACCCGCCCCGCCATAGTAGTCCACATACTCCTGGATCTGACTCTTCTTCTTACCAGGCGCTGGCTCGTTGATGGGCATCTGTAAGGAAGACACCGGTTAGGGAACGTGTGCGTATGATTGTAGGTAAAATATATAAAGAAATAGGTGTAGGTTTGGACATGTGTGGGCATGATTCAGGGGCAGATCCAGGAATATCAAAGGTGGGGGGGGTTGTCCAAGAAGTTTTGGGTGGGGAACATGGTGAGCAGAGCGAGCACACCCAGCTCGGGGGGTTTTGGGGGAATGCTGTAAGTCCCCCCCCCCCAGAAAATGTTTTGAAATCTGACCAATATCATGGCATTTTGAAGCCAATTTTAAGCTATATGCACTTGAGCTTAGGAGATATTCTGAGGTCAATAATAATTACTTTTTACTATACAAAAATGCCTGAGTACAATACTACACTAAAGAAAAAGTATTGGAATTTTCTACTGAAAAGGGGGGCCTGGACCCCTAGGACCCCTCTGGATCCACCCTAGTGATTGTGGGTAAAATATATGAGAAATAGGTGTAGGTGTGAGCATGTGGGGGTATGATCGTGGGTAAAATTTAGAGGAAATACAGGAAGGTGTAGGTTAAGATAGAGGTTAAAGGCAGGTGAGGGGAGGCCATTGGTTGCTTCAACGCAGGGATAAATTCAGGGTTAAGATCAAGGTCTCTACTTCAGGTTAAAGATATGGCTAACGTTATCGTCATGGTGAAATTACTTACGGTAAATGACAACGCTAATAATGAGATAAAACTACAATAAATGACTAAAATAAATCACTTAATTGTATTCAAAACTACAACAAAAGCTTAAAATACATCAAGCAGACACAGTTATCTTATGCATACATTATCCCTCAACAAGCTACAAGAAATAGACCTCTTACTCTCCTTAAAATGTAACAAAATACACCATTACTTAAATTCATTTACATTTAAGTTCTTAGATAATAGCGATAATGCGAGATTAATGGGTAAATACTGTTCTGTCACTGTCTATTTATCTGTCTGTCTGTCTCCTATTAATTGGAGATATTTGTTCTGTCTGTCTGTCCATTTGTCTACCAGTCTCCTAGTAACTGGAGATATTTGTCCCATCTGTCTGTCTGTGTCTGCCTAGCTATCTCCTATTAACTGGAGATATTTGTCCTGTCTGTCTGCCTACCAGTCTCTTAATAACTGAATACATTTATCCCGTGGTAAAACTCCTCCCTACCTTGATTGTTTCCTCCCAGTTCGAGACGACAATGGAGCGCAGGGAGGAGTACTGAGTGTGAACCTGGGTGTCGTCGACGGACCAGAAGCGATGGAACATAAGATGCTTCTCGTACCAGGCTGCAGTGCTCTCCATCTCGAGGTTAGGCTGGTTCCCTACGATGTGGTCGATGAAGTCCAGTTTGATGGTCGGTCTGGGTTCATAATGGACCATGAATGAGCAGGGACCCAGCAGGGGGGCATAAATTAACATAGTTAGGCATAAATTGACATAGAACCATAGCAGGGGGCATAAATTGACATAGAACAATAGCAGGGGGGCATAAATTGACATAGAACATTAGCAGGGCATAAATTGACATAGAACAATAGCAGGGGGGGCCAAATTGACATAGAACCATAGCAGGGGGGGCAGAACAATATAAATTGACATAGAACATTAGCAGGGGGCATAAATTGACATAGAACCATAGCAGGGGGCATAAATTGACATAGAACAATAGCAGGGGGCCATAAATTGACATAGAACATTAGCAGGGGGGATTGACATAGAACCATAGCAGGGGGGCATAAATTGACATAGAACAATAGCAGGGGGGGCAGCAGGGGGGCCATAAATTGACATAGAACATTAGCAGGGGGCCATAAATTGACATAGAACCATAGCAGGGGGGGCATAAATTGACATAGAACAATAGCAGGGGGGCCATAAATTGACATAGAACATTAGCAGGGGGGGCATAAATTGACATAGAACATTAGCAGGGGGGGCAATTGACCAGGCAGAAAATTGACATAGAACATTAGCAGGGGGCATAAATTGACATAGAACAATAGCAGGGGGGAATTGATATAGAACAATTAGTAGGGGGGCATTGACATAGAACCATAGCAAATGGCATAAATTGACATAGCATAGCCAAATTGACATAGAACCATAGCAGGGGGGCCATAAATTGACATAGAACATTAGGGGGGGTATAAATTGACATAGAACAATAGCCATAGAACCATAGGGGGCATAAATTGACATAGAACCTGCAGGGGCCGTAACTTAACATTGTATCAGACTGGGATCATAGAAAGGAAGGGGCCATAAATTAACATATAATAGATTGAGAATATACCAGGATGTCCACAAAGTATTAAGGAGTTACCATTTATGATATTGATTATGAATATATACAGTACTTATCAGTGTGTGTGTGTGTGTGTGTGTGTGTGTGTGACCGAGCTTGAATGTATGTTTGTGTACGTACATGCACCATAGACTGCACACATGCACGTTAGACTTAATTGCATACGAGTAACTTTTTGTTTCTTTCCTTACAGTTTGGTGAGAATTTTGTCGACAGCGATGAGAGTCTTCTTGAACCCGGGGAGGAAAAGGCCATTGTAGTTTCCACGCTCCACAAAGGTGTGTGTCGTGTCTCCGTACTGTGGGGAGAAGGTGAGGTAATTACTGTACTTATACTTTTAAATGGTAATGATGTACTGGACACCTTATCTGTCTATAGATTCTCACACACACACACAAGGTAAATACAGTTTCATAATGTGAAGGCGGTTGCTGAGGCCATCATCCATGCTGTCCTCACACTATCCTCATGCTATCCTCACTCTGTCCTCATGCTATCCTCACCCTGTCCTCACACTACCCTCACCCTGTCCTCACACTACCCTCACCCTGTCCTCACACTATCCTCACCCTGTCCTCACACTACCCTCACCCTGTCCTCACACTATCCTCACCCTGTCCTCACACTACCCTCACACCCTCACCCTGTCCTCACACACCTCACCCTCACCCTGTCTCACACTGCCCTCACCCCTCTACACCTGTCCTCACCTCACCCCTGTCACCCTGTCCTCACTACCCTCACCCTGTCCTCCCTACCTCACCCTGTCCTCACACTACCCTCACCCTGTCCTCACACTACCCTCACCCTGTCCTCACTATCCTCACCCTGTCCTCACACTACCCTCACCCTGTCCTCACACTACCCTCACCCTGTCCTCACACTATCCTTACACTGCCTGGTCACGTGTCAAAATTTCCACTTTCTCACTAACTCACGATGTCAGAGTCTAGTTACTTAATGTCATCTGAATTAAACATCAGGATGAGGCTCCCAGCAGACTCACAAAACCTAACGTAATTGCGCATTACCCCTGATTTGCACAATCCCGTCACATACAAAATCCTAGGGTCTATTATCATGCCAGACTTGAAATTTTTGGGATGAGGTTATGATTTTAATCCGCTAATATTTAAAAATAAAAAATAAATCACTTAATTTTTATATATTTGTTGTATTTTACAGATTTCTTTAGTGTAATAAACGAAAATTACTTTGAGTTATGGAAAAATATTTATCAGATGTCACCAGCCTTAAATATTTTACTGTGGTGATTCCTGAATACTGTCACACACACATGAAATATGATAGTAGTTATTGTAGCAGTGTTGAAGTTACTGACCGTTTGCACCCTGGCGAAACGCACTCTGCCGCCCTCGTCTTCCTCCTCCCAGATCTCCTTCACCACCTTCGCCCCACGCTCCTTGGCTCTCTGTAACACCACACTCATCAACGCCAAGCAATTAATTTCACACAGCTAAAGAATAAACATCATGTTTACTCTTTAGCTGTGAATGTGTACTGTATGTTATTATATGTGTGTGTGTACAGAAGATGATTAAGGTGTACTGTACAGTGTGTGTACAGAAGATTAAGGTGTACAAATTTCGGACAGCCAGGGAGCGAGTATGTTTATATGCATCAGTTTACTTGTGTGTGATGAAGATTAAGATAAATATAAATTCTTTATGCCTTGTCATCAACACGGTGGTACGTCGTGTCTGTCTGCGTGGCCTCGACTACTGTACACCTTAAACTATTTGTATCTTGTTTTCTTACTCTGAAAAGGTTATATATATATATATATATATATATATATATATATATATATATATATATATATATATATATATATATATATATATATATATCATAATACTCTGGCAAAAAGGACGTATTGTTTTGTTGGTGAAAAAATCTTTCGTAATAATTGTTAAAATAAATACCAAAAAAGTGATTAAGTAAACAACACTTGAGGGAAGGAGACTTGTGTGTGACCTTCATTATCGCGTCAAGGTCCTCCACTGAGAACGCAATATCCTTAACCCCGTCGCCGTGTGTCACCAGGTGTCGCCCCATCTCCTCATTACCGGGATTGAGAGCTGATGCCAACACGAATAGTATCTGTAAACAAACCGCATATTACCTCATCTTAAAGCACTACTCATAACATCAAAACATTCTACGTCAGTCCATTAATTGATAAAATATAACTAAACATTAAAACAAGAAAGCTAACATATATTAGGGATTATGAGGCCTAGGCGCAGTTTAAGCATGATGGCGGGAATATTTTGACTGAATTATTTTGCGCCAAATCAATACTGTACGTCTATTTCTTCCTATATTTGATCTTCTACCTGACAGTGTGGTAGATGGTGACGTACCTTGTTCTACCTGAGTGTGGTAGATGGTGACGTACCTTGTTCTACCTGAGTGTGGTAGATGGTGACGTACTTTGTTCTACCTGACAGCATGGTAGATGGTGACGTGCCTTGTTCTGCCTGAGTGTGGTAGATGGTGACGTACTTTGTTCTACCTGACAGTATGGTAGATGGTGACGTGCCTTGTTCTGCCTGAGTGTGGTAGATGGTGACGTACTTTGTTCTGCCTAAGTGTGGTAGATGGTGACGTACTTTGTTCTGCCTGAGTGTGGTAGATGGTGACGTACTTTGTTCTACCTGACAGTGTGGTAGATGGTGACGTACCTTGTCCTGTCTGAGTGTGGTAGATGACTTTGTTCTGCCTGAGTGTGGTAGATGGTGACGTACCTTGTTCTGCCTGACAGTGTGGTAGATGGTGACGTACTTTGTTCTACCTGAGTGTGGTAGATGGTGACGTACTTTGTTCTGCCTGAGTGTGGTAGATGGTGACGTACCTTGTTCTGCCTGACAGTGTGGTAGTGACGTGTTCTAGAGGTGGTAGATGGTGACGTACCTTGTCCTGTCTGGAGGTGGTAGATGTGACGTACCTTGTTCTCTACCCGGAGTGTGGTAGATGGTGACGTACTTTTGTCCTGCCTGAGTGTGGTAGATGGTGACGTACCTTAAGACCTGAGTGTGGTAGATGGTGACGTACCTTGTCCTGCCTGAGTGTGGTAGATGGTGACGTACCTTGTTCTACCTGAGTGTGGTAGATGGTGACGTACCTTGTCCTGCCTGAGTGTGGTAGATGGTGACGTACCTTGTTCTACCTGAGTGTGGTAGATGGTGACGTACCTTGTTCTACCTGAGTGTGGTAGATGGTGACGTACCTTGTTCTACCTGAGTGTGGTAGATGGTGACGTACCTTGTCCTGCCTGAGTGTGGTAGATGGTGACGTACCTTGTTCTACCTGAGTGTGGTAGATGGTGTACTGATGGTGACCGTACCTCAGTGTGGTAGATGGTGACGTACCTTGTTCTACCTGAGTGGTAGATGGTGACGGTTCTACCTGAGTGTGTAGATGACGTACCTTGTCCTGCCTGTGTGTGGTAGATGGTGACGTACCGTACTGAGTGTGGTAGATGGTGACGTACCTTGTTACCTGAGTGTGGTAGATGGTGACGTACCTTGTCCTGCCTGAGTGTGGTAGATGGTGACGTACCCTGTTCTGCCTGAGTGTGGTAGATGGTGACGTACCTTGTTCTACCTGAGTGTGGTAGATGGTGACGTACCTTGTTCTACCTGAGTGTGGTAGATGGTGACGTACTTTGTTCTGCCTGAGTGTGGTAGATGGTGACGTACCTTGTCCTGCCTGAGTGTGGTAGATGGTGACGTACCTTGTTCTACCTGAGTGTGGTAGATGGTGACGTACTTTGTTCTACCTGACAGTGTGGTAGATGGTGACGTACCTTGTTCTGTCTGAGTGTGGTAGATGGTGACGTACTTTGTTCTGCCTGAGTGTGGTAGATGGTGGTGTACCTTGTTCTGCCTGACAGTGTGGTACATGGTGGTGTACCTTGTTCTACCTGACATTGTGGTAGGTATTGACGTACCTTGTTTTGCTTGATGACGTGGTAGCAGACGTCTCTTGAACCAGTCTCGAGACCTTTATAGGCGTAACGTTCGAAGCCCATCCTTGTGGTGTAGTAACTGGCTGCCTGAGGGAGAGAGGGGGTACTGGGTTACTGCTGGATGGTACACACACACAGTAAGATTGTCCACTACACTGGTAAACTTTGATGGACGGACGTTTGGGCCATGGGCCAAGGCCCCGGACGTGTGAGCCGTGGTGATTAGGTCATTTGGGCCATGGGTCAAATTAATCATAAGAAATACAAAATCGATTAAATTCAATATAATTTATTTAAATATTTGGTTGTTCTCCACGAAGATTGAGGCTTATTGAAGACACTCAATAAGTTTACAGACTGTGGGACTACCAAGATCCATAAGGTTGGTAAACTTATTATTCCACTCTTGGCAAATGTTGTTTCTGTGTTGTCAAGGCTGACCAGGAACATGTTCCACTTCTCAGGTGGGAACACTGGTGGCGTGCGGCACAGGTGGACAGGGATGATGACTCCAGGCTCATCACTGTGTCGTAACTGTCCAGAGACAAATGTGGCATTGAAGTACTCAATTAGTGCTGCTGCCTCATCTGGTACGGTAGAATGGAGACACTGTATACCTTCTATAACTTCTTGTGGGAGCAGGAAGTCTTCATCAGCCTCATACTGAGGCTTGAGTCTAAGTACTTGAATAAGAAGCCATCATTAGGCGTAAATAAATCCCATGGCCTAAACGTCCACCCTACATACAGCCCGTGGACCAAACATCTTGGGTCGTGGGCCAAATGTCCTACAACCGTAAACTTCACCTATTGACACTGGACTATGGATGTCACGTCATGATGTAAAATAATTAATTTCAAAGTTTATATATGCTGTGCTCCCCTTCTCTTCTCTACCCCATCATTCACCTCCTTCAGTCTTTATATACCTAAAGGCTTATTTGATATTCGTACCCCGACCTAAAAGTAAACAGACAAATGGACGATTAAAAGGATAAATTAAAGTAGAGTGAATCGTGGCAACAGCCAGAAAGTCCCTGGTTTATGTTAAGTAAGAGACTCTGTAGTGGATTTCTCCCCTACAAACGCTGTTTGTCGCTGAGTAGCCGACCCCCACGAATTCTCCAGTGTATGCCTCGTGGTCTGGGTCAACCAGCGCCGCCATACATCACGGAGGTCAACTACTAAGCCACGCCTATCCCCCCGCTATTTAAGACCTGACCTCGTGGTTATCTCTCTCTTTTTACCTACACCAACCAGCCAGCAACACCTCCTCCTCCTCCTCCGCCTGCCTGGCGGTCCTCGCTCCCGCCGGCGAGCATGGCAACCCACAAGCTGTCCTCCTCTGAGCCCCCTCACCAACCAGCTTTCTCTACATCACGCTTGTAACCATGCTGCCTTCCCAGCACCAAGCTGCATTGTACATCCAATACAACATGTATACATGAGAGCACATTGTGAGTTTCCTTTCTCCATCCCATCCTGAGTGTGAACCAAACAACCCCATACCCCACAACTCTGCCAAGCTCGCCTCCAGCACCACCTAAACCTGTTTCTTGTTAGCTTAAGCGACCTCGCCTGACCACATCCACCACCAGACTCCCTTCATGGCGGCGCTCACACTGTATACCGGATAACAACAAGCAACATTAACACTCGTATATTACTTAACGATGAAAAAAAACATTTGTGTTGTAATATTTAGTGATATATCGGTATAATATCAGAGGAATTTATATATTATGGAAGTAAGGTGATGCGGTAGTTGTCTGTTATTTGTAATGGTACAGTAATTGGAGACGTGGACGAAAGTTTAGTTCAGAGTGTGAATGATGGAGGCTGGTGGTGAAGGTGGTAGTAGTGGTGGTAATGGTACTAGTAGTAGTTGTGATAGTGGTGTTAGTAGTAGGGGTGGCGGTAGCAATAATTGTGGTGGTAGCAGATATCGACTATGAGGCTACTGTCACTGAATGCCGCAAAGATCTGCGGCTCAACTAATTTAACACAGATAGGATAGCTACATATGTATTACGATATTTAATATTAAGGTAATTAAATGGTGGCGAAGGTGTGGCTATTGGGGGAGGCTGGAGGCCACGTTAAAAAAAAGTGGTGGTAGCAGTAGTAGTGGTAATAGTGTAGTAGTAGTTGTCGTGGTAGCAGTAGTTGTGGTGGTGGTAGTAGTATTAGTTGTGGTAATAGTGTAGTAGTAGCTGTGGTGGTAGCAGTAGTTGTCGTGGTAGCAGTAGTTGTGGTGGTGGTAGTAGTAGTTGTGGTGGTGGTAGGGTAGGGAGGCCCCAGGCACTGCTCCATTTATCTTCAGAACTGTTAAGTCACTCACGTACAGAGTCCCTATTTACACTATCCCTAACCTATCCTATTGTACCCTAACCTACCTTACCTTTAATACCCTACCCTACTGTACTTTAACCTAACCTAACCATCCACACTACACTGATAAGTTAAGCATTCCATCATGGTAACGCGCGAGACATTGTATACATAGGTAGTAAGAAATTGGGATGGTTCACAATTTATTTATCGTGACCCACAAGAGCTGAGGGTTTGGGGTAAAGTATCCACGATAAATTTGAAAACCATCTTCGCCTCCCTTCCTCTCACTCCCAGGCTTCCTTCCTCTCATTCACTCCCAGCCTTCCTTCCTCTCACTCACTCCCAGCCTTCCTTCCTCTCACTCACTCCCACTCTCCCTGTCACCCCACTGTCCCTCCTCTCACACGGCTAATACGCCCTATAATGTATAAGGTTGTGGCACTAGCGGCCTCCGCCACCAGTAACCTCTCTGGATTCTCAAATATGTGAGTTTTTGTCCCGTAACTGAGGAGAGAGACCGTTAGGTACGGTCGCCTCACTGCTGTACCCGACGGTATTTTAGACGAGTCAGTTTGATACATCTGTCCTAAGGGAAGCAGTGATCAGGTAGTTCTCTGTAACACACACGCGTTGGTCCAGGTGGTACCTTGGTCACTGTCCAACATTTACTACACCTTCAGTCTCTGGACTTCTTGTCTACAAGTTCATCAATATTTCCATTTCGCTGAAGAACAATTATTATAACTGATATGATTAAGAGGTACTGTACTTGTGCGGTTGGAAGACATATGAGCCCCAGTCTTGATAGATCTCGAACCCAACCTAACCTAAGCATTAAGATCGAGACTCATCCAGATTGGGGTCCAACAGGGCTGGGGCGCACATGACTACAATAGATGTTACTAGGCAGTGTGGTGGGGCCAGCAGGCAGCACACCAAGGTGACTGAGTCCACTACGTGTTGCTGCTCCTGCCACCACTTGTCTCCTGCCCATTCGCCCTCACACTGTACAACAAGAACACCTTCTTTTGAGGCTCTTCCGTTATCCTCGCCCTTAACTCAAGCTGCGGCACAGGCCAAGTCTAAAATATCGCTGGGTTACTGGAGACATGAGCGCGCATTTGATTCACTCACTTCGATATGTATTGGTTTGTTTGTTCATTCATATTCAGGATGGAGAATGACTGCACGAAACTGAGAACAATGATGCCACTCCCACACCTCCCAGATGATGCAACACACGTGGAGGGTGACACTGTTGGGTGATAAAGGTTCCATAAGAAAATAAGAATGGAGGAAACTGCAGCGGGCCTATTGGCCCAGACTGGGCAGTCCCGTTTACACCCAACCCCTATTGCTCATATAAGCATCCAACCTATGTTTGAAGCTACTCAGCGTATTCGACTTAATGATGATATTTGGTAACTTGTTCCATTCATCCACCACTCTGTTTCCAAACCAGTGTTTACCTATTTCACGCCTAAATCTAAATTTGTCTAATTTAAAACCATTGTTACGAGTTCGCTCCTGGTTGGATAGTTTGAGTACCTTTGTAATGTCCCCTTTGTTTAGCCCTGCCTTCCACTTAAACACCTCTATCAGGTCGCCCCTCGCTCTGCGTATCTCAAGGGAGTGCAAATTAAGATGCTTTAACCTGTCTCTATACTCAAGGTTCCTAATGCCCGGGATTAGTCTTGTCATTCTCCTCTGAATTCTTTCCAAGGATTCTATATCCATTCTGTAATACGGTGACCAGAACTGAACTGCATAATCCAGGTGTGGTCTCACAAGAGCAAGATACAGTTTTCGGATGACCTCGCTAGTCTTGTAACTAACACTCCTTTGTATGAACCCAAGGACTTTATTAGCCTTGTTACGAGCAAAAACACATTGTTTACTCGGCTTAAGGTTCCTACTTATCATTACTGTACTCCTAAATCTCTCTCGCAGTCGGATTTCTCTATGGCATCGTTGTTCATCTGGTATCTGGTTTCCCTGTTTACATCTCCTATACTGAGTACTTTACATTTGTCCACGTTGAATTTCATATGCCATTTTTCGGACCATTCGAAAAATTTGTTTAGATCTTCCTGTAGTTTTACGAAGTCCTCGTCAGATTTAATAACACGTCCTATTTTAGTGTCATCAGCAAATTTGCTTATGTTGCTGTCTATGCTGATATCTATGTCATTTATGTATATAATAAATAATAATGGTCCAAGTACTGAGCCTTGGGGAACTCCACTTGTGACGTTGCTCCAATGGGACTTAGTGCCATTAATGCTCACTCGCTGTTTCCTGTCCTGTAACCACGCCCTAATCCATTTAAGGATATTACCTTTGATGCCATGTGCTTCTACCTTTCTAATTAGTCTTTCGTGGGGGACTCTGTCGAAGGCTTTGCTAAAGTCGAGATATACCACATCATAATTGTGCCCCTCGTCCACCGATTCGAAAACTGATGAAAAGAATGTTAATAGATTAATTAGACACGAACGTCCGCTTGTGAAGCCATGCTGGGTATCATTGATCAATCTGTGCTTCTCCAGGTGATTTCGAATAGAGTTTGAAGTGATTGCTTCCAGTAATTTGCCTACTATTGATGTTAGACTGATTGGGCGGTAGTTAGAGGATAGTGATCTATCCCCCTTCTTGAAAATCGGTATTACATTCGCTATCCTCCAGGAGTCTGGTACTACACCTGTTTTTAAGGACATGTTAAACAACTTTGCTAAGGGCACACTAAGCTCTTCCTTACATTCCTTTAATACTCTGGCAAATATCTCATCGGGACCAGGTGACTTATTAGGCTTTAGTTTGTCTATTTGCTTACTAACATCGTTACTAGTCACTACTATCTCGCTTAATTTGTTTTCTTCACTATCTCTGAATAGAGTCGGTGCCCCGGGTATAATGTTTAAATTTTCGGTGGTGAAAACTGTTGAAAAATATGTATTCAAATTATTGCTCATTTCTCTGTCGTTATCAGTGAGCTCGCCGGTATCCGACCGTATTGGTCCAATCTTTTCTCGTGTTTTAGTTGGATACATTTGGTAGAATCCTTTGGGGATTGTCTTTGCCTCCCTAGCTATCCTTACCTCATTATTCCTCTTGGCTTTCCTTATCTTGGTTTTAACCCTACTCGCCAATACCCTATAATAATCCCGGAGGTAAATTTCGCCACGATTTATCCTTCTACCTATAGCCTTCCTTTGGCCAATGATGTTCTTTAAATAATTATTTATCCACTTAGGGTCATTGTTGTCTGATCTGAGTTTTTTGTATGGTATGTTCTGCCTTTGTGCATTAAGTAACTCATTATTTAAATTGTCGTTGGACTCGGCAATCTCAGATCTCGTTATCAGGTCGGTGTCATCTGTCAGGTTCACGGCCAAGTGCGACACCCCCTCTCTCAGCTGCCTCTTTAAACTGTCAAAGTTTGCCCTTCTGGAATCTGGTACTTCAGTGGAATTTTCCTTACGTCTGCCCTGAAAATCTAACTGGAATCTAATTTTTTTGTGATCGCTGATTGCAAGTTCGTTCCCTACCTCGACATTGCTAATGAGGTTTTCTCTGTTTGACAGAACTAAATCGAGTATATTATTACCCCGGGTGGGTTCGGTTATATATTGACTTAGAAAACAGTCCTGGATCGTTTCGAGAAAATCCTCTGATTCTGAGTTACCTGTAAGGTCAGTCCAATCTATTTGGCCAAGGTTGAAGTCGCCTACTATGCAGACTTTGTTGTGTATGGAAGCCCTGCGCATTTCATCCCAGAGAAGTCGCTCATTGACTATCAAGATTGGGAGGTCTATAAATTACACCTGTGATTAATTTTTCCCTACCGTCGATTAATTCTATCCAAATTGTTTCTGTATTCCGCTCGGTTTTTATTTCCTTATTTATTTCACACTTCAGATTATCCCTAACATAGATTGCTACTCCGCCTCCTTTCCTGGTCTGCCTATCGGTATGGAACAGTTTGTAACCCGCAATTTGGTATTCGACCGGTAACTCACGTGAGTCTAGGTTGATCCATGTCTGCGTGCGGATAAGTGAATATTTTTAGCGAGGGAGACTCTTAAAATATAACCTGTTTTAGGACATCCGCAAAATCCCTGACCTACAGTAGTCTGAAGATGAAATATGGCCGTGTTTAGTCAGCTGAGACTGTTTCCTTATCAGCCCGATAAATCTTTTTGGCTGAGGGATGCTTTCTTCAAGTGACGTTTGTTGTCTAGCTATTGGTCTTACCTTGTGGCCACACCGCCAGTCTTTTCACTGCACACTGAAGAAACAATGTTGTGCGCCACACATGTGCGGTGTTACACACACTACATGATTTAATAACGGGGTAACTGTTTATGAGCTGCAAGAAGTTGTTGTGATGACTTTTCATTATAGAATGGTAAAGTAGGCCACGCCCACAAATTCCCAGGTGGGCTGGTGATCAGGTGGATAGAGACGCCCACAGCACAGTACTTATTGTCCCAGGTGGGTGTGTTGAGCTGCACCAGGAGGACAACACTCACACACCAAGTTATGGTTTCACTCGTTGTTTATTTTGAAGATCAAAGACAAGCAGACAGTGGTCTGTTGTTGCTACAGGTGTAATCACCCTGTTTAATTTCTCTCTCAAACACATCTTCTGAGTGAAAGGAAGTAACTTACATGCCACCTGTCTACCGGGATACCTTCAGCACTCGAAAATTTAAACAATCCCAACACAACACACACTAGTGGAGAGTGATGGGACGACTACCATCACCTTTAAGGACAAGTGACGGTGATTAAGTCCGATAGACATGACTGCCCTTTAAGGATAGTGTGAGGCAGCATGGCCGGTACTACACTCGACAGCCTTCACTTCTACAACTTGTAAACTTACGTACCCATTTACAGCTGGGTGAACAAGTACCTACTAATAATAATGCGGATGTAGCGGGTGATGGGGTTAGGTTCCCTCCCTCACTCACTACGCAGCAGCATTACAAGGAAAAAATTAACATCTGAAATTCTAACAGCTCGGTGGACAACTATAGTTAGGTGTAGCTCTCCGTATACGTAGAAATAAGTATATACAGTATATGTTTTCATATTTCAGTCATTTAAATTTGGTTTATAATCTCGACAGTGACGTGCGTGCTTACCCGTGGGGAGCTCGTGCAAAGTGTCCAGTCACGTATGTTGTTCACTGACTGACACACACACACACACACGCATAAAAACAACTCTAGTGGACTTACCTGCTTAGCATTGCCCACCCAGAATGTGAGGTGGTCAAAATGCAGAAACTTGCCAGAATCCGGCTGTGGGCAGAAGACAGAGTTAGTCAGGGATGACCAGGGTTGTTATGATTTAAATAAAATGATTTAAATCACATGATTTAAATCGATTTAAATCAGTAAAAAAATCATGATTTCAATCAAAATGATTTTTTTACTACTAACTGTTTTCTCTTTTTATTCTACATGATTGAAAAGTATATGCAATGCAGCAGGCTAATAACATTATTTGGATTTACAGAATTATGTACTGTACTATAGTCTGTTCTCTCCAGTTTTGCGAAACTTCGTTCATATCGTAAGGTCTCATTATTAATGTATATATTTACATGAAATATATTGTTAACTAAGATAATAAATACTATTGAAATTCAGAAGAACTGTAGTATTCTCTTCTCCCGGCATTATGTATCAGTCAATAAGGAGCAAGGGGCTGTAAATTTTTGCAAAGCTAGAGTGAACAGGCTGTAGGCACTAGGCTATACATATTCAGATATTTTATTTTTATTACTTAGTAATTAGCATGTTCTTTTTAAACAACATAAGTATTATTTCTGATCAAAGAAGCATAACTGGTTTTGTGATAAAAACTACTAAGTCTGAAAAAGTCACTTTGGATCAGCAAGTTGCTTATTATATATATGCAACAAATTGACCCTTCCGAACAGTGGAGCACGAAGAGTTTATCAAGATGATTAAAATGCTAGGACCAGGATATGTTCCACCTAATAGACATCAAATTGGAGGGTCTCTTTTGGATCAAGCCTACTATTCAGTGATTAAGAATTATTCAGAAGAACTTAGTGGGAAAACAGTTTGCATGGCCATGGATGGATGGAGTAATGTCCATAATGAGCCTATAGTATGTATAACTTTAACAGCGGACAACCGTATTTATCTTGTTGACTCTATAGACACAGAATCAAGACACACAGCTGAATATCTGTTGAAATTAGCTGAATGTGCTACAAAAAAGTGTGAAGACAAATTTGGATGCACAGTAAGAAGCTGTGTAACAGATAATGCTGCTAATATGGCAAAAATGAGAAGTGAATTCGGACAAGATAAATCCATTATAACATATGGTTGCTCTGCACACCTGTTAAATTTGCTTTCACAAGACCTGCAAATCAAGAACATTAAGGAGCACATTACTGAAATCATTAAGTACTTCAGAAATCATCACATCCCAGGATCTTTGTATAGAAGAGCAGGAGGAACTATGCTAGTAATGCCATCAGACACACGATGGAACACAGTGACAGAATCTATTGAATCTTATTTAAAGAACTGGGAGACCCTTGTCAAAGTGTGCAAAAAAAATATTGAAGACATTGATAAGACAATTGAAAGGAAAGTTAAGGATAAGGCATTAAAAAGAACTGCAGAAGTCTATTTAGAGAGACTTAAGCCTATTGCTGTGGCATTGGACTGTGTCCAGAGAGAACATACCCTATTAAGTGATGCTGTAGAAATCTGGGTAAAACTGAAAACTGATATTAAGGAGTATTTAACAGATAAGAAGGATATGGATAATTTTGAAAAAGAATCAAAGTAGCATTGACACCTGCCCATTTTCTAGCTAATGTGATAGATCCAAGGTGTCAGGGCAGACATCTGACTCCTGAGCAGCGAGACATTGCAGAACAGTATGTGTGCGAGTCTCTTCCACATTCCTTTCAACATTAATGTCCTTCCATGGAAGAAGTGCACCATTTAAAGAGGTCTATTTTGGTAAAGATGTTGTAAAATCTCTCTCATCCCTTGCTTGGTAGCAGTATTTTGCCAATGATGACAGAAAATGTAATGGATGGTCCTAGGCAATTATTTACAGCTGTTGCATCATCAGCAGGGGTTGAGAGAATTTTTTCCACATATGGATTTGTACACTCAATGGTAAGAAATCGCCCAGGACAGGAAAAGTCATCTAAGCTTGTCACAGTACTTAAGTATTTCAATGTTCAACTAAGCTAATTAAAATGTTTTGAACTATTTTTGTGGTTTACAAAATGAGAATATTGTGTTGACTTGAAGTTATTACCGGTAATTCTTATTACACTATAATCCTACAAATGTAAGAAAATAAACTTGTTACCAGTATTATTTTTTTTACAAAATGAGAATATTATTCTGTTGACTTGAAGAAGTTAAGTTATTAATTTTTGAAACACTGTAATCCTATAAGAGCATTTATGTTAAATTTCATTATTATGTTTGGATTTGTGCACTCAAATGTAAGATATGTTACCAGTTTTCTTTTATTTTACAAAAAGAATATTATTGTGTTAAATTCCATTGGTACATCTACTGCACAAATATCTTAATGCCAATTTTCTGTTTATTATCCTGAATAAGCTTTGGTTGAAAAATACTGTTTTTTGGGGGTTTAAAAATACTATTTTATTGCAATTAGTAAAAAAATAAAAAAATTGATTTAAATAAAAAAATCCGATTTAAATCAAATAAATCAATTTATTATTATTTTTTTTTAAATCATGATTTTTTCCAACCCTGGCCCGGACGACACTGTGCTTTACAAGACATATTTACCAATACATCATAATAACATTTCAGAAAGTGGAGTACGGTATATTATGTTACATCGTATTTCAACCTGGTGGTGGTGATAGTGATGTAAGGAAAGCAAAGAGACTATGAAATCAAAATAGCAAGAGAATCCAAGGCGAATCCCAAGGGATTTTTCCAGGTATATAGGACAAAGGTCAAGGACAAAGTTGGGCCTTTAAAGTCAGGGAGGGGAGAAGTGATAAATGGCAGTGAAGAAATAAGCAAAGCATTGAACAGCTACTTCTTATCAGTTTTCACAGAAGAAATTTGCGATAAAATTCCAGAGGTGGAACTGATATTTAAGGGAAAGGAAGAAGAGAAATTAAAGAATGTCACTATCAGAAAAGAGGATGTTCTTAAGAAGATAAATAAACTAAAGAAAACAAAATCCCCAGGGCCGGATGAAATTTTCCCTCTAGTCTTGAAAGAGTGTATAGGGAACAGATTAGTGGACCCCTCGTAAACTTATTTACAAAATCATTAGACACTGGAGTTGTGCCAGACTTGTGGAAACAGGCAAATGTAGTACCCATATTCAAAAAGGGAGACAGAGCATCAGCGTCAAATTACCGGCCGATCAGTTTGACGTCAGTAGTGGGGAAATTTCTTGAATCAATTATAGCAGATAGCATCCGATCGCATCTAGAGAAAAGCAAATTAATCTACGACTGAACATGGGTTTACAAAGGGAAAATCTTGTCTAACAAATCTGCGAACGTTTTTTAGGAAAGTCTTCGAGGTAGTAGATAATGACGAAAATTACGATGTTATTTACTTAGACTTTAGCAAAGCATTTGACAGAGTACCGCATCAGAGGCTTCTGAGAAAAATTAAGGCTCATAGCATCGAGGGGAAAGTTTTAAATTGGATAAAATCATGGCTCACCGATAGAATGCAGAGGGTCAGCGTAGATGGTGTTAAATCTGAGTGGGGCCATGTAACCAGTGGGGTTCCCCAGGGGTCAGTACTAGGCCCACTCTTGTTCATAATCTACATAAACGATCTAGATACTGGGATCAGCAGTGACATAAGCAAGTTTGTGGATGACACCAAAATAGGGAGGCAAATTAATTCAGGGCAGGATGCAAATGCATTACAGGAGGATCTAAATAAACTGCAGGGGTGGTCTGAAAAATGGCAAATGAAATTCAACACCAGCAAGTGCAGCGTACTTAATATTGGAAAAACAAATATTTATAATGTATACAGCCTTAACAACATCAACCTAGAGAAGTCGACTTGTGAAAGAGACCTAGGGGTACTTGTAAGCCCGGACCTACGGCCTAGAAAACAGTGCGCTAATGTTCGAAATAAGGCAAACAGAGTATTGGGTTTTATATCTAAAGTGTAAGTAACAAGAGTGCAGAGGTCTTATTGCAACTATATCTTGCGCTAGTCAGGCCACACCTCGATTATGCGGTTCAGTTCTGGTGCCCTTATTATAGAATGGACAAAAATTCACGAGAGTCGGTGCAGCGAAGAATGACAAAAATGATTTCGGGACTTAGAAACTTTCCATATCAGGATAGGCTAAAGAAACTTAACTTGCATTCCCTAGAAAGACTAAGAGTGCGGGGAGATATGATAGAAGTATGTAAGTGGGTGAAAGGAATCAATAAAGGGGATATAGATAAAGTTCTTATAATATCCGAGCAGGATAGGACTCGGAGGAACGGATTCAAGTTGGATAAGTTTAGGTTTAGGAGGGAGATAGGAAGAAACTGGTTCACAAATAGGGTGGTGGACGAGTGGAACAAGCTTAGCAACTTTGTAGTAAGTGCGGGAACTCTGGAAAGTTTCAAAAGGAGGCTAGATAGATTCATGGATGATAGAGAGTGGTAGTAACTCTCGACAGGAGCTGCCATGCACAGGCCAACCGGCCTATTGCAGACTCCTTATTTTCTTATGTTCTTATGATGATTGTGATGGTGGTAGTGATGGTAGATGGATGGTATTGATGATGACGTCGGTAGCTTTTTAAATCTTCTCTCTTCTTTCCATTCTCTCTCACGCATTTATCCTTACTACAAAGATGCTAAGCTTGTTCCACTCGTCCACCACCCTATTTGTGAACCAGTTCCTTCCTATCTCCCTCCTAAACCTAAACTTATCTAACTTAAATCCATTGCTCCGAGTCCTATCCTGCTTGGATATTATAAGAACTTTATCTATATCTCCTTTATTGATTCCTTTCACCCACTTAAATACTTCTATCATATCTCCCCGCACTCTTCGTCTTTCTAGGGAATGCAAGTTTAGTTTCTTTAACATATCATGATATGGAAGGTTTCTAAGTCACGGAATCATTTTCGTTATTCTTCGCTTCACACCAATATCAAATTCATTTCGTCACCACTAACAGACCAGTTCTAACTGGCACCAGCTCTAACAGGCCCCAGTTCTGATAGGCTCCATTTCTAACAGTCACCAGTTCTAACAGGCCCCAGTTCTGATAG